TTTTATTATGGCATAGTAAATGTTCCTTATAAATTCTACATTCAACTCCCTTACTGCATTATGATTTGCAAAGATTTTCTCCCATTTATGTGGATTTTCTTTTCACTTATCTGTCCTTTGAACCACAAAACTGTTTAAATTTTGAAGTCCCATTCATCCATTTTTCTCTTTTGTTGCTTGAACTTTCTGTGTCATCTAACAATCCGTTGGATCCTTTTAACATAATCCAAGGTTGTGATGATATATGCCTATCTTTTGCTTTAGTTTTAGCTCTTATATTTAAACCCACAATCCATTTTGAGTTGCTTTTTTGCATATGGTGTGAAACAGGGACCCAGCTTCATTATTTTGTACGTGAAGATCTTATCCCAGCCCTGTTGGGTGAAAGACAATTCTTTCTCTATTGACTTCTCTTCCATGCTTATGGAAATTCATATGACTACTAAGGTGAGGATTTATTTCTCAATTTGCAATTCTACTATATTGATCAATATGGATATATATATATTAAGAAAATTTTTTTTGGTATCAGGGATCAAACTCGGGATCTTGTGCTTATGAGGTAGGCGCTGGAACCCCTGAGCTAAATCCCCGGCCCTTTTTTTTCTTTAAGACAAGGTCTCACTATGCAGTTCAGGCTGGCCTGGAACTCACAATGATCTTCCTGCCATGGCCTCCTGATTGCTGGGATTACAGGCATGCGCCACCACACTTCATTTGCTATGTCTATCGTTATTCCATGCTACACTGTCTTGGTTACTGTAGCTTTGTAGTAAACTTTGAAATTAGGAAGTGTTTTCCATGACCGGCTCTTTTTTTCAAGATTGTTTTGGCATTGAATGCCTTTTTATCCCCATCTGAGAAAGGCTGGGATTTCTTATAGAAATGTCTGTAATGGCAGGAAAACACAGCAGAGAAAGAGAAACGACCTGTAAACTGTATATTTCTGGAGGATGCCAAGGAAAGTTTGCTGACAGCAGTCCCTGACCCTGGCCCTGGACCTACCAGAAAGCAGCTGGGAGAAGGTTGGTGAGATTTTGGTGCCACTCTCATTCTCACACTCAGGACTGCACTGTCTGAGCCTCACGCTGCCTGCTGGCTTGAATTTGATGCTACCCAGGGCAGTTCCACTGGAGTCAGTGGCAGGGCCAGTTATCCTCAGCAACAGAGATCTTGGAATTCATTTGGGGACCTGCAGACCTGTGGTCAGGGTTTAAGGCAAGGGACTGTCTGACCTCCTCCAACTACAGGATCCTGTCATTCTCTGGGCCTGTCACTGCTTTGGTGGCCCCATTATGTGGTGAGGATGACAGTCATTGCCCTGCCGACCTCACAGGGGTATTGTGTCAAGGTAGCCTCCCCCAGAGATCCTGCCAGTGGCAGAGGTCTTTGGTCCCAGAGCCGGGGTGTGTTCACCCCTATCAGTACCCCTAGTTCTGCACTGCAGGTGACCTTTTCTTTTGGTCCTCCATCCGTGAGCTCTGAAGGAATGGGTAGTGGCCTTATCTCAGTGGGCCCTGCTGCTGCACCTGGCAAACAGTGGTGCTCAGTGCCTGACTTTATTAGACTGAACACTGCTGAAAGCTGAGGCCTGGCTGCCCCAGGACACAGAGATGATTTGCTCTGTACTCATGAGAAGGGAGGTCCCGACTTGTGACCGCTGTACAGTGAGGTCCAGCCCGTCACTGTGGGCTGCTGTAGCACCAAGTAGCTTCCAGAGCAGAAATGGTGGAACTTGGTGCTAACGTGAACTTTGTCCTGAAGTCTGGCTCCTGTGGGCCGATCCTCTTCTACCTGGAAGTTTCCCTGACAAGCAGGTCACCATTGCGACCTCCAGGATGCCCCATTTTCCCCTGGGCTGTTCAGCACACATGGACACAAGACTCAGAGAACGTGGTGGCTCTAGTTCACATTACCACTTGGCTTTGGAATGTAGCCAGTTGAGTGCACACACACATACACACAAGTTATTAATTTGTTCACTGAGCACTTGCTGTTTGCCAGCCCCACTGTGCTGCTGAACACAGGATCTGAAGGTGGCAGGGACAGAGGGAAATGGTCCTGTTCTCAAGAAGCTCACAGTCTAGGGCCAGGGATTTAGCTCAGTGGTGCCTCGCCTGCCTCGGAAGCACAAGGTCTTGAGTTCAATCTCCGGTACTGGGAAAAAAAAGAAGCAGCTCACAGTCTAGAAAGGGAGCAGACAAAGCAAAAGAATGGAGAGAAAGTGAGGGACAGGTTTTCTGCCTGGCACTGTACCCTTCTCGCCCCTCTGCTCTCAGTCTCTCTCCTCTTCCACTTCATTATCCTGGACCTCCAGAAAATGAGACAAGGAGGGTTGGGGATGTAGCTCAGTGGGAGAGTGCCTGCCTAGCAAACAGAAGGCCCTGGGCTCAATTTCCAGCTCCACAAAACAATAACAACAACAACAACAACAACAAAAAAGGTTGGGGGGAAAATGAGACAGAACCAAAAAACAAAGAGGGAGAATCTTCTTTTTCTGGATTATTTCTCAATCTCTTCCTTGTAATAAAGAATTGGGGGCTGGGTGTGGTGGTGCACACCCATAATCTCAGCATTTAGGGAGGCTGAGGTAGAAGGATCACAAATCTGAGCATGGCCTTGGTAACCTAATGATTTAGCGAGACCTTGTCTCAAAATAGAAAGGGTCAGGGATATAGCTCAGTGAAAAGGCCATGAGTTCAATCCCCAGTACTGAAAAAAAAAATGAGCAAAGTTGAAATTATTGGTTAAATCAATTCACATAAAGAATTTTAAAAAGAGAGGTTAACTTCACATCCATTATGATGCTATTTATATATATTTTTAAAACATGGTAAATGACCAGTATTGGCAAGGATGTAGAAAACGTGGAACCACTGTGCATTGCTGGTAGGAATGAAAATCAGCGCCACTCCTCTGTAAAACAGTTTGGAGGGTCAAAAAGCTGAACATGAATTCTCATATGGCCCAGCCCAGCAGTAAGACAAAGACTTGAATAAGTATTTGTACACCAGTGTTCATTCAAACAATCGTAATAGCTAAAAGGTGGTAACACCCCAAATGTCCATCAACAGATAAATGGGTAAATAAAATAAGGTATAGGCTGGGATATTATTTAGCTATTAAAAGAAATGACATTCTTTTTTTTTTTTTGGTACTGGGGATCAAACTCGGGACCTTTTGCTTGTAAGGGAGATGGCAGAACCACTGAACTAAATCCCTGGTCCTAAAAGGAATTCCATTCTGATACTTGCCACAATATTGGTGAACCTTGAAAACATGATGAAAAGTGAAATGAACCAGATGTAAAGACAAGTATTGTAAGATTCCACTTAAGTGAAGTGCCCAGAATAGGTTGATAGGCACAGAAAGTACAGTGGAGGTCACCAGGGGCTGGGGAGAGGGAAAAATGCACAGTTATTGCTTAATGGGTACAGAGTTTCTGTTTGAAGAAAACTCAGTCTTTTTTTTTTTGTACTGGGAATCTAACTCAGGACCTTGTGCTTGCCAGGCAGGCGAGGTACCACTGAGCCAAATCCCCAGCCCATAGAGTTTCTCCTACAGAGAAGACCAAAGTGTCTGGAAATCATGGGATGGTTGCACAACACTGTGAATGTACCCAACTGGGCCAGGGATTTAGCTCAGTGGCACCATGCCTGCCTTGCAAGGGCAAGGTCCTGAGTTTGATCCCTAGTACCAAAAGAAAAAAAAAAGGAAAGATGTGAATGTACCCAAATGGGTTTAAGTGGCGGGGTGGAGCCTAGTGGGAGAGCATGTGCAAGGTCCTGGGTTCAATCTCCAGCACCAGATTTAACAACAAAAAAATGACAATGGTAAAATTTATGTTATGTATATGTTTACAATAAAAAATTATAGGTTAGGTCAATCCCATAATGAGCTTATACAGAGTAAAAAGGGAGAGGGAGGGAGAGAGAGAGAGAAAGGAAGGAAGGAAGGAGGAAGGAAGAAAGAAAGAAAGAAGGAAAGAAAGAAAGAAAAAAGAAGGAAAGAAAGAGAGAGAGAGTTTGAGAGTATCCTATCCCATGAGTCACAGATTTGGGATCAGAGGTACCCCACACTGGCCCTGGTACATCCTAGATGCTCAATAAATACAGTCCTCTTGGAATGAATGAGAGAATGGTAGGGGAGGAGTTGACTGCATGAAGCACTGTATCCCCTAGAATGTTCTATGAGACATCCATGTTAAACCAGGGATGATTCTTACGTTACTTATGTAAGTGTGACTGCCTGCGGGTCTCTGGACAGACCACCGACCACACTGAGTAGGAGCAAAACTCAGCTTTAAGGGATTCAAATCACCTCGAAAACGTCAAACAGAAGTTTACTCCCATTTTTATACCTTTATGTTTCTATGGGAGGGGGAAACAGCAACCGTAATCACTAGGGAAACAGCCATCAATCTAAACATAATTACATAAGCAAAGGCAATGAAGAGGGAGCAGGAGGTTTGGCAGGGCTTTCTAAGATTGTTTTGCAATAGTGAGTTTGCATTACAGTAGTGACTACAGTTACAATATATCTTTCTCAGCAAGCATAATTACAGTTAACCCATAGTTGCCCATTTTTACACCGGGGGAAAGTTTTCGCTCTCAATGTTACTAAAATTCACTTTTTTGAAACCAACTCTTCGTTGAGCTAGGCCGCCTAGGGCCCTGGGCACATAAGTCACAACACCAGAGGCATGGAGAAGCCCTGGTGACATTATGCAGAGGAGGAGGGGGGACAAGGGTTGGAAGAGGGGGAGACTGCAGAGGGAGCTGGGGCTTTACATCGCATCCAACTCGGTCCCAAGCAGAAGACTGGAGGCGGGGTATGTCCCACAACCAGACCACGGATTAGGGTGGGGTCTGTTCTGAAGCTTTCTGGCGGTGGAGGGCGCCTGGATGGAGGGAAAAGTCTCTTGGTCTGGCCAACCTAGTGCCCGGCCCTGAAGTGTCCAGCCGAGGGCGCACGCATGAGCTGAGGTCCGTGCGCCGCCGCTCTAGCCGGAGTCTGGTCATAGAGCCGCTCGTCTTCCGGTCCCGCGGAAGCTGAGAGGGAGCCGGAAGTCTGCTGGGCTCCGGGCTTCGCGATGGAAGAGAGCGATTATGAGTCGGTGCTCTGTGTCAAGCCAGAGATCCATGTCTACCGCATCCCACCGCGGGCCACCAACCGTGGCTACAGGTGACCTCCCGCTGGCCCTGGTTTAACCCCTTGTCTGCCGCCCCGACACATCCACTACGGGAGCCGAGCAAGGCCCCGTCCAGTTTAGCGGCGAAGGGGAGGTAATGCTGGGCGTTTTCAATTGGAGGCCAGAGTAAGAAGGGGGACCCAGAGTTGAGGCCGTCTCCGTACTACACGCAGGACTTATGACGGCCGGGAAGCCGTTAGAACCTAGCGCTTGGGGACCCCTGGGCGCTGCCGGGGGCCCTGAACTTGGTTAGGGGTGGTGGTGTCACAGAACTTTCTCTTCCGAAGCTAACCGATGGCCTTGAAGGTGTCTTTGAAAATCATAAGGGATGGGAGGACCTGTCACTGGCGAATTCTCTGAGGGTAGAGGAGGGAGCCCAGAACCTGTCAAAGGAACCCGACCCGACCAGGGGAACTTCAGGCAGACGGCTCAAGCCCTGGGGCCTTTTCCTACTCAGCTCCCTGTCCCCGGGTGACACCTTTGATCACTGCTTGTAGTAGTTGGGAGGAACCCATTCTTACTTAGCTTGTGTAAACGAAGAAACACCTATGCTTGTAAAGGATAAGAGTATCTGAAAGGGACCATAGGGAACTTCCTCAGGGGAGGAGAGCCAGGGTTTAACTATCTTTTTGTGTTGTTTGCATTTCATTATCTTTGCGTGAAAAAAAGATACCCAGATACAGATAACCAGTGTGTGTCACTGAGTGGTGGCCAGGTGCTGACACTTGAGAGGGGTGCCTCCTGCAGTGTGTGACCAAGTGATTCTGAGATAAGGGATTGGCCTGCTCCAAAAGAACGATGGAGCATCCACCAGCCTTCCGCCTTGTTACTTCCCAATTGTGTTAGCCCAGGCTGGTAGTGAGGCTTCTGCATCCATGATAGAACTTAAAAATAGTGTGACAGCAACAGTAAGAAGAATGCATTTGCTCTCTGTCAACAAACTGGAGATGGGGCACCAAACGAGGGATGGACGTACACCCTGATCTGCTGTTGGGTCTTGAGCAGGGTGGGTTTGGTTCCCCCCTGGTCCCCCAGAGAGCAAAGTTAGCAGATGTCAGGCCTAGCTGGCTTGGCAGAGAGGAAACTGCCAACCTCTAGGTCACCCTCCAGTTCTCCTTAGCCAAAAGCTAAGTGCTGCTGCCCCAGTAAGAGGAACTGAAACCAGGTCTGCTGACTGGTGAATTGAGTGTCTTCATTTGTTCCACAGCTCTTGAGAGCTGACACAGGCTTAGGAACTTCCAAGAAATGTCTCCTGGAAACACCCACAGTTCTTGGTATTTAGGGGTTTTATTAAGCTGCTTCTTTGAACTTATTGTTTTAAAAGAGCAAAAAGAGAATGTTGGTGTTGGTCTATGGCTGTGGTGGCAAACCTATGGCATGCGTGCTATAGCAGGCTGTTTATTATCAGTGAAAGCTTAAAGGTTTCACCATCACTGGTCTCTGGTTTCTTGGGCTTCTTTCTGCCTGGGATACCTTTGAGAATATATGTCTGAAACACTCACTTTTCTAATATGTGCTCTCGTGCACTGTTACCTGACTTTTCTCTCTTTCCCCTGTACTTTCCCTCTAAAATGGTCTCAGGTCCCGGTTGGGTATGCTGACTGCCAAGGTCTAGCAGTGTCTGAACTGCCCCTCCCCCAGCTGCTTCCTCTGTGGAAAGGAAACCAGAAGGAAATCCCTCTTGAAGGAAGATCTCTAGTATAGAATGGGAGTCAGCAAGGTACAACGTACTGTTTTTGAATGGCCTGCAAGCTAAGAATGGTTTTCACATTTTTAAATAGTTGGGGAAATTTTTGAGGAATATTTCATAGTGTGAAAATTGTGAGAGTTTCCGGCTTCAGTGTCTGTCTGTATAGTGTTATTAAGACAACCATGCTTGGTAGAAAATATTTCCTTCAAATAAAGCAGCCTGCTTACATATTGTCTGACTATTTCTCCAACACCAGAGTTGCCTGGTTGTGACAGGCTGTGTCAAAGCCAAAAGTATTTACTGTCCCTTTGTAGAAAGTTTGCCAACCCTTGGTCTAGAACAAGTGGCCCTTCCCATTCTTGTCTCCAGCATTGGAAAAAGAGTGGCAGCCTCTGGTAGAGGCTCAGTGGTTTTTGTTCCCGTAGGGCCTCGGAGTGGCAGCTGGACCAGCCATCTTGGAGTGGCCGGCTGCGGATCACTGCAAAAGGGAAGGTGGCCTACATCAAGCTGGAGGACAAGACCTCAGGTACAGGCAGGGAAGGCTGCCCCGGGCTGAGATGTCACATATCTCTTGGGATGAAGGCAGAGGTGGCCGGGGCCAGCCAGGTTGCTCAGGGCTCATGGGAATTGGAGACCCTGTGTACCTTTCAGCTGCGCCCCCCCCCCCCCCCGCCATCTTGGGCTCAGGTGTAGAAACCACTGTCCCCAGGTGTAAAAAGGAGTCTGTCTTGTCAAGACTTGCTCCTTCTGGGGGTCCTTAGGAAACCACTAGTTTTAGAGGCCAGGGAGAAGAGACCTTTGGTGTGGTCCCAGCAGAAAACAGGAAGCCCCAGAGCTTTCCTGGAAGAGAGGCTTGGCTCAGAGGCTGCTGAGCTGGGTTCTTACTCAGGTATTCTGTTTATCAACCTAACTGTAACTCCCCAGAGTTGCCACACCCAATAACTGGAGGAGCTGGAAACTGTTCTGCTTAGCTCTTTGTGTGGCAAGAGGACAAGCCACACTGGGCTGCATATTGGTCAGCTGGCAGCTATGGACTCTGCAGAAACCTCCCCAGATGTCCTGGGCCACCAGTGATCTTGGGGGTAACATGCTTGGAATCTCCCAGCCTGAGACCCTGATTGGGGATCAATTGGGCACAGAGCCCACTCAGGAGCCATAGCCTTCTGCCATGTACTTTTTTCTAATATGTGGAGATTTCCCTTTGTGGAACAGAAGGAAGTACAAAGATTTAGAGGCAGAACCACTGTGCCTTCTCAGAAAGGTCTGAGTTGTCCAACCTTGGGCAAGGCACATGACCTTCAGAGCCTTGGCCCCGTTTTTGTTGAAAGGAGGATTGCATTAGTTTCTCCCCATTATTTCCCTGATGGAAATATTTATCCCTTTGCTCTATGAGCTGTAAGGTGACCCAAAGTAGCATCTCCCAAGGTGTGACAAACAAAAATGTCCCAAGATCTTGCCAGCTGTCCCTGTGGGAAAGGGGAGCAAATCACCCCTGGTTGAGAATGTTGCTGTAGGCTACAGGTATCTAGGTGGGCCTGGCTCTGAGGTACCAAGCTGGGGTGGATAAATTGACAAGAAGCTACAGACTCCATCAGTTTCGATTGGGTTCAGCCCTTTTACCCAGTCACTGTAAGCCACAGGACTCAGTAGAGATGCTTGGTTCAATACTTACAGCAGCAACAGCAGCACATGGAAACAGGGAAGTCACCACACTCACAGGTTTGTGTGCTGCGTGGCAGCTCTGAGGAACTGGCCTTGACAAAAGGGTGTATTTCCCAAGGGTGCCTTCTAAAGCCACTCCTTCTTTTGCCCATCTCTGAGACCGATTAAGTCAGCCTGCTTTAGAGTCTTCCTCTTCAGTAGGTGTGGAAACTTCCTCCTTTTCACAGAGCTCCAGGCCTCTCCTGCAGTCTTGTTCCTGTGTGACGCCTTTTGAAGGGGCGGTGCACCCTGTCCAGGGCTCACTCAAGCCAGGGCCTTGGGCCTTCAGTGGGTCCTGTACTTGGGTAAAGCAGGTGGGACAGGAGGGTGGTAGCTCTGTGTAGGAATAGAGGCCCATCTTTGGGAGAGCTTGTCATTTTAGGGAAAGCTAAAAATCTGGATTATTTCACATGTAGTTTGATTTTGAAATATTTGGCTATTAAAAGTAATAAAACCATGGACTGAGTTTGATCTGTAACCCACTTCTGACTTGGTTATGTCCCTGTGTCTTCCCTTCAACAAGAATGGATCTGATGGAAGCTGGGTGTAGTGGCACACACCTGTGATCCCAGCACTCGGAAGGCTGAGGCAGGACGATCACTGTAAGCTCCAGGCCAGCCTCTGGGCTCTATAGTGAGTTCAAGGCCAGCCTGAACTACATCTAGAGACCTTGTCTCAAAAAAATAAAAAAGAGGGCCAGGGATTTAGCTTTGGTTCCACGGCTTCAGGTGCAAGGTCCTGAGTTTGATCCCCAGTACTAAAAATAAATAAATAAATAAACAAACAAACAAATAAATAAAAGAAATTATTTGGTGGGCAGATTTGCTTATGTGCCTCTGCTTGCGGGAGTCATCTCAAGAAGGAGTCCCTGCTGTTGTGATAGAAGCACCAGGCACGCAGGCTCAGGGCTCACCCCACTTGTGCTTTCAGGGGAGCTCTTTGCCCAGGCACCAGTGGATCAGTTTCCTGGCACAGCAGTGGAGGCTGTGACAGACTCCAGCAGGTACTTTGTCATCCGCATCGAAGATGGAAATGGTACGTGTCAGTCTGGCTGCCTCCTCTTAGCAAGGTGTTCTCTGCCTCTGGGAAAGTGGATTGATTGTGTGTTGTCTCCCAGGGCGACGGGCATTTATTGGAATTGGCTTCGGCGACCGGGGTGATGCCTTTGACTTCAATGTGGCATTGCAGGACCATTTCAAGTGAGTGCTTCTGGGAGACACGGCTCATGCCTCTTCCCTTCTTTCTCTGGACAGGATGACTCCCCAGGTTAGGAAACGGAAGTAGCTATGTGTGGTTTGTGTGCTAGCTGAGCCTCGAGAAAACCCAGTCCTCCTCAAAGTCAGGCCACCTTCCCTCCACTCTGCCTGTCTCCATCACAGATGTCTCACTCTTTCCCCATGGCCCGTCTCTGCCATCCTAGTCAGCTGCCCAGCCTTTGAGGTGTCACATCTCTTCTTCCCAGCCCCTTACCTGCCAGAGTCCTTGTCACACTCCTTTGGTCTCTCTGGGCCTACTCTTCCCTGATATCATAAGGGTCACTCTGATTCCCAGGCCACCAGCAGTTGCCTTGGTGTCCTTTATGGAAAGACAGGGCACAAAAATTTCCCTCTGCCATCCGCAGGACTCCCACTGCCTGCCAATAAATGAGTACTGCCCAGCCGCTTGTATGGGCACTCTTGTCCCTGATGGCTATTAGATGGCCTTGTATGGAGGTTGGGGACATTTGTGTTGGCCTCCACTTCTGTCCTGTCTCACCATGTATGAGGTGGATTGTGCCCAGACCATGCCAAGGACTGGGGAGGAGAGGGCCAGGCTCTCCTAGTACTTCCTGGAGCCTACTGCTAGGACCCCGTATAAGGGATCTCATCGAGTTCCCAAGCATCTTAACTTGGATCATCAGCCATCATGAGAGCTTACGTGCATGCAGCTGCTTAGTGTCAGATCTGGGACTTGAACCCGTAACCCCCACCCCAACTTCCATAACCCTCATCCTGCACTAACTTGAGTGTGCGCTAATGTAGGCAGCTGCTCTCTCCTGCCTCACTGTTCTATCCTGTTCTTTCCCCAGGTGGGTAAAACAGCAGTGTGAGTTTGCAAAACAAGCCCAGAACCCAGACCAAGTCCCCAAATTGGACCTGGGCTTAAAGGAGGGCCAGACCATCAAGCTCAGCATCGCAGTGAGTCTTACCTTGCATGATTATTGGCCATGGTCATTTGATGCTCGTGGCCACCCAGCCCTGCCTGCTACTGTCCTCACAGTCCACTTCTGTCAGTGCAGCTGGTGTTCACTGCGCACCCACCTGGGCCAGGTTTGCACCTGGTCCACAGAGACCTCTGCTGTCATGGGGCTCAGAGTTGAGCTGAGGTGGGCAGGTGAAGGTGTGGTTATAACACGGCACAAGAGGTTCTGTGACCGAGGGTTGCCCTGGTGCTGTGAGCGCCCAGAGAAAGGGCTATAATTGGGGACCCAAGAATCATTTCCCAGAGGGACCCAGCTGTAGGAAGGGGTGAGGGACCAGAGGATAGTTCAAGCCTCTGAGTTGAGAAGCAGCGTTGGTCACTTGCTGCCAGAGCTGTGTCTCTATACTGGCTGTTACAGTGGGTGAGGAGCAGTCAGTGTGCTCCTCCTAAGCTGTACCTTGGCCTTGTGCCTCGAGTAAAGAAGACTTGAGGTGCTGTGGGCCGGAAGGCATTGGGTGGGTGCTGGGAGTCATGGGCAGCTGGCAGTGGTGTTGTCCTCACTCCCTATGTCTTTGTCCTGAGCTGCTCTGCATCCGGCCCCTCTTGGCTCCTGTTGCATAGGAACAGTTGGGGTGGGCCAGGTTGCCAGGGCTCAGCCTTTACTTGGCTGCAGGGGTATAGTGGGGAGATGGAGTTGGAGTTAAGAGTTTGGGGAACCAAGTGGGTTTGTTTTTTGAAGAAAGTTTGTAACTAAAATAATGCTTTTCCTCTTTACTTACCATCTCTTTCTCCTCTTTTCTGCTTGCTGGTGATGTTTGGGACCCTTGAAGTTGGCCGAGTGGCCTTAAGAGAAAATACAAGTCCAATCCAGTGGACTTGTTGGGATGTGATTCTTTCTCTTGCTTGGAAGAAACTAACATTTAATGAGCATCGGCTGTGGGCCAGGTAGAGTTTCCAGGCATTTCGCATGCAATTAAACACCCTCCCTTTCTCCAAGCCAAGGGTGTTGAGGTGCAGAGAGGTGACAGGACCTGACCAGGGTCTCAGCCCAGGATGGACTGGCACAGCTGGGCTCCCCGAGGCCCTGCCCATCTCACCCTGTGACTAAGCCGCTGCTTTCTTCCAAGTAGAGAGCGCTGTCGTCTTCATCTGTGTAACTTGTGCTGCTTTCTGGCTATGCTTGGTGTTCAGTTTTGTGTTTTTCAAATGTTTTATTGAGGTATAATATGCATACATAAAGGTGCCCACATCACAGTGCAGAACTCTGAATTTTGGAAAACCAAACTTACAAACATAGAAGTTTGGGCGGAGGATTTAGCTCAGTGGTGCAGCTGCCTGCCTTGCAAGCACAAGGTCCTGAGTGTGATCCCCAGTACCAAAAAAAAAAGATAACAAACATAGAAACTTGTCCCAGATTAGGAAGCTGAAGGCTACAGCCTACAGCACTGGGGAAGCCCTTCCCTGCCCCTCCTAGCAGCCGCCCAACCTGACCTGGGAAGCACTAGAGTTTGTTCATAGCTTTCTCAGGTGGAGTCATATACTTCCGTCTTTTTTTTGTATGGCCTCTCTTTCTCAGTGTAATTGAGAGTTCCTGGGGTTGCACATGTGGCTTGTCCCTTTTCACTGTTGTGGCATGTACCATTGTGCAAATGTGTGCAGTGTACCTGTGGTACTGAGGGTGGACACAGGAGTGTCCTGTTGGGACATAGCTGCTGTGCATGTTGGAGTTCGTGTCTTGGTGCATGGATGCGCGCTTTGTTCCCAGGTCTGCGTCCAGGAGTGGGGTGCAGTGCCGAGATCCTATGTTGAGCTGCACAGTCTGTTATTTATCTGTTTTTACTAGTGCACGTTAGAGACACAGGATAGTGGTTCTATGTTCGCTTATTTGTACATGTATGTAACACACTTTGGACATCCCTCTCCCTGGGCTCTTTCAAACACTTTTTGAGAGTTTTACTGATTCACACATCCATACCAGTGCATGAATGACCCCATGTCCCTGTGGATACACGATGGTGGATGCTTTAGCCCTTGTGGTGGGTGTGTAATGGTGTGTCATTGTGGTTTTAACATGCGTTTCCCCAATGATGAGTGAATCGGTGCTGGGTTTTACAGTAACCATATTGGTGATAGATTTAGAATTGTGTTGCATTGAATATAGCCCATGACAGTGAAGGTGCTAGATAGGACCATCTTCTGGTTATACTGGTTTTGGGGACCTGTGGGGTCCCTCTGGCTTTCCTCATGGGGTTTTCTGATGCAGCTGGACCCCAGCAGAACTGACCAATTTGGATTTCTCTCCTCTGTAGAACATGAAGAAGAAGGAAGGAACAGCCGGGACCCCCCGAGCCCGGCCTGCCAGCACAGGAGGGATGAGCCTGCTTCCCCCACCCCCTGGGGGCAAAGCCTCCACACTGGTCCCACATCCTGGGGAGCAGTTATTGATGACAGGGCCCTCTGTCCAGCCAGTAGTTGCTCCTGGCTCAGGTCAGTGTTTGGGGGTGCCACTGAATCTGTATCTGTGGGCTGCAGCCAAGGCTTTCCTTCCTTACACTCGCTGATCTGACACTTTGTACCTGTAGTTGGCCGGCAGGATGTGAGTGCCACAAAGTGGATACTCTGTTCCCCAGATGCCTCTGCTTTCCCCTCAGGGTGACTGCCCTCCCTGTTAGCTTGCAGATCCTGGTCCTCAAGAGGTATGGAGAGCGAGGGCAACACAGATGTGGTCTCTGGTCACATCCAGTGGTGGGACAAGTCCCAGGCATAAAGGCCCACTACGTGGGGCCAAGACTGCCAGCAGCCAGCACCGTCTTTGAAGCTTCATGGAGGAGCGGGTACTGAGCTGGCTTGGGAAAGAAGGAGAGTGGGACAGAGGTGTTGGCATTCAGGACAGAGGAATGTGGCCAGGCTCAGACTTGGGCACATGAGGTGTGTTGAGGTGAGCCAGGAGATCGGATTGGAGATGGAGTTTGGAGTGAGCCTTCTGTTGTTGCTGGGAAGCTGAAAGGCAGCTCCCTCCGCAGGCTGCACAGCCAAGTCCTTTAGGGGTCTCTTTCCCTCTGCCTCCCCACCTGACTGTGCTGCCCAGTGTGATGTCCCTGGCCTTCCATGTGCTGGGAGGTCATCATCTGCCTGCCTGCTCCTCACAGCTCTCACCTATTCTTGGGGGCAGCATCCAGGCAGGAAGCCTTTTTGCTTTCCTGATCCTTGGTTGTTCCTCTGTCCAGAGATTGTCCTTCCAGCCTCAGCCTGTTTGGGAAAGCAGCAGGAGGCACAGGCAGGAGCCCCTACCCTAGTGCCAGGAACTGCTATTTAAGGATTATTTCTCATAGTGTCTTGGCATCTCTAGGTCCAGGGCGGCAGTCTCCATTCTCATTCGTATTCTTTTTTTTTTTTTTTGGTACCGGGGATCAAACTCAGGTCCTTGCACCTGCATAGCAGGTGGCGAAACCACTGAGCTAAATCCCCGGCCCTTGTTCATATTCCTATACTTCTGCTCACTAAGGGCTGAGAACCGCTGCCTTGGCCTTCCCTGAGTTGCTGGTGCTGCAGCTGGGGCATGACTGTTGGAGTGTTAGGCTCTGGGGACACTGTAGGGACAGATGCCCTTGACTTACAATGGGTGGAGTCATGTCCTGGTGAACCCACTGTAGGTTCATATTATAAATCAGAAATGCATTTAGGAACCTGATAAAGCCAGGCACATGCTCATGCTGTAATCCCAGCACTGAGGGAAACTGCAACAGGAAGATTCCCCAGCTTAGCGAGAGACCCACCTAGGTGGGCAACTTAGTGAGACCCTGTCGCAAAATTATAAGAGCTGGGGATGTAGCTCAGTGGGAGAGCACCCTTGCATTCAGTCTGTGGTACTGGAAAAAGAAAGCATCCTGATAAACCATTGATAAAGTTGAAAAGCTGTGAATCAGATTGTCTGGCTGGAGACTGTTGTACGGCAGATGTCCCTGCTCTCTCAGGCTCCTGTCCAGGTCTGAGGCAGGTAGTCAGTAGGTCTACAGACAGGATGGGTCACACAGTGCTCACCAAGCCGGCATCTGTTGGCTCTAGCTTACATTCGTGGGATACCCAGAAAACAGTCGCTTCTCTGCTCCCCGTCCGCAGGGTAGAGTAGAAACAATGCCTACAGCACCAGTTTCCTATCAGGATCCAGTGAGCTGATCTGGGTACTACACTTAGAGCTTTATCTAGAACCTTGTGAGCATTCATGAACGGTTCTCCCTCTCTTTATTAATGTTACCCCATTATAGCCAGAGAGTGCTGGGCTCGTGCTCAGCATTCCAGGTACATTGACTCATTTAATCCTCCCACCAGTCCTACAAAGTAGTTATGGTTACTGTCCCCACTTGAGAGATGATAAAACCAAAACTTAAGTGACCCACACACACAGTCACAAGGCCAGCAGTGTGGTGATGCATGTCTGTAATCCAGGCACCGAGGAGGCTGAGGCAGGAGGATCGCTGAGAGTTTGAGACCAGTCTGGGCTACATAGTGAGTTCTCTCTCTCTCTCTCTCTCTCTCTCTCTCTCTCTCTCTCTCTCTCTCTCTCTCTGCTTTTTGAGACAGGATCTCATTATGTAGTTTAGGCTGGCCTTGAACTGATGGTGATTGTCCTGTCTCAGCCTCCTAAGTGTTGGGATTACAGGTGTACACTACCACACTCAGTTTACATAGTGAGTGAACTACATAGGGAGACCTTGTCTCAAAAAAAAAGACCTGCTGGGGATTTATCTCAGTGGTTCCGATGCCTGCCTCAAAAGCACAAGGTCCTGAGTTCGATCCCTGTACAAAAAAAAAAAAAGACCTGAGACCAGTCCTGGCCTATCTTCCCTGAGGGGCTGTGGTGAGGTTCACATGAGATAATGTGGTTAAACACTTAGCAAACTGTAAAATTCACCATTGAGGACCTCCTTTTATCTGTTCTTTTAGGCCGGAACAGAGGAGAAATAGCAGATTAGTGGGAAGGCAGAGGGTGGCAAACACAGGGCCTTCAGAAGGGACAGTTGGTGGCACGGGCCAGGTGCCAGCAAAGCCCCAAAGTAGGCACCACAGCCCTGCTGCCTCCCACCTGGGGACAAGATCCCCGAGGCCCGCTTCTGTGTCACCTCTGCTCTTCTGCAAGGTTCTCTCTGACCTGACCTGCTGGGGGCTGGGACTTGGCGCACATCTGGCACCTGATGCTCTCGGTTAGTTGCATGTAGTGACAGCCTTTACATGAAGGTGACCTTGTGGCTTGGGGACGTTCTCCACTTGGGGTCAGAGTGGGTTTCAGCATACTCTTCAGCCCCAAGTGACAGGTGACATGTGGCTTGTTCCACCTTCCTGTTACTGTCTGTTCCCCAGACGCCCTGAAGGGCTCATGAGGGCGATGGTGGAAATGTGCAACTCTCTGGTGTTCGGTTGCCCAAAAGCACATCTCTGGGTGTCTCAGCCTCCTGGAATCATGACATTGTCACTGGGTCTTGTTATTTGGTCACTGACAGAACTGGAAAGAGGTCTCTGACTCCCTTGTCTCTGCTTTCTCCCTACCCATTGGACCTGGAAACAGCAATAGGAGGTGCCACTGTATCCTGGCCACAGCCCAAGCCTGCCACTGCAGCCACTGCTGATGTCTGGGGAGACTTTACCAAGTCCACAGGGTGAGGAGGGCTGTGTTCTGGCTGGCCTGGGCTGGTTGGGATGGCACCACACTCCATCTTCTTGGCAGCCAGGTCTCACCGGCCACTTTCAGGCCAGCCAAAAGACAGAGCCCCTGGCACGTTGTCCTCTGTGCCTTTCTGAAGGCCTTTGCTGCTCCCTACTGCCTGAGGCCGCCTGTTGCAACTCTGTGGTCCTCTGTATCACCCCACAGGTGCCTGGCTTGACCCCAGGACCTCACCCTGCTTTCCTTGCTGTCCCTAGCTACCCCAGCACACCAGGCTGAGGGTCAAGGTCCTGGCTCTAGGCCTGGCCCACCTTTGCAGCATCTCTAAGGGAAAGCGTCTGGCCTGGCCAGACTGGATGGGGCTTCAGGCCTTCGCACGGGGTCAGAGTAGAGAGACACTCAGTTCTTACTGCACCATTATCCAAGTGGACAGGCTCTAGGCCTGGGTCAGTGCCAGAGAGCGAGTGGTTTGGACGGTGTGTGTGGTCTGGTTCCAGCTACTCAGTCCTGCTCTGCAGCACAGAAGAGCCACAGAGGATGGACACGAGTGGGTGCAGCTGTGTGCAATAAAACTTTACTTACAGGCATGATACAGCTTGTAAGAGTCTTTTTAAAGAAAGTTTGCATTAGCTAAACACGCAGATTTGGTCCCTGAGCCATAGTTTGCTGACTGCTGCCCTAGACCATTTAGAGACTGACTGCTTAGAGCAGTGATGATGAACCTTTTAGAGCTTTCAATGATACAAACAGCCTGCTGCAGCACATGTGCCATAGGTTTGCCACCACTGCCTCAGAGCTCTGATCCAAGAACCAACTTATCTGCTTTTCAATAACCAAGCTCCCACCTTCCCTGTGTCCGCCTTACAGGTCGACTTCTAGCCAGATGCAGCCGGGCACAGGTTGGGTCCAGTTCTGACCAGAGCACAGCTCTCTCTTGACACTGCATCTGGGAAGGACCTGCCTCATCCCGGCTGAGAATGGAGGCAGCGTGCCCTGGCTGGCTCTTGACAGACTGGCCCTGTGGGGCAGTAAATTGGCGCCATGTCACAGTGTTTCCAGGATTTGAGTATGTAGCTGGAGCTCTGGAGAAGAAACACTCCAGGACCCCTACCCTGTCCCTCTTGAGACTGTCCTTCCTTCATTGCAGTGACCCACATTAAACATGAGCCCCAAAATCAATGGAATGGCTTGAGTTTGCGGCTCAGATTCAGAGCAGCCCTTCCTGGGGTGACAGGTGTCACGGGATCACTGTTGGCAGGGGACTTTCTACACTCCTCTTGGTGGCAGCCACTCATTCAGGTGCCCTCCAGAGCAAGGATTCCTACCTGATTTCTAATTGGTCTGCAGGCCAAGCTTGAACAGGCCATCGGGGGAAATTGGAAGGAGTGAGCAGCTTTTTACAAGGTACTATTTTGCTTTGCCAACCTGTGAATCTGCACTAACTCGTCTTTGCAGCGTGCACAGCGAGGAGCTCTGAAGGCACTGCCCAGCGGCTGGCCCGAGCCCAGACAGCACTGGTTCCACTTGCCTGATACCAGCTAGGTGGGCGGTGGGGGCGAGGCCAGCACTGGAAGACAGGTGGGACAGTGTGTGGCAGGAAGGCACAAACTTGTCATGGAGCTCGGCGGCCTTCCTGCCTGCCAGCAGTTCTGGGCTCACAGGTTCCCAGCACAGCAAGCAGCTTCTGTGGATGTGGACTTTCTCTGGATTCTGAAGTGCCTTATCTGCAGACAGCCTTATAACTAACTTCCTCCTTCAGGGACTGTGAATGACAGACAGAGGGGCAACAAGTGCTGGAGTCCAAGGGCCTGGATGATCGGTTTACAAGGAAACATTTTATCTTGTGCGCCTTGGAGATTTCTTTATTGAATTAACCTTACCTCTCGGTGAAAAGATTTCTTTTGTGAAAGGTCAAGACCATGAGCTGAAAAAAGTGTTGACCTTTTTGTGGGACCAGATTTTTAAGATTAAAGAAATAAATATTCCTACTTCTGTCTAGGTATGTCAAAGATGTATGTGTTTTTTTGGCTTCATGGCTGCTTGGCCCTCCAGGATGCCACCGAGGCTCACAGTCACCTCCTGCACCACTGGCACCTGTCCCCATAGGCCCTGGGATCAGGGCATCAGATCGGCAAAGTGGAGCAGTTTGACCTTGTTGCCCCAGGCCATCAGTGATGTCTCCCCTGTGGGTTAGGGCAGGCTTTTCCCATCCTGGGGACAGGGTGAAGGTGGCAGCTTGATTCGCCCTCCGGAGGGCTGACTCTGTCCTGGAACCCTGCCCCACCTACCCCGCATCTCCCTGGGAGGAGGGGTGTGCACACGTGCAGGGATCAGGCAAGGTCAGAAAGGCCACATTTTTTGTGGTTAAGCATTCTGTAAGAAAGATGCAGCTCGTATCATGAGTTAAAAGAATAGCTACAAGGGCGAGTAAACACTGGGAGGAGAAGAAAGCTGAGGATCAGCCCGCCCATTGAATAAGGATAAGGTGATAGCACCAAAGGGTGGGTGCATAGGTCTTTGTGTCTGTTTCACATCACATTACTTCCCAGGTTATCTCTTAAGTGCCTGCAGGCTGATAAAAAGCTTGGGCCTAGAAGAAACCCTGAATTAGAAGTGTGTTGCCTTGAACTTGGGCCCTTGGATGCTGAAGACAGACCTGGACTTTGGATCTGGGCTGTGCCCTAGTGAGCAGTGATGGGCTGGTTTCTTACCCAGGGATCACTTGGGTAAGGCATACAAAGCACTAGCAGGGCCCCATTTTGTTTGTCTTTAATTTTCTCTAGAGTCGGGTAATAGGTAGGAAGAGGAGGAGAGTAATGATAAGGAATCAAAGATCTAACTTGAAAAGTATATTGAGGGCCTGGTGGGGGCAAGGGACAGTTTGGTACTATTGCCAACTGAAATCCCAGGTGAAATAAAAATATTGGTACAGGACCAGGGTCTCCAAAAAAAGCCCCAGTAACCAAGCCAGGCATCTCTGCAATTATACCCACAATTGGAGCTTACACATTGGTGTGAGTATGACTTGGTAGGATAAAGGCCTTGGGTTGGGGTATGAGACCTCAATGCTCTGCACATGGGGAATTTGGATGCCCTGGGAGGTGTCGCACATGGACACCAGCGTGGCCACCGTAATCCCACCTTGGTGTTCACAGCCTGTATAAGACCCTCCTCGAGTGTGGGCTAGACTTGAATGGTAACCCAATCTACACCATTACTTATCCATGTTTTTCTTTTTTTGTGTACCGGGGATCAAACTTGGGTCCTTGCGCTTGCACAGCAGGCAGTGAAACCACTGAGCTAAATCCCTGGCCCACTCATCCATGTTTTTAAAATGAGATGGGCTGTGACTTGAGCCTATAGCCACAGCTACTCAAGAGGCTGAGGCAAGAGGATCATAGGAATTCAAGGCCAGCCTGGACAACACTGTGAGGCCCTATCTCAAAACAAAAACAAATGAGAGAAATGGTAATGAGATGGAGCACTTGAGATTATGTAACCAGCCCAAAGTCACATAGTAAGTGTAGCGCTGAGACTCAGAATCCTAGAGCCAGGCAATCTGGCTCTAGTATCCACGCTTTTAATCAGCCTGTGTCTTCATGAAAGGTGCTCCCTGCAGGGCCTGCACATGAGAGTTGCTTTATACAGAGATGTTCCCTTGCCTTCCTCATGGGTGGAAATAAGCTATGACACAGCAGGTGTCCAACGGCAGGCCATGGTGCGGGGCTTTATTCCACTGGTGACTGAAAGCCTCTGAGCCTTCTGAGCACACAGTAGGTGCTCAATAGCTATTGATTTCTCTGAGCAGGGAGTGAGAAAGATGCTCTTTGGACAGAGTGGACTAATGTAAGACCACTTTTTCTTCATTGTGTCTTGTAGACAGAGACTAATATTTTTCCTGTTTACAGGCATGAAAACAAAGACAATATTATAATTATTTGTAATACTGTCATAGCAAAAGATCGGAAGTCACCCATATGTCTATACAGTTTTAGTTTCTATTACTACAACATCTACCCCAGAACTTGGAAGCTTTAAGGACACATTTGTCATCTCACAGCTTCTGTGGGTCAGAAATGTGACATTGCATTGTCGTTTAAACATTCATTGCTCAAAATGCTACAGCCTTATTCAGGTGGTATTTTCTACAAAAATTTTCACTATTTCCTGCATTTTACAAATTTCTGAATTCTCATTTGAAGTGAGGGATTCCTCTGCCTTTTTCTCCTCCTCCTCTGCAGAGATCTCCATAGCCTCTTGCTGTTGGGAGACGATCACCCGCAATTCCTCAGCGAGAGACAGAAGAACCACTGGCTCAGCTGTGATCACGTGTGGTTCAGCATCTCTTACTACTTACATTGCAAGACATCGCTTGCTTATCAAGTTAAAATTTATTAGAAATGTTTGCTTGTCTTGTGGAACAAGTTACAATCTAAGGTTTTACTGTGTGTATATACACCATATATATTTTGCTCTTCTATAAAAAATAGGAATGGAAAATATGAACTTAATGTGAACAGAATGTCTCTGGACACGTGTACAGGAAACAGCACTCTAGGTTGTCTACAGAGTGAGATTAGGTGATTAGGAGGCAGAAATGGTGAAATATTTTATAACTTTCTGTCCTATTTGCATTTTGAACCATGTCATCAAAAGGTCACCTGTCATACTAATTCCCAAAGACAGCATAGTTAACATTTTAGTGTTTTCTCATTTTTTTCTATTACATATAAGAAAAAAGTAAATTATTTTCTTTTAGAAATATGGACTTATTCTGTACGACTGTTCTGAAGCCTTTCATTTAATATATCGTAACCATCCCTCCAGTCATTAAATGTTTTTCTGTAACTTTAGAATGACAGACAGGTCATAGTACTCTATTATATGAATAACCCATGATTGACTGTACAAGTCTTCTGTGGTTGGCCATTTAGGTCTTTTTAGTTTCTTGTTATTAAAGTCAGGCAGTACAGCAAGACTTTGCAAGTCAGCCTTCAGATGCCCAGCAGGGCCATCTGACCAGAATGCCCATCCTCCAAGCCTCTCTGTTAATATGGTTTTACTGATGGTGGGCAGAATCCACCCTAGCCTAGCAGCGGGACTTGGCAGGCATTTGGCCTTAGCAACCTGGGGGTGGTAACTGTAGTCGAGTTTCCCTGTTACCTGAGTTGCAGATTTAGAAGCCTCTGCAGTGATCAGGTGAGCACCTGGTACAACTCCCTTCAGGTGGCTCATTCTGGGGTCACTGTGGTGGGCACCATCTGGTTAAGGGACAGGGTGACCAGTAGTGGCAGCACTGGAGATTGAAATGACTGCAAGCCAGGCTGATCTGAGCCAGGTCTGCAGAGCAGGGGACCCAGTGTACACAGGAGGGCAGCTGGAGGCTTCCCTAGGGTATGTGCTTCCCTGCTGCAGGCTCTAGCCAGATGGGGGTGAGAAGGTCAAGAAGTGAAGAGCTGTGTTTCTGCCCTTCCCAAATCTCAAGTGAGGCATCATGGTGTACAGGAAGGACCATGGGACTGGAAGCCACTGAACTTCCTTCTGTGTGTGCACAGGCAAGGGACTCTACCTTCTGGGGCTTGGGTCCCCATTTCTAAAATGGAGAAAATCCTGGAACCAGCTTTGTAGTTCTGACTGGTTCAGGAGTGACAAGAAAACCTGAGGAAGAAGCCAGCACTGTGTGGTTCTCAGGCAGTGTGGGCTGCTGGCAAGGCACTGGTACTCATAGCCAGGGGAGACCTGGCGGACAGGGGCTGGGCAGGCCCAGGCAAAGGCAGGTCCCCTGCGGGGGACAAGCAAAGAGGGCCCTGGAGCCCTGGTGCTGTGGGGAGCACTCAGAGCGAGCTCCACTGGGGCAGGCAGGACCAGAACTGGACAGGGAAGCAGGACCAGGGACTCTACACAGGGTGACAGACCTGGGCCATGCTGGGACACCCAGCTGGCAGCTGTGTGTCCTGGCAGAAGTCAGTCAGCTCTTCCCAGGGAAACTATGCCCTTCTCCTCCCAACTCAGCACCCTCACCCCAAACTCCAGGGATTGACCTGAATCTCCCCAGCGCAGGCCACACCTTTGCCAGCCCCAGGGCAGCTTTCTCGGGTGCTGAAAACTGCTTCCTTTTCTGCCAAGACGAACTCCCACTACCCTCCACCCACCACCCTCAAACAGACCTGCAGACTTTGCCTGCTAGCTTTTCTTTCTGCGTACTTGTTGCCAAGTCATAAAGTTAAATATACTTTTAAAAGCCACGCCCCTCCTCCTTCAACTCTAGAATCAGACTTGCCTCCACCCATTTAATGATTTGCCCCAATGCCTTCAAGAACAAAAGAATCCCTGGTATGTTGGTGCGTACCTTGGGAACCTGACCCAGGAGGACCTTGAATCCGAGGCTGACCTGGACTTCCTAGTGAGACTTGTTTCAAAAAACAAAACAACAACAAAACCAGAAGGAAGTGAGGCCAGGGAAGGAATGGAGTGAAGGTATTGTTACTGTAGAAATGAACTTGAGACACACACACACCGTGCATTTAGTCTAGAAACCCCGTTTCCTCGTTTCCTCTACGATCTTATTCCCATCCCATTAGGAGAAGCACATCAGTTTGCTGGACGACTTGGGAGCAGAGATACCACGGCGTGACAGTCAGGAAAACATTCGCCTCCGCCAGAGGTCAGGTCACTGGAGCCTCGGTATTGTTTTGGCGGGCTCCGAGGGGCTGCCTGGGAGTCCCAATTCCGTCCTGCTCGGCGATGGGCCTCTCATCTGGGCCAGAGCCTTGGGGTCTGTTTCACACTTTAAGGCCGGCCCGACCGCAGGGGGACTCCGCAGCCGGGACTCCGCAGCCGGGTCTCCGCAGCCGGGTCTCCGCAGTCGGGTCTCCGCAGCCGGGTCTGGGCGGCAGGGAGGCCTTGGGCCAAGCCTACCCTTTCGCCTTCCGGTAGTGCGCAGGGCAATCAATAGGCGGAGGCAGAGGCGGGCCCCAGCCCCCTGCCCGCCCCTCTGCGGCCCCGCCCCTCTCGCCGTGTAGCCCCACCCCGCCCGGTGCCTCCGGCCTCCCCGGCCCCGCCCCTCCCCCCGGTGCCCGGCCCGCTCGGCCTCTGCGGCGGCGGCGGCGCGCAAAGGTAGGGGGCCGGCGGCGCGTGCGCGAGGGGCGGGGGCGGGGCGGCTGCGCGCGGTGCTGGGTGGCGCCAGGGGGCGGGCTGGAGCCCGGTCCGCGTCTTGGGGCCTGAGGGCGCCGGGTGCTATCCGGGCCACTGTCCAGGCCCGGCGGGAGCAGAATGAGCCCAGGGCCTTGCAGATGTACTGCGTCGCCCGCCGCCCCGCTTCGCGCCCGGATTCTCGCGGGTCGACCTGGCTGCAGGGGCCGGGGCCTGTCCGGTTGTCGAAGCCTTCAGGGCCCCACCAGCGCCCCCCGCCTGCCGGGAGAGGCCCTGCCCGGCGGTCACGACGGGTGCAGCCCGCGCTCTGTGGCCTCCGGCGAGTGCGCCCCGGTCCTGCCCTCCTCGCGTGCGAGGCCACTTCATCGTTACAAGCCCAGCAGAGTCCACAGTGTCTCCATTGTATGGTCGAGAAAACTGAGGCCCAGATCGGGCACTGAGAGGTCCAAGATGGCCAGGCATCTGGACCTCGGCCCGTGGGTTCCTCGCAGTGGGGCCTGAGGCCCCTCGTGGCCGTCAGCGCTCTGGAGCTGGCATTTTGAACGAGCTACTCAGTGACTGTCGCGCAAACCTGAGTCTGAGGGCTATGGTGGGGCAGAGGTCTGCCCCTCTGTGACCAAATCTCCCCAGCCCCCAAGGGGACCAGATGTGTCTGAAGGATCCAGTCACTCGCTGGGGAAGGGGCCTTGCGGGGGGCATCTGTGTTTACACCTGAGATTTCCTGTTTTCCTTGCTGATGGATAACTCCGTGGCCGGAGCCCTGCAAACGCTAGGGCAGGGGAGGCGCCCTTCAGGCGCCGGTTTGGGAAAGACGTAAGAAGACCTGGATTTTGAGGGTTCTCACCCACATATTTTCCTCACTTAGCCCTCCTCTCCCTGGTCTTTCTCTCAAGCCTTCGGAAGGTAGGCACCCCCCTCCGCCCAGTGTCACTTGTCGCACACTGCCTAGCTTTGTTTTGTTTTATTTTGTTTGAGACAGGGTCTCAATGACCTTGAATTCACTATGTATCCCAGGCTGCCTCGAACTCGTATTGACCTCCTGCCTCAGCCTCCTGAGTGCTGGGATTACAGGGTGTGTCACCATACCCAGCTACTGCCTGGCTTTTTAACCTGAACTCCTGGGATGAAGTGGGTGCTGGATCTGTGTTCACTGGGTCCTTCTGTGACTCCACACTGTGGGTCACCTTCCATGGTCAGTCTTGCTCCACTGGCTCCAGTCAAAGCCAAGTGAACTGTTTCCTTTCCTTTCCCTTCTCTAAAATGCACATATTTCACATCTTGGATTTTTCCCTGATTTTTAGATTGTTTGCATATCATAACAACTCCAGGATAGGACTCAAGTCAAAACACAATCCTTTTGTGTTCTATATACAGTTTATACCCATAGCCTGAAGGCAATTTTATACAGTATTTTTAGTATGCCTGTGTTTGGACTGTGACCTGTCAAGTGAGGTCAAGTGTGAGCTACTTGTGGCATCAGGGTGCTCAAAAAGTTTTGGATTTGAGGGCAGCACCACACCTGCCTGGCAAGCACAAGGTCCTGAGTTCAATTCACAGTACTGGAAAAAAAGTTTTGGATTTTAGAGCATTTCAGATTTTGAATTTTTAGTTTATGGATGCTTAGTCTGTATTACTTCTCCTTTAGCAATTATTATTATTTTTTTTGCTAGGGCTCAAACTCAGGGCCTTGTGCATACTATGCAAATGCTCTACCACTGAGCTGTATCCCCAGCCCTTTTAGCAGTTTTGATTCATTCATTTAACAGCTATTCATGGAGCTTTGCTCCCTGGGCACTGTGGCAGTAGCAATGAATAGAGCCGACTTGGTCACTGCCCTTGGAGAAGTCAGATAACCTACAGAGTGACCGCAGGCCAAGACCACTTTGACTGGGAGGTCAGGGTTAGCTCTCTAAGATGGCACTTTTGAGCCAAGATCTGGCTGACCAGCAAGAGTCTGCTCCGCAAAGGAAGGAGGAAGAGCATCCTAGGCAGAGAATATGGCAGGTGCAGAGAAGTGCCTAGTGTATCTGAGGAATCAAGAAGGTCAAGAAGGCTAGAATGGGATAAGTGAAGGGGACAGGCAGGCCTTGTGGGCTGTGGCAGGACCGTGGACTTCATTTCAGGTGTGACAGGAGCCAATGGGGGCTTTGAGCAGAGAAGGGAATGATTTCTGCTATGTGAAAATAAAATGGAGTGCAGGGACAAGAAGGGAAGCAGGAGACCTCATGAGGAGCCATCTCAGGAGTCCAAGCAAGGGATGATGATAGCTTATATAATACACATCAGAAGCTGCTCGTGGTTATATAGACCTGTATCCCAGCGCTATGGGAGGCTGAGCAGGAGAATCCCAAGTTCAAGCCCAGCCTGGGCAACTTTGTGACTTAGCAAGACCCTGACTCAAAATAAAAAGTGAAAAAAGGACTGAGGATGTAGCTCAGTGTGGAGGGCCTTGGTTCAACCCCCAGTACCACAAAAAGGAAAAAAAAATCCCAATCAGAGAGCTGGAGTGGTGCTTGGCATACAGTAAGCACTACATAATGGTAGTCAATGGTGTTACTATTTAAACTTTGAAAGCAGTCAGACCTGGGTCTCAGCTATAGCTTCAGCTCTTCATGGGTGATGAGTTTGAGCAAATTATTCAACTTCACTGAGCCTTAGTGTTGCCATCTGTAAAGTGGGTGAAACAGCTTTACATTCTGGGGCTGCCAAGAAAGCTAAAACAGATAAGGCACAGAAGTGATATTTTAGGCACAGGGCCAACTCATGGTTGGGCCAATATTTTTGTTGTAAACTGAGACTAGAGAAGGGGTAAGTGTTAAGAACAACTGGTATATTTGCAACTCATGGGTGATCATTGAGGGGCTTTGGGGATGGCTCTGGCAAGAGGCCTGGCAGGCTGGAGGGCCAAGGGAGTGAGTGCAAGGGTTATCCCCTCTGTATTTACTACTCACTGAATGATTCCTGGGGGTCTGGAACAGTGGTGGTGAACCCATGGCACCATGCCGCAGTGGCCAGTTTGTATCACTGAATACTCTAAAAGTATAGAACTAGGCTCAAAGTTCTAGACTGGGTACTGGGAAGAACCAGCTACATATGAATAGTAATGATGATAACAATAATAACCAACACTTGTCCCTGTTTAACTGCATGTAGTAATTAGGTAACATAAGCTGCTGTGGTAACTGAACCCTGAAACCCCAGGGGCTTAACACAAGAGAAGGCTGTTTTGCATTCAGGAAGTGCCTTGGGTGTTTAGCAGGTGGGTTCCATGGGGTGACCCAGGGACCCAGACCCCATCCATCTTGTGGTTCTAGTCTCCCTGAGGCCTTGGAGTTGGTGGGTGAGGAAGGACAGAAACGATTCCTGCTGGGTCTGCAGGGACATACCTTCTTTCTGATTTAACTCCCTTGGCCAGAACTTGGTCACACGGCCATATCCCACTGCAAGCCTCTAGCCATGTTCCTGAAAGGAACTGGAAATGTGTTTTGGTGAACCCATCGCAGCTTATGCCATACTATATCCAGGCACACAATGGACAGTAGAGCATCTTATTTAAGTCTCATGTTTCTATCATGCACCAATTATCCCATTTTAAAGATGAGGAAATTGAGGCTCAGAGAAATGAAGTCACTGGTGGAGAGTCATAGAGCCAATGAAGAGGCATAGCTAAGATTGCAGCCAAGCTGATCAGATGCGCTCTTAGCCCTTTAAAAAAATTTTATTTTGAGAAAGAGTCTCGCTAAATTGCAAAATTGTCCAGGCTGGGCTTGAACTTGCCATCCTTCTACCTCAGACTTCCAGAGTGCTTGGATTACATGTGTGTCCCACCATGCCTGGCTTTCTTAGTACATGTTTGATGCTATAGCAGAATACCCGAGACTGGGTAATTTATAAAGGAAAGGAGTTTACCCTTCTGAAGGCTGGAAGTCCAACACTGGGTGCCCCATCTGGCAAGGACTTGTGTTGTGTCACCATAGAGGGAAGCAGAAGGCGACCAGGCTCTGCAGGAGAGAGAAGGGCTGGGCTCACTTACCAGCAGCCTACTCACCCACTACCCTGATAAAGGCATTAACCTCTCCTAATCCAATCCCCCCTAACCTAATCCTCTCCTAACCTCATCCCCACTTCTCAACTGTGCATGGGGGACCCAGTTTCAATATGAGCTTTGGGAGGGATGAGCCACATTTCAACCACGGCAGATGCTGTCACTGTAGCATCAATTCCCATGAGGAATTCAATCTGTTTTGGGAGAATTGGCTGGAAGCTGCAGGTGTTGGAGCAGAGCACATGCACATAGGGTTTAGACACTATTTCCTGAGGTCCACAGAGCTCAATAGGACCCTTGGGGGGCAGCTTTGGAGCTGGAGCCAAGGGCACCCTGAGGCCATGGGTTCACTTTGTGAATTTGGCACTGTGTCACGCGCTGTCCATGCACAGACAGTATTTTGTTTAATCCCAGGTGACTCCCTGAGGTAAGGACTAGTATTATCCCCACCTTACACGTGAGGACCCTGAGGCTGGAGAGGCAAAGACCCAAAAGGGCAACAGCCAGTGGGGGAGGGGACTCAGTTGCTGGCCTGTGTCCTTTGCCCAGCACCTGTTGCAGGGAGGCCATCCCAGAGCCCTGTAGCAGCCATGTGAGCCCGTTCTGGGTCAGCTGAGAGGCTTCCTTGGGCTTGGGACTCTGGCCTTTCCCGCCTCTGGCTGCTGACCCCACCCCCTGCACTTGGAGAACTCTAGGACCCAGCAGCCTGGGAAGGGTGGAGAGTGGAGGGTCCTTACCTTCAGGTCCTGCCCCCTTCTTTTCTATCCATCCGTTTTCTTTCTCCTCCACCTCTGCCCCCTCCCCTCCTCTCTCCCACCCTCACCCAGCTCAGCCCTTGGTCCCTGTTCCGCCCACAGTGTGGTCACGTGGGGCACCGCCGGATTTAAGCTTAATCTGCGGGGTGCTCAGCACTGCAGCCTGGCCTTGGGGCATTCGGGCTGGGCCAGTCTTGGGGCCCTGAAGAAGGGGGCCGAGGAGTGCCCACAGCCACTCCCCCCATGAACCTGGGGCTGGCGGGATCGCTGGAGGCCCAGCTGGGACTGGAGACGGTTATTCAGGTGGGCCTGAGGCTGCGCGCACCCTGCTCAGGGGAGGGGAGGAGGCCTAGTAGGTGCGATGAGAGGTGGGTGCATCTTTCCCGGAGAGAAGTGATGGGTGGGAGTGCACAGGGGCCCCAGCTTGCAGATCCCAGCAAGTCTAGGCTGGGGGGTCACCCAGGGCTCATCTGCTATGGCTCCCTTATTCCATCCAGTGCCCTGCTGAGGGGAGAGGAGGCCCTTCCTCCTTGATTTTAGGGTTTGGGTGACTTCTGGCTCAGCAGGATCCTTACTTACCTAGAGTTGGAGCTGGATTAGAGCCATCAGCACTCTGTGGTTCCCTCTTTGGGGTTTGTGAATTGGCCTTGGGGTTCAGTTCTCCTTTCTGGCCCCAGGAGGCCTTCTCTCCTGGGGCAGGGGGCACATGAAATTCTCCTCCCATGGGGCTCTTTGCAGTTCTAACTCCCAGGCTGTGCCCCATCTGGGGCCATCCTGAGGGCCTCGTGGTACCACACCTTGGGCCACAGGACTTGCCTGTCTCCTCCCAGGCCGGGGAGTCCAGGGCCCCTAGTCCCTGAAGACCCCCTCTCTCTTTCCCCATAGACCCTGGAGAGCAGCCTCCTTGGGCCAGGCCAGGAGAAAGGTCTACTCGTGCAGGACCCAGCCCGGGGCTCTGGACTCGGCAGCCTGCCCGCCCAGATCAGGGAGATTGTCACCCGAAACTTCTCCCAGCCTGGGAGCCCAGGTGCCACCCCTTCCACCATCCACGTTTCCCCTCTTCTCACCCCTTTGCCCCAGTCATAAGATAGAAATTGCAGCATCCATTTCTTGAATACTCCTGAGACAGGCACAGCCTGTGATGGGAGACCCTCTTCACAGGAGAAGGAGGCAGGGAGGTGTGATCTGCCCAGACTTATTTATTGCCTGTGAGATTTAGTTTGAAGGGTTGAGTTGCACTGCCTGCGGCAAAGACTTGAACACCAGGTGGCCACATTCCCTCTTGTGGAAGGTGTGAGCTGGCTGAACCTGAGATTACAGGCGAAGAGCAGTTCAGCTCAGACCAGGCTTTGGCAGAGCACAGGCAGGAAGTCTGATTCAGCCTTTCTCCTCTTCCTCCTTTCAACCTGACCTACACTGTCTTGAACCCTGGCTGTAGGAGTTGCCTGCCTTCTTTCCAGCAAGGTCTGGTTACCGTTCTACCCATTTTACAGATGAGTAGGACTCAGGCATAGAGAATAGTACTCAGAGAAGGAAGGAACACGAACACAGGCCTTGAGGCCCTGGGCAGAAATGCTCCCTGGACTCCTAGATCAAGTCACTTCCTGGAGGGACCTGATTCTCCTCCCACCCTGAGGGATGAGTGGGGTGGCTGTGGGTAAGGGTCCCCTGCTGGACCCAGGCAGAAGCCAACCATGTGCCCACTGTTCTTCCCTTGCCAGGCCCTCCGAAGGCCCTGGAGATGGCATCGCTGCTGTCACTGCAGGAAGAGAACCAGCTGCTGCAGCAGGAGCTGTCCCGTGTGGAGGACCTGCTGGCCCAGAGCCGCGCAGAGCGCGATGAGCTCGCCATTAAGTACAATGCAGTTAGCGAGAGGGTGGGTGCTCCCGGGCTGGGGGCTGGGCTGGGGGGAGACATCCAGATCAGGCCCCACCTTGGGCAGGCTGGGATCAGATGGCGGCTCTGTTGACTCGAGTGGCCTAGAGGCCATCGAGGCACTCTGCAAGCCGGGTTCTACAGTGGAGGCAGCAGTTGAGGGGCTGCTGTCTGATCAGTGTGGTACCCAGGTAAGTGCCTGGGTTGGAACAGAGAACAAGGTCCCTAGAGGCTCTTGCTGCCTCCAAGGCTTTGGACCTCTCCTTGGGCTCCCATTCCCATGGGCTTTGGGGTCACAGCCATGGTGGGGTGCTGGTTGGGCTGGTGCAGGCTGGGCCAAGACCTGTGTCACTCTGAATGGGGTGAGGCTGGGCTGGGAAGGAAGTGGACCCTGAGCCTGTCTGCTCATCCAGACAGGACTTGTGCCCCAGGGACCAGGGCTGCAGGCTGGTGGGGACCCCAGGGCTGGGGTTGGGAGGTAGGTGGGTGCCAGGGGAGCAGAATGCTTCCAGTGCACTGTCTGCCTTGGAAGGCCAGGCTCATGGGCGGTGACCCTGGGGAACCAATGGTGGCTGAAAGTTGATGAGAGCTGCTGCATAGGGGATGGAGTACGGTGTGCAGTGCGTGTGTGCAGTTGGTGGTTATAGCAGTTAATAATGTAATAGTAGCTACCATTTATTGATTGCCTACTGTGAACCGTTTATTGAGTAGCTACTATGAAGGAATGTGGTGGGTACTTTAAATTTTACACACCAAGATTGGGACTATTATAATGTCCATTTAATACAAGAGAAAATGGAGGCTCGGAGAGGGAAAGCACCATGCTTGGAGTCACACAGCCAGTTAAGACAAGAACCTAGGTCTCCCAGCTCCCAATCTGGGGCTCTGGATTGGTTTTGTTTGGGTATGAAAAGAACCAACTGGGCTAGAGGCCCCAGGGGGCAGCTGGGCCCTGAAAAGCCAGAAGGGACCCAGTGGGGCAGGGGCAGCCCCAGGGTCCCCTATGTGTTGGTGGCAGGACAGGGTTGGCCCAGACCCCCAGCTGGGCTGCCTGTGCAGAGGTCTGTCTACATAGTGTGTTGGGAGGGGTGTGCATGTCTGCAGGGCTGTGGGTAAGCTGTGTCCCAGTAGCGGTCCACCCGGACAAGCCCCTGGCTTGTTGGGACTTGCTGAGGGTAGAGAGTCCAAGGTGGCCCCTAGCTTGGGACAGGTCAGAGCTCTTTTTTCCCAGGGTCTTTAGGAGGTGTGTCGGGCAGTCTGGCCCGAGTCCTGCATTGTCAGTGGTGACAGGCCTTGAGCCAGTCTCCTCCTGGTTTGGGCCTTTCTGCTTTTGGCCTCTGGCATTCTGCGCCCCCACCCCAGAGACTGTCTTTTAAGTGCCAACTCCTGAGCTACAGTGAAGCTAGCACTGCCCTGGTTGGCAGAGGAAGGGAAGAAAGGTGGCAGATGACCAATCTCTTCTGTGCTGGGACATAGCTGCTGGGGCTGCAGCTGCAGCTGGGAGCTTCATTTGTCTAGAAAGTTCCATCATGTGCTGAATGACATGCAGGGGCAGCCTGGGGTCCCAAATGTCCTCTTGTGAGATGTCTGAGTAAGGCCCAACCTGGAGGCAGGGACTGGACAAGAATGACCTTGCAGGTCTCTGGAGGGGGGAGTCCACAGAGAACATCACCTTATTGCAGATGGGGAAACTGAGGCCTGGGTAGGGGGCATGATAGGTATGGTCAGTGGAGGAGCTGAGATGAGACCCTTGGCCCTGTGCTGTGCACCATGTGACACTGTCTCTCTCCCTGCTGCTCTCCTGTCCCTATGCCGGCAAATAGCCAAGCCTGTTCCTGTGACCATACCTGTTTTGTGGCAGTCTGAGTCGGGGTTTTCCTGGGTTGAAGGCAGTCAGGAAAGTTATTATTATTATTATTATTTTTGGTACCAGGGATTGAACTTGGGACCTTGCGCTTGCAAGGCAGGTGAGGCAGGTGGTGGAACCGTGGAGCTAAATCCCTGGCCCAAGCAAAGTTATTCTGCCTTGCAAGTGCAAGGAGCCCAGTTCAATCTCCAGTACGAAAAAAAAAAAGTTGTTTTAATCCTTCAAACCCCCTGCCCCCTCAGGATAGGGAGGGATTGGAAGAAGGGTGGGGGTTGATACCCTGCTAACTTCCTGTCCTGCAGGGAAACAGGCAGGGGGCTCCCAGCGACACCTTCCAGAAGTCAGAGAGGTCCCTGGGGTCCCCAAGGGCAGGTGTAGGGTGAGGCAGCTGGGATGAGGAAGAAAGGGGTGGCTTTGCCTTGCCTCTTGGCTCCAGAGAAGAGACCCCTGTATTCCCCCAGTGTCCATGGCAACCTGGACAAGTGAATGAAATGGCAGCCAGTGAATGGAATGAGGGCCCGGTTGCCAGGGGAGATGGTAAGCATTTCATCTCCAGCTCCATGGCAGCCTCCTTCCCTTTGTAAGGGAAGTTCAACAAAAGGCTGTTTCTTGAGGGGCAAAGTTTGTGGAGAGGGGTGAGGTGTGGCTGGGAGGGGCATAGCTCTGGCTGTGAGCACTGACCCTCCATATCAGAGGCCAACCACCCAGGGTTGCATACATGTGCAGAGTGTAAACAGCATAGTCAGAAACTATGTAGACAGACAGGTGCCTACGGTGCCACACTCTGATTCTGAGTGTGCACAGCATAATCCACACCCATAGCTAGACACTGCTCAGTCAAACAGGGGACAGAAGAGCCACCTGGATGAACAGTCACACTGCCACCGTGTACCTGTAAGGCAGGCAACATCACCCACTGTCTTCCATCTCACTGGCACCATCAGCCACAGAGGGATGCCTCCGTGTAAGAAGAAGTCACTGCCACACACCAGGCTCCCCAGACTGGCCACTCACAGTGGTGGCCACGTGTCCCTGACACACAGGAGCTCACGGCTTGGGACACACAGGGGGACGCAGTGCCTGCACCACATCGTAGACCCACAGCCAGAGATGACACTTCACCAAGGTGGATATGAGACCCAGACACTGAATTTTCCCCGTGGTGTGCCCCACTCACTCCCAGTGAGGTGTACTCGCATGATGCATGACACACACGCCTCTCATGACCTCCACCAGGCATGAAGGTGGACACTGGCCCCTTCCGACTTGGGTGGACTCCACCTCAAGATTTGCCCAGACAGGACCCCACCTGCCACTTCCCTCAGCAGCCGCAGCTCGGTCTCTCCCAGCTCATGGTGAAGCCTCACATGGCCATGGCCAGTCCCTGCCGCTGACCCAGGTGTGGGTGAGAGAAGCCGTCCCTGCTGTTGGTTCCTGTGACCAGTGTGGGCCCGTGTACGTATGTGAGTGCCCATCCCAGGATGTAATAGGCCCCCAGGGTGGCGAATGGCCTCCGGGGATGGCCCAGCAGGAGAGGAGATTGTCCCCAGCCCTGGTTGTGTGTGCTTACCACCCTGCTGAGTCCCACATATCCTCTGCCTCCTTCCCCACCTCCTTCCTCCTAACAGCTGAAGGAGGCTGAAGGCCTCTGGGACCAGCAGACACCTAAAGATTGAGAGGGTTCCATGGCTATTGGAGGCAGCCAGAGCCTGGCAAGAGTCCAGTGTGCACTCATAAGGGCCTGGGGATGGAGTGGGCATGTGCTGCCTGGGAGGGGGCAGTGGCAGAGGTGAGGGAGAAGAGGGGGTGACGGGGCATGAAAAGAGAGCTGTGTAGCATGACGTTACAAATTTCCATGCTGCATATATGGTGGACATGCTCATTTCTGTCACCCTGGGGACACGGAAATGCCTGTGTGCACAGCTATAAGCTCAGGTCTGCATATGTATATTGATGCCTCTATTTTGAATGGATTCACATGTACTTGTGTCATTAATTTATGGTGTCAAATATTTACTGAAGGCTAACCATGCCATTCCATGGCCACTATTTAGGTACTAAAATATAACGGGAAGCTAGGCACAGTGGCACATGTCTGTAATCCCAGCACTCTGGGATGGTGAGGCAGGAGGATTGCAAATTCAAGCCTAGCCTGGGCAATTTAGTGAGATCTTGTCTCAAAATAAGAAATAGAAAATAAAAAGGGCTGGAGATGTAGGTTTGTGTAAAGGCCCAGGGTTCAATACCCAGTACTGAAAAAAAAAAGACACAGTGGGGGGTTGGGGATTTATCTCAGTGGCACCGGTCCTGAGTTTGATCCTCCTGAGTTCAATCCTTGATCCTCAGTACCAAAAAAAAGAAAAAGAAACAACGGGGAACAAAACTCCAAGCTTTCCAGAGCTCACCTTGGGGAGGGGGGAGGGGCAGGGAGATGTGGCAACAAATCTAACCATCATGAACTACAAGGACGCTAAGTATTCTGGAGGAGAGGTGCATGGTGCACTGACCTTTACAGTTTACCTACGTGCATCTCTGTTTTGCCTGCAGGTGGCGTGGGCTTGTGTGTCTGTGTCCATGCATACTCAGTATATGCCCATGCATCCCTGTTTGCATGCCCATGCATGCCTGCAGGACCCCCTCCTGGCCTTGCCCACAAGTGCCTGTTCCTCCTTGTGCCAGGCTCTCAGCCTGCATGGCATTGTGGGTCTGGCCCAGTCTGGTACCCCCTGCAGAGGCCTGTGCCTGACTCATCCAGGGTCCTTCCTTGCAGCTGGAGCAGGCGATGCAACTGGAGTCTGGGGAGCTGGAGACTCAGGAGCCCAGGGGGCTGGTTCGGCAGAGTGTGGAGCTGCGGAGGCAGCTTCAGGAGGAGCAGGCCTCCTACCGGCGAAAGCTGCAGGCCTACCAGGAGGGCCAGCAGCGGCAGGCCCAGCTAGTGCAGAGGCTGCAGGCCAAGGTCAGGCTCCCCACTCCCCATGCCTGCCCTCACTTGACTTTGTCTCCTGCCCCTTGGGCTGACAGCTACTGCCCCTCCTCTCCCATCCCCAGATTCTCCAATACAAGACCAAGTGCTCAGAGCTGGAGCAGCAGCTGCTGGAGCGGTCCACGGAGCTGGAACGGCAGCGGCTGAAGGTGGGTGCCAGGGTGAGGCAAGACAGACCCTCAGCTCTGCCTGCCAGCCCTCAGGTTCCCCTTCCTGCCCAGGACATGGAGCACAGCCAAGACCTGGAGAGTGCCCTCCTCCGCCTGGAGGAGGAACAGCAGAGGTAAGGGTGTGGCCAGGAGGGCACAGGGCTGATGGGACGGCCCCCTTGACGGCATGGGTGCTCATTGGCCCCATCTTCCTGCCCAGAAGCGCCAGCCTGGCCCAGGTGAATGCCATGCTGAGAGAACAGCTGGACCAGGCAGGCTCAGCCAACAAGGCTCTGAGTGAGGACATACGAAAGGTGACCAGCGACTGGACACGCAGCTGCCAGGAGCTGGAGCAGCGGGAGGCGGCGTGGAGGCATGAGGAAGAGGTGCTGGTGGCCAGCCCGATGAGGGGTTGCATGGGCGTGTGCAGGCCAGCCTGATGGGGGGCCCTTGGGCCAGGGTGAGGACTCAAGACTGGAGAGGGACCAGGAGCATCAGCCTGGTGAGCACTTACTTAGCAGGAGCTGGGTCATCATTGAGCAAGTGGGCCTCATTCACATGTGCCATGTGCACATTTTCTCATAGCTCTCGTATAAGCAGCAGATGGTAGATGCTATCACTATCCTCATTTATTTATTTTTTTTATTTTTTTCGGTACCAGGGATCGAACTCAGGACCTTGCACTTGTGAGGCAGGCAGTGGAACCACTGAGCTAAATCCCTGGACCTATCCTCATTTATTTGCAATTTAAAAAAAATTTTGGTGCTGGGAATCAAACCTAGGGCCTTGCCCATGGTAGGCGAGTGCTCTGCCCTGAGCCATACCCCAGCCCTCACTGTCATCATTTAAACAGGGGGAAAAAATAAATAAAGAGGGGGATAAGCAGCCTGTCCACAGTGGTTCCTTGGCAGCTGGGATGCAAATGTAGGACCCCAGCACCCTGCCTGTCCGCTTCATCTCTCTCAGCCAGCAGAGGCTCTGAAACCCAGCACCCTGGGCAAGAGGAGCAGAAGGCTGGGGTGCATGAGGGACTGCAAGAAGCTCCCTCTGTGATGGTCAGAGATAGGGGCCTGGTAGAGAAGCTGCCTGGGGTCCCCCAGCCCCTCACCGGTCACCTCTTTCCTCCAGTCCTTCAATGCCTACTTCAGCAGCGAGCACAGCCGCTTGCTGCTCCTCTGGAGACAAGTTGTGGGGCTCCGGCGGCTGGTCAGCGAGGCGAAGCTGTACACAGAGAGGTGAGGCCCGGCCAGCCAGGGGTGGCTCACAGAGACCCTGCTACAGCTGGTGACAGCAACCTCGTCTCCAAGTCCACCTCGGCACACCTACTGTGTGCCAGTCCCTGTGGAGGTGCAGAGGCAGCATGGAGTGCTGCACTAGCACCACGGAGTCATGGAACTACTGGGGTTCACCTGGAGCTGGGCTCTTTGTGCATTTATTACATCAGATAGTCACAGTGTGCCTGTGACGTGGGAACTGTGACACTCCCCATTTTACAGATGAGCATACTGAGCCTCAGAGAGGTCATGCAGCAGTCAGGAAGTAGACGAATTGGAATTTGAAGCTCCTCCTTTTAATTTACTAGAATATTAAGTTCTGTTATCAAGGACTTCACAGTCTCTAATGGTGAAAAGACAGGACCTCCCACAGCCCCGTCCCACCCGCCAATTCTGTATTGAGGAAATGACTGGTCAGTGCCAGGACAGAGAGACAGAGGAGGCATCGTGGAGACTCAGAAGGATGGAAGGGAGGAAGGTCGAGAGGTCAGAAAACACATTAGGGAGGAGGTGGGGTTTGTACAGAGCCTGAGGGATGGGTAGGATCATAACTGGCAGAGCTGGGGGCACTGCAGGCAGAGGAAGCAGCAGGAGCAAAGCCCTGGGGGTGGGAAAAAGGGAAACAGTGGGGTTGGAGTAGGAGCAAGTGAAGGGGGAAGGAGAGTCCTCAACAGGGAGCCTGGTCCTGCCTGGTCTCTGAGCAGAGGCTTCTGTGGATAGTGGGGACAGTCATCTTGTCAACATGCTGGGAACACCTGGGGGCAAGAGAGCAATGTGTTTCCTTTTTACATAAGAAATTTTTAAGCTAAGTGTGATCATACATGCCTGTACTCCTGGCAGTCTGGGAGGCTGAGGCAGGAAGATTGCAAGTTTGTGCTCAGCCTGGACAAGTTAGTGACTGAGACTCTGTCTCACAAAAAAATTAAAAAGGGTTGGTGATGTAGCTCAGAGTAAAGGCCCTGAATTCAATCCCAGTACCACACACGTAGACACACAGTTTTAAAAAAATTAATAGTCTTTTCTTAATATCATGATAGTGTCCGTTTTTTCCATTTGACTCTTAGATGTCACAGGTTGCTTCACATTTTGTCTTTATAATTTGATTCAGGAGCCATAGACATTCACAAATGTGATTTCTTTCTTTCTTTGCTTCTCCTTTTCCTTTCTCTCTCGCCTTTTCTTAGACATTTATTGTTTGTTTGTTTGTTTGTTTTTTGGTACCAGGGATCAAACTCGAGACCTTGTGCTTTCGCGGCAGGTGCCGGAACCACTGAGCTAAATCCCCGGCCCTTTTCTTAGACCTTTAAACCTTTTAGCTTTTTTTGAGACAGGGTCTCACAATGTAGTTCAGGCTGGTCTCGAACTCATGGTAATCCTCCTGCATCAGGCTCCCAAGTGCTGGGATTATAGGCGACCACCACCACATCCAGCATTAACTTATTTGTTGGGGGAATCTGGGCTAGTTTTTTTGTTTGTTTTTTGGTTTTTTGGGGAGGTTTTTTGGTACTGGGGATCAAACTTGGGACTTTGTGCTTGTGAGGCAGGCGCCGAACCACTGAGCTAAATCCCTGGCCCTGGGCTAGTTTTTCTTAGAGATTTTCATAATCTGGATTTTTCTGGCTGTGTCCCTGTGGTGTCCTTTAACATGTTCTTTTGACCCCTGTAGTTGCTCTCTCTCTTTCACACACACACACACACACACACACACACACACACACACACACACACACACTCCCCTATCTTTGGTATTGACTTTGGGTAGAATTTCATCTTTGCAGTTCTGCCAGGTGGTTTCTTCACCTGTTAGTTACTCTAATGGGTGGCTCCACAGCAGGCTGGGAGGAGCTCCCTGTGGTTTCCTCTGCTGAAGAGCCACTGAGCAGATAGACCATTGTGTATTTAGCAGCAGTCCCCTTTGGATGAATGGTTAGGTTGTCACCAGTAATTTTTACGGGAGCTGTGCTGCCATGAATCACCTGGACACAGATTGCTCCCCTCTGCCGGGGTTTTTCTACAGGATGTAGTCTTAGGGGTGGAGCTGGGGGCAAAGGCCCTGTATTCTTAGTTTCCCCAGCTCTTCCTAATGCCCTCTGCTGTGGTTGTACCCACGTACCCTCCCACCAGCTGTCGGGAGAGCCTCTTCCCATAGCTTCACTCATACTGGGCATTATGTGACATTTTTGTTTTGTTTTTTTCCAATCTGATAGTGACAAATGGCATCCCAGTGCAGTTTTAATTTGCCATTGGGAGCCACCTCTATCCCACCCCCCTCCTGTGCTCTCCCCAGGGACCTGCTGCAGCTTGGAGGGGAGCTGACCCGGACATCACGAGCTGTGCAGGAGGCCAGCCTGGGGCTGAGTGCTGGCCTGAAGCTGGCTGAGAGCCGGGCTGAGGCGGCTCTGGAAAAGCAGGCACTGCTGCAGGGACAGCTGGAGAAACAGCTGCGGGACCAGGTGCTCCGTGAGAAGGACCTGACCCAGCAGCAGGCACAGAGCGACCTGGACAAAGCCAACCTCAGCACCCGGTGGGTGGTGAGGATGCCATTCAAAGCTGGGTTCCCTTCAGAGGGCACCCAGAGTCTTGTAGGGGTGGTGTCAGCTCACCAGAGTTTGGGCCTGCCCAGGGTACATCACAGGTAGTTCAGCCTCTGATGACAGATCATGTGCCCCTAACTGCTGCTTCCTGGACCAGTCCAGACAGCTTTTCCAGGAGATACTGCTCGAGGTCCACATTCCCATCTTACAGACGAGAAGTCTGACACCCAGAGAGAAGGGACCTGGGCAAAGAACACAGCTGGTCAGGTGGATCCTAGGGTCTGGGCTTAGGTTTGAGGAAACTCGAAGGATGTAGAAGTTGGCGAGTTTGAGGAAAAGTCAGGGGGTCCCCTGCTCACCCCTGCTGCTCCCCACCTGCAGCATGACAGAGCTGGCCCTGGCAGTGGAGCACCTTCAGAGCCAGAACCTGGAGAAGGATCGGTTCAGCAAGGCCCTGGCAGAGAAGCTGGAGGCCCTGGTGAGACTCTGCTGCCGGGGATGTAGAGGGCCAGGGTCAGGGGACTGCTCAGACCATGGACATAGGCTTAGGGCTGGGCTGCTTGGGCCACCCGGGTGTCCCACTCAGACGGTCACCTTCACAGTGTGTGTAGGATTAATGTGAGGATGTTTATCTCTATCACCTTCCCTCCAGTTGCCCTGCAGCTTGATCCCCAGGCAGCTGGCTCCCTACTGAAGGTCACCTGGGGGTCGGTCCCCTTCTGTGGGCCCAGCCTGGGGTGTCCAGTGGTCTTTGTGATGGGACAGGACTCTGGGCCTCTCCGGGCCTCTTCTGTTCAGTGAGGGCAGTGGGCTGCTTTGGGTTCACCTAGGGCATGGCCTGGGCAGTCAGTCATCTTACTGGTGGCAGGCCAGGGAGGGACAAGGCATGGCCTCATGCTTGGGTGTAGTCCCTGACCATCTTTTCTGTCTCACTCTAGGAGTCTCTGCGGCTACAGGAGCAGGTGGCCCTGGAGACCGATGACAGAGAGGGGCTGCAGCAGACCCTGAGGGACCTGGCACAGGTGTGCATGCAGCCCTGGCCTCCCCTGAGCCCCCCAGAGGGTTGGGGTGAACTTCAAGTGGGTGGGGAGCCTGGGCATCTGGCTGGGGCAGTTAAAGCCCAGATGGCTCCCCAGTATCTCAGAGGGGAGGCTCAGCACTGTGCAGGCTTTCTGTGAGAAACACTGAGGGCTGAGGGCTGTGTGCTAGTGGAGGTGGTCGCCCAAGGTAGCTCTCGGGAAAGGAGCTTTGGTGAAGCATCCTCTGCCCCACTAACCCCCTTCCTACCTCCCCACCTCCCCAGGCCGTCCTGTCCGATCCTGAGAGTGGCGTCCAACTCAGCGGCTCTGAGCGCACGGCCGATGCCTCCGATGGCAGCCTGCGGGGGCTGTCAGGCCCGCGGACACCATCCCCACCGCGCCGCTCCTCCCCCGGCCGTGGCCGTTCTCCCCGCCGAGGCCCATCCCCAGCCTGCTCAGACTCCTCCACGCTTGCCCTCATCCACTCTGCCCTGCACAAGCGCCAGCTACAGGTCCAGGTGGGCAGTGACCTGAGCATCTGCGGCTCAAAGCCAGGGTTCTGGGGGCAGGGACCAGGTCCTGGACTTGGCAGCTGAGGGAGGCAAGGCCCAAGATGCTGACTGAGAGTTCTGGGTAAGAATCAGCCCTAAGTAGGAGGTGTTTGTGTGGCTGGGGGGTGGAGCTAGAATTGTGGTAGAAAAGGAGGTGAGCTCCCCGTTACACAGGCAGGACCCTGTGGAAAGGTCTGGGAGGAGGAATGAGAGCCTAGGATGCAGGAACAGGGGAACTAGAGGAAGAGTAGGAGGGAGGAGTCTGAGGGGAACCAGGCTTTGAGAGGGAGGAGCCTGAGGCCTTGCGGGTGGAATCAGAACTTTGGAGAGGAAAGCGTGTGCTTCTGGGACTCGAGGGAGGTGAGAGGTCAAAAATGTGGCGCGGGTACAGAGAAGGCTAGTGGAATCCCTTCTTGACTCAGGCCGGGCTGGGTCCAGCTGGAGTGTAGAGCGATGTACTTCTCTGGGACCAGCAGAAAGTAGGTGGGCTCCCCAGACTCAGTGACCCCCATGCCCCAGGACATGCGTGGTCGCTACGAGGCGAGCCAGGAACTGCTCGGCACCCTGCGGAAGCAGCTCAGTGACAGCGAGAGTGAGCGGTGTGCCCTGGAGGAGCAGCTGCAGAGCCTGCGCCTCAAATCGGAGGGAGCCGCCCAAGCCCACGAGGATGCCCAGCGTGAGGCCCAGCGACTTCGCAGTGCCAATGAGCTCCTAAGCAGGTGCCTGAGAGGTCAGAGGTGGGGAGGACAGTACATCAGTGTCTGGGCCCAAGGCCAGCCTGAAATAGGTCACCACTGGCCACGTGTGTCTACTAAAATTTCAATTGCTTAAAATTGTAAAAGTAAACACTTCATTCCTTAGTAGCATTGGCCACATGCCAAATGTTCCAACAGTCAACTGCAGGCTACAGAACAGCTCCATCGCCCTGGAATTCTGTTGACAGACTGCTTCTAGAGAGGTGGTTTTGTTTTGTTTTGTTCTGTTTTATTTTGTTTTGTTTTGGTGGTGCTGAAAATTGAATGCAGGGGCTCAAGCATCCCAGGCAGTCCTTTGACCACTGAACTGTATTCCTAGGTGCTATTATTATTATTATTACTGAGACTGGGGATTGAGCCCAGAGAATTTGCACCAAGCTACACTCCAAGCCCATTTATTTATTTAGTACTGGGGATCGAACTCAGGACCTTGCGCTTGCAAGGCAGATGTGGTGCCACTGAGCTAAATTCCCAGCTCTATTTTTTTATTTTAAGACAGGCTCTCACTAAGTCACTATGTTGCCCAGGCTGAACTCCAGTTTGTGATCCTCCTGCCTCAGCCTCCCGGAGTGCTGGGATTAGAGGCATACACCACCAAGCCTGGCTTCCTGGAGATTTTTTTGGGGGGTACTGGGGATCGAACTCAGGACCTTTCACTTTCGAGGCAGGTGGCAGAACCACTGAACTAAATCCCTTGCCCTCTTCCTGGAGATTTTTAAGACATTAAATTATTATCCACTTCTGTGATACCTGAGATTTCAAAAAATTTTTGTTGATTTTCTTTTTCCCCCTTCCCAAATAGAAATGTTCAACAAAAAGTTTGAAAAATGGAAGAGAAATCAAAAGGCAGGATCCCCTCACAGCCTTACTTGCCCATCCTAGCCCCTGTTTGGGCTCTGGTTGTGCTTCCCATTGTGTTTTCTGGGAGCCAGGTAGCACTGGGTATACAAATGGACACCTACTGTTTGGCAGACTGCCAAGTACTTCGCCTGTATCTTCTCTGCTGTCTTTCTGTCAGACTCCTGCAGTTTGGAGCTGTTGGCATATTGCACTTGAGGGGCTGGCCAGGCTCACACAGCAGGTGTGGCTGCAGGGGCTAGGGTGGGAATTGGAATTCAGGTTCATTTGATAGTAAATCCATGATATCCATGCCTATGAAGGAGTTGTTGTTATTGTTGTTTTTTAATCAGGGTCATACTATAGTACAGGCTAGCCTTGAACTCACTATCTCACTATGTAGCCTAGACTGGGCTCCAACTCACAGTGATCTTCCTGCCTCAGCCTCCCAAGTGCTGTAACTATAGCAGTATGCTCCTGCATTTGGCAAGATGGGCTTTTTTGGCGGGGGAGGGGTACCCAAGGGCTTTTTGGGGGGGGTACCCAAGGGCTTCACACTGAGCTACATCCCCCTTTTATTTACTGTTTCTAAACCCTTTTTAATTTTTATTGTTGTTGTTTGTTTTTTTGAGATAGGATCTTGCTATGTAGTTCAGGCTGGCCTTGAACTCACTGTGATTCTCCTGCCTCAGCTTCCCAAGTGCTGGCAGTACAGGCACACGCCACCACACCCAGCTAAATTTTCTTTCTTTTTTTTTTAATTTTGAGACAGGGCCTTGCTAAGTTGATAAGTTGCCCATGTTGGACTTGAATCTGCAGTCCTTCAAGTTCAGGCTCCTGAGTGCTGGGACTATAGACATACACCACAAGGCCTGGCAAGATGGGCTTTAAGTAGTTGTGTTCACCGCAAGCACCTCATTTTGTATTATGCTATTTTTATTTAATAGCATGGCACAAGTGTTTCCCACTCACTGGCAGCCTTGATATCTAGTATATTTAGGAGTTGCCACTTGGAGTGAAGAGGGAGGCAGCTGTAGGCCTGAGCCAGAGACTTTTGAGGCCTGAGCCTGAGCCATGGGGGCATTTCCTAGCCATGTGGCCTAGCAGAACTGGCAGCAAAATTGCCCTTGTGCCCCAGGAGCCTAGCTCTGGCTTCTTCACCTGGTGGGGTACCTATAGGTAATGCCAGCACCTCCCCCCATCACACTGGACCTCCACGTGGGTGGGTGGGAGAAGGAAAGCCAGGTTCCTTCTGCTGGGAGGCATAGGTGGGATGAGTCTGCCCTAGGCAGCATCAGGAAAGGCTTCCTGCTCAGGTGGCAGCCTAGCTGAGAGTAGCTCAGCAGTGCCCTCTGCTCTTGCCCCTTGTCCTGCAGGGAGAAGGGCAGCCTGGCCCAGAGCCTGCAGGTGGCCCAGCAGCAGGCCGAGGAGCTACGGCAGGAGCTGGAGAAGCTGCAAGCTGCCCAGGAGGAGCTGCAGCGGCAGCGGGACCGGCTGGAGGAAGAGCAGGAGGACATGGTGCAGGATGGCGCCCGGGCCCGCAGGGAGCTGGAGCGCAGGTGGGTGGTTCCTCATCTCCCCGCCAGGGCCTTCGCAGGCACCTCAGGCCTCCCAACTGTCTCTGGGAGGTGGGGACCATGTGCTGTGTCCTGGCCTCCTCCTACCTGGAGGTGCCCACTGGCGGGGTATTCTCACCAGCCTCACTTTGGGAGATCGAGACTCAGGGAGCTGTGGTCACTTATCTGGGATCAGAGGACTGGTAGGAGAGAGAGTTAGGATGATATGAGCAATTAAAATCAAATATTAATATTAACGGTGCATTTTTTTTAAAGTTTAAAGTGACAGTGATTGTACATGTTAAGCACTTAGATTCTCTCTTTTAGCCCCTGTGATAACTGTGATGTAGAAGGTATTATCTCCTTTTTATGGAGGGTGAAACTGAGGCAGAGAGATCAAGAGCCAGGATTTGAACCTCTGCCATTACATCTCTGAGACCTAATATATTGAGATGATGATGGTTAGTACATTGCAGTAGTAGATATTATTCTTGTGTCTGAAGACCCCTGGGGAGATGTGTCAGGTGCCACCTTACATACTTTCTGTATATTAGGAACACATGTCCTTCAACTGCTTCACAGGGTGGGTGTCACCCATTTTGGAGGTATGAAAACTGATGCCTAGAGTCACTGAGCTAAGAGGCAGTGAGTTTGGTTGCCCTGTGGGTATAGCTCTCACCCCCTAAGCCTGGCCCCAGCCCAGCTTCCTGCTGGTTGTAAGAGGCTCAGGGCAGAGATGTAACACAAAGCACCTTTGTGCCACAGCCACAGACAGCTGGAGCAGCTAGAATTGAAGCGCTCGGGGCTGGCGAAGGAGCTGGTGGAGGTGCGGGAGGCACTGGGTTGTGCCTGCCTGCAGCGGGATGTGCTGCAGGCTGAGAAGGCCGAGGTGGCTGAGGTGCTAACCAAGGTGGGTCCCCTGTTTGCCACACAATCACAGACCTACGTCTGACCCTGGGCCCCAAACTGTCCCTCTCTGGTACAGATGGATCCGCCTTTCAGGCTGACATCAAAGCTTGGTCACAGGCTGGCCCCGCCCTCTGGACACAGGCTGACCTCTAACTGTGACCTCTCCAGGTCCTGGGTCTGTGGGTGTTGGGACTACTGCCTAGAGGGTCCCCAGCGGGGTCCCCTGTCTCACTCCCTGCTGCCTGAGCCTGGGCCTGGCAATGCCACATCTGGACCCCACTCGGGGGACTCCTCTGACCTAGGCCCTTCACCTTTGGCCTGAGCCCTGACTTTTGACCTTTCTCCCTTGCACAGCGCTGCTGACTGTGGCTTCCTCTCAGTGGCCTCTTGGGGCGTATGTGCTTCCCTCCCGTCTCTGAGGTCCATTGCCTGGGGCCTCTTCTTGCTTCTTCTCAACCCACCTCTCACTGCCTGCAGGCAGAGGCCGGCCGAGTGGAGCTTGAGCTGTCCATGACCAAGCTGAGGGCCGAAGAGGCCTCTCTTCGGGACTCCTTGTCCAAGCTGAGTGCCCTCAACGAGAGCCTTGCCCAGGACAAGCTGGGGCTGAATCACCTCATCGCCCAGGTATGTTGTGCACAGTGGGCCCACCTGTCCCCTCCACTTGTCCCTTCTACCAAAGGGACTTCACTGAGACCTCCCAGAACCCACACCCTGTGCCTGTCTGTCCTGGTCTCGGCGCAACCTCTTCCCTGTCTCTGGCTCTGTCCATCTGTCTGTCTGTCTTCTAGTGTGTCAGAGAAGGAAGCTCTGGCCTCCTCCATTCTCCCCCTGCCCAGTGTCCACCCACCTGGCTGGTTTGGACAGTAGGAAGATTGGGGAGGCAACCCTAGTCCTTGGGGGAACCTTGCTCACCGTCCTTGCCCACCTGTGCCCTGCAGCTGGAGGAGGAGAAGGCCACCTTGCTGGGGAGGCAGCGGCAGGCGGAGCATGAAGCCTCCTCGGCTCTGGAGGAGCAGCAGCGGCTGGAGCAGCTTCGGCTGGAACAGGAAGTGGAGCAGCAGGGCCTGGAGGGCTCCCTGCACTCAGCTGAACAGGCCCGGGTTGCACTGGAGCAGCAGCTTCTCATGCTGCGTGATGAACGCAGCTGGCTGCAGGAGCAGCTGGCTCAGGTGGGCTGAGCCGCATGCAGAAGCAGGGGGCAAGAGTGAGTGGGGAGGGGCCCAGGAGCTTGCTTCTGGGTTTAGATCCAGTCCCACTTCTGCTAGCTGAGGACCTTTAACATGTCACCGCACTCCCCATGCCTCAGTCAGCCCCTATGTAACTTGGGATTGAGAGTTCTTGGCACACAAGGTTAATCTGGTGAATAGGATGCCTGAGTCACCTCTCCACACAGATCATTGATATGATATTAGGTGAAGACTTTTAGAATTGGAATCAGACTTGGGAGAGCACGGCTGGAAGGCGCCAAAGGGCTTCAGGGATCCAGAGACCTTTATACAGTGCTGGTCCTGGAGGGCCTGGGTCCTGGAGGGGTATTGCAGATTGGGGTGTGGGGTGCCGGAAGCAGTGACAGGTGTCCACTCTGTGGCCTACAGAGCAGCTCCCCTGGGTCTGTCTTATGTATTCAACATCTCTGCAAGTTTTGGAGTGAAAAAGAGGTCCTGTTAGTCCCAGAGCCAAGTGAGGGTCCTCGATTTTGTACACACGTGCATTGCAGGTCTAGAAAGGCTGTGATTTGTCCTGGTACAGCAATGTAGCATGGCAGGGCAGAGGCTAGGCTCGACCCGGGCCTCCCTCCTGCCAGGCCAGGGCCGAGGGATTCCTAGTTGGAGTGCTGTGTGATGAGCAGGCCCAGAGGTTTGGGAGTGGTGCTCACAGTCCCTGGGTGGGGACAGCTCTCGAGACAGCTGAGCGGGCGGGAGCAGGAGCTGGAGCAGGCCCAGCGGGAGTCGCAACAGCAGGTGGAGGCACTGGAGCGAGCAGCCCGGGAGAAAGAGGCGCTGGCCAAGGAGCGGGCCAGTCTGGTTGTGCAGCTAGCGGCGGCGGAGCGTGAAGGCCGGACCCTGTCAGAGGAGGCCACACGCCTGCGGTAAGGCCTCAGGTTCTGCCTGGCCCCACTGGTCGGCGGGGAGGTATGTGTGGAGCCACATCATGACCAGCCTTGCCTTAACATTGGCTCACAGGGGCAGTTACTTAGGAGCCCAGCTTGCCAACATAGCCAGCTAGGGCTCAGCCTTCCCCAGGGAGCCTGCTCCCAGCTGGCAGGTAGGCTGGCACCAGGCCTGTGGCTTGCTACGCCCTTATAGCCACTGTTTCTTGGGGCTGGAAAGGCTGAGTCCCAGGGCTTCAGGGACTGTGTGTGCCACAGCTTGGAGAAGGAGGCCCTGGAGAGCAGCCTGTTTGAGGTGCGAAGGCAGCTGGCTCAGCTCGAGGCCCGCCGAGAGCAGCTGGAAGCTGATGGACAGGCCCTGCTGCTGGCCAAGGAGACCCTGGCCGGTACGTGGGGTGGGGACCAGGGGACACCAGCCTTCTGCCCAAAACTGCAGCCTCTTGGGTTCTGGGGTCTCAGTCTCATAGAGGTGTGAACCACTGGCCTGGGAGTCTGGCTCACCCAGGTTCTGGTCCTGAGTCGTGATGGAACAAGCCCCTTCTCTCTGGGGGCTGCAGAGTCCTCCCCTGATGTTAGAGGTAGGAATGCAGCTTCCTAGGCCTGTTGCCAGGCTGAGGTTGGAGGAACAGGTGAAGGCCTGGGCACGGTGCCTGACATGGTTAACAGTGGCATGGGGACAGTGGGAGAGCTCCAAGTTTCCCACAGAGCCTTTAGCTGTTTTTCCCACCACTCTCGGGCCCCCCAGTCCCTGCCCAACCTGCCCACGTGTTCCCCAGCCACTCTCTGCACCTGAGGTTCTTCTGGCTCATCAGTCGTCACTGAGCACTGACTTGGGTCACTGAAATTCATTTTCCTGACCTTGTCTACCCGACCCAGACAGCAGGAAGGGGATGCTGGCTCCCTCCACAGGGAATGCTGTTTAGCTGGTCCATGGTGGGCTGGCCCTTGGCCATTGTCACCTCCGTGAGTGCTGACAGTTGACGCCCAGCCAAGTTTGTTCATGGTGACCATCACTAAAGGGGCAGTATTATGTGAAGCTGGGCAGTGTTGAGAAGATGCCCACCTCTGAGCCTCCAGCTCATCCTCTGTAGATGAGGAGAGAAGAAGCTCACCAGGCCAGTTGTGAAGATGAAACGAAGCTGTGCCTGTGGAGTTTACTATGACTCAGGTGCTTGAGTCAGTAGTGGGGTTTGCTGTATTTTTGGCACCCTTCCCATCTGTGCGGCTCTTCTCATCAATCATTTTACCCCTTGATGCTATTTTTGATGGGCAGAGAGAGGGACAAAGCCATTAGGCCATGCAGCGGATGGGAAAATGGGAGCCCAGAGAGGGTGAGCCATTTCTCCAAAGCAACAGCCCAGATGTTAGCTGAGTCCTCTCCCCTCTCCCAGGTACCCATGGGCCCCAGGGAGGTTTTGATCTAGCGCTATCTGACCCTGGCCCTCTGTACAGGGGAGCTGGCAGCCCTGCGGCGGCAGATGACAACTACAGAGGAGAAAATAGCTCTGGACAAGGAGCTCATGGCCCAGAAGCTGGCGCAGGCTGAGCGGGAGGCCCAGGCCTCTCTGCGGGAGCAGCGGGCAGCCCACGAAGAGGACCTGCAACGACTCCAGAGAGAGAAGGTTTGGGCAGGGGGTGGGGACAGTGCGGGCTCTGAGCCACTGTCTGCTCTGTGACTACCTTCCATCTCTGCTGTGCAGGCGGTGAGGGTAGCAGGGAGGATCCATGCGACAAGAGCATCCTTGTCAAACCTACAAATTTGCCTGGCATGATGATGCACACCTGTAATCCCAGTACTCTGGGAGGCTGAGGCAGGAGGATCCCAAAGTTTGAGCCCAGCCTAGGCAACTTAGTAACTTAGCAAGACCCTGTTTTAAAATAAAAAATAAAGGTCTGGGGATGTAGCTCAGTCTGAAGGTCCTGGGTTCAAACCCCAGTATTGCAAAAACAAAACAAAAATGCAGACTTTCAGGCCCCAAATGAGAGTCAACCCTAGTGACCCTGTTGAGGGGGATCCACAATCACATTTGAGAAAGGTCAACATAACCTGTGGCAGAAAAGCACTTTTATTTGCAAAGATGTGCTGTTTGTATATGGAGGATCACTGGAATCTCAGCATATAGGAAAGACAACCGGCCAGGGAGAGGTTACTAGAACACTGGCTCTGGACTTACATTTTTTGGGTTTAAATCTGATCTTGGGATACTGATGCTTATGTAAGGTCTCTGTGCTTTTATTTCCCTGTCTGTAGACATGGGCATAGAAAGGTGTCGCAAAGTTAATGTGAGATACTCCATCCACAGCAACTGACACTTAGTAAATGCTCCATAAGTTATTGTTACTGATACTGAGACACTCTCCAGAGTGGCCCTCAGGACAGGGCCCCAGAGCCTCCCAGCCCACCCAAGGCTACACCTGAACTCTAGGGGTGCCACCCGCTTACCTTGTGTCTCTGTGGGTGCGGGTGATGTTATCACACCTCTCCAGCAGGTGGCAGCACCATAGTCCAAGAAGGGGTGTCACTGCTTTTGACACTAGAGCCTGGAACCTGCTGTTGGCACTCCACACAGGCTGTCCTTCACCTATGTGCTCTCCCCACCCACATACCCGGTCTTCAGGGAGCCAGACGACCCCCTTCTCCTCTTGCAGCTTGTCCTGGCTGGCTCTGCTCTTAGCCTGGGGCCTCTTTCTTCTCTCCCTGGCTGATTGCTGCTCAACTATGCTCTGGGGACCTTCCAGACCGAAGCCCAGGCGGCTGCCACCTTTGGGGCTTTCACAGCCCTGGTCTGTCCTGGTCACAGCACTCATCCCCCACCTTGTGATATCCTGGTCAGCGCCCTACCTCGGAGCTTTTGGGGTACAGATTGCCTCGCTCCCCTGGGTTGTTGAGGGGCTGCGTGGGCCTTGCCTTGTGTGTCACATGTGTCTGGTGTGGTCCCCAGGAGGTGGTCTGGCGGGAGCTGCAAGCAGAGCGGGCCCAGCTGCAGGGCCAACTGCAGCGTGAGCGGGAGGAGCTGCTGGCCCGGCTGGAGGCTGAGAAGGAGGAGCTGAGTGAGGAGATTGCTGCCCTTCAGCAGGAGCGTGATGAGGGCCTGCTCCTGGCTGAGAGTGAGAAGCAGCAGGTGTGTGAGCCCTGGGGTGGCCTCATGATTCTCCAGGGTGGTCCCCACTCAACCACCCAGTAGTGTGGGCCCTGGGGGAGGCCACATCCCTCCTGGGCCTCAGTTTCCCCACCTGCAGGAGAGAGGAATTGGAGGGGGGTGTGATGCATTGTGAACCCCATGCCTGGCCACAGTCATGGCACCAGGAAAGCTATTCCACGGTCTCTGTTCTCAGTCCACCGCGGGCTGGCATGGCTTGCTCACAACCACCCTCTGGGAAGTCCTCACGATGTCTGTGGGGAGCAGCTGCTCACCTACCCCAGTGAACTAATTCCTGACTCTCCTGTCATGTAATGGAGACAGGACAGACTACCCGTCTCCTCTCACCTATGGTATCATCTTGGGCAAGTCACTTTCCCTCTTTGAGCCTCAGTGTCCCATCTTACAGATGGGAATATGAAAGACTTAGCTCCGGGGATGTTGTGGCAGGCTCATGAGATCTGCAAGTCCAGGGCCCCTGTTGCTGCTATTGACCTGCTGCAGCTGAGAGGGCTAAGTCTGCACCTCTGCCCTCGATCTCTGCCACACTCAGGGCACTGAGCCCCAGCACTGGTGGGGAAGGGCCCGACTGCCACTTGGACTGCTAACCCCCCAGTTCCATGTTCCCTGCGTTGGTCCAGGCCCTGTCCCTAAAGGAGTCTGAGAAGACAGCGCTGTCAGAGAAGCTGATGGGGACACAGCACAGCCTGGCTGCCATCTCCCTGGAGATGGAGCGGCAGAAGCGAGATGCCCAGAGCCGGCAGGAGCAGGACCGGGTAGGTCAGGCTGGGCAGCCGAGCGGGGAGGCATGGCCCTGCCCAGGGAAGCCTCCAGACCATTTGGGGAGCTCAGCCCTTCCTTTGGGAAGTGGCACAGCTCCGCCCTGGTGAGTGCTTGAGTCTAGGGAGAGACCAGCAGCAAGGACTGCACTCTGGGGCATTGAGGGATGAGCAGGAGCCTGGCCAGCCAGTGGGAGGGGCTATGGTTGGAGCAGAAAGTGGACAGTTCAGCCCATAGGTTAGGAGCAGCAGAGGGCAGAGGGACTGGCACCCCAGGACCTTTCTGAGGAGCCCATCTGTCCCAGAGCACCATGAATGCCCTGATGTCTGAACTTCGGGACCTCCGGGCCCAGTTTGAGGAGGCTGCTGCAGCCCATGCCCAGGAAATGCAAAGACTGCAGGAGCAGGCCCGGGACCTGAGCAGGCAGCGGGAGTCCTGCCTACTCGAGGTGAGGTGAGCTGTCCGTTGCTTCTGGACAGCACGCACCAGTGAATGCTGCAAGTGTCTCTGGGTGCCTGGTCCTGTGAGAGTCCCAGAAGGATGTAAATTCCTCCCCAAATTGAGCTGAGCATGGTGGTGCATGCTTGTAATCCCAGCTAGTCAGGAGGCTGAGGCAGGAAGACTTCGAGTTCCAGGACAACCTGGGCAACTTGGCAAGATCCTGTCTTAAAATAAAAAAGTGCTGGGGCTGGGGATTTCGCTCAGTGGTTTCACCGCCTGCTGTGCAAGTGCAGAGACCCAAGTTTGATCCCCGGTACCAAAAAAAAAAATAATAATAACAAAATTAAAGTAAATTAAAAAGTGCTAGGGCCGGGGATTTAGCTCAGTGGTTTTGCTGTCTGCTGTGCAAGCGCAAGGACCTGAGTTTGATCCCCAGTACCCCCAAAAAATTAAATAAATAAATAAAAATTAAAAAGTGCTGTGGGTGTAGCTTCAGTGGTAGTGAGCCCCTGGGTTTGATCCCCCGTCATGCCCCACCAAAAAGATTCCTCCCTTCCTGTATTTGAAGGCAGGTGAATGGCTGACTCCGAGAGGAGACAGCAAGCATTTATTAAGCTCTTGTGTGTAGTTGAGACTTAAGGACTTGGGGTGACTGCAGAACCCCTCCTGTCTTGGTGTTGTTTGCTGGACAATCTTTTTTTTTGGTACGGGGGATTGAACCTTGTGCTTGCCGGGCAGGCGCAGTGCCTGTGACGCTGAGCTACATCCCCAGCCCTGCTGTACAATCTTGATTATTTCAGGCCCACATACCAATGTCTTAAGTGTGCTTTGCTCCAGTAATAGCTCATATGGAGTCTGGGTCGCTGCAGAGGGATGGGGCCAGCACCCCTTGGCCAGTGACTTGGGGTATGGACCTATTCTTGCCAAGGCCCCGCTTTTTTTTTTTTGGTACTGAAGATTAAACTCTGAACCTTGCACTTGCGAGGCAGGTGGTGGAACCACTGAGCTAAATCCCCGGCCCCAAGGCCCTGTTTTTTGGGGGCTCTGTCCTGGGCCCACAGGCAGAAGAGCTTCGGACTCAAATGCGCCTGCTAGAGGACGCACGGGACGGGCTTCGGCGGGAGCTGCTGGAGACCCAGCGCAAGGTGCGTGACAGCCAGGAGGGCCGAGAGGCCCAGCGCCAGGAGGCCAGCGACCTGCGGCGCAGTCTGAGCGAGGGTGCCATGGAGCGCGAGGCCCTGCGGCGCTCCAATGAGGAGCTGCGGGTGGCCGTGAAGAGGGCTGAGAGCGAGCGCATCAGGTGCAGGGGCCCAGATGCCTTCACCATGCCTTATTCTTGTCCCTGGGGAAGTTGAGGATTCTCTGGCCCCAAGCACAGTCTACCACATGGGTCATTTTAAGTGGCAGCAGACAGGGATGGGTCTAGACTTAGACCCTATCTGCTGTCATTGGCCCTTGTGGAGTCCTGTCCCCAGCTCTGGAGGGTGGAGGGGCCCTGTGGGCAGGTTGCACCTGGGATACATCTGGGCCATGATGGGGCCGGGACCATCAGAGGAACTAGGGCGAGGGCCAGTGGGCAGCAACACAGGCTGTGCCCTTCGCCCTCTCCAGCCTGAAGCTTGCTAAGGAGGACAAGGAGCAGAAGCTGGCGCTCCTGGAGGAGGCTCGGGCAGCCATGGGCAAGGAGGCTGGGGAGCTGCGCGCAGGGCTGCAGGAGGTAGAGCGCTCGAGGCTAGAAGCGCGACGGGAGCTGCAGGAGCTGCGGAGGCAGGTTAGTCCCCAGCCTCCTGGGGCTGAACAGTGCAGGAGCTCCAGGGCCAAGTTCCCCTTATGGACTTGAACTCTAGCAAGGTGTTACCCGACCTGGGTATTCACAGGAGTATCCCCTGCATCTGTGCCTGTCTGTGTGCATGCACAGGGACATTCTCCCGAGGAAGGGCTGGGGTCTCATTCAGTTCTAAGGAGTCCATGAACAACAAACAGGACAGGTCTGGTGAAGTGGATGGGGCTGAAGAACTTGTAAGGTGAATATTTCCAGCTAATCTATCAGTCTCCATCGCTGCTCCTTACTACCCTTTGTTGCTGTAAGAGAGCAGCCCTACAAGGGTTGAGAATGTGCCTGCCAGCTCCCACCACAGCCCCCTCTCTTCAGACCCCTTTCAAGAAGCCACACAAGGGGCCAGGGATTTAGCTCAGTGGTGCCGCTGCCTGCCTTGCAAGTGCAAGGTCCTAAGTTCGATCCCTGGTACCGCCAAAAAAAAGAAGCCACACAAGACCCGAAGACAGCTGACATTTGTGTCCAGACTCTTGCCCTCCCATTGTCCTGTCTGTTGTACTGTGGGGTTGGCAGGCATTGCCTCCACCTGCTCCCGTAGGGAAACAGGTTTGGGACACACCTCACATTCCGGGCACTCTGGAGTCAAATCCCAGTGTGCTGTTTGCAGGCTGTATGGCCTTGGGCAAAGGACTTCAAGCTCCAAGCCCCAGTTTTCTTATCTGTTAAATAGGGATAATGTCAGTGCCTACCTCAGGTAGTGTCATATGCAATGAGTTAGTGAAGTGACATGCTGAAAACAGGGCTGGACACATGGTCAGCGCTTAACAAAAGGGAACCAACATTGTGGAGGTGAGAGGTGACCCAGGGAGCTGAGGTTCCTGCTTGTGGAACTCCTGGTCTGATAATGGACCAAAGTTTGCTCCCCCTGTCCTCATGAAAGCTAGTTTGGAGTCCATGGATTCAGTTGTAAACAGCCCACTGATGCCCGGTGCCTGGCATGGTACGAGTGTTCCCTGGGCCAGGACTGGGCAGGGCATAGGGGACAGCTGCTCCTGCTCTCTCCCTCAGATGAAGACGCTGGACTGTGAGAATGCCAGGCTGGGCCAGGAGCTAGCAGAGCTGCAGGGCCGCCTGGCCTTGGGGGAGCGGACAGAGAAGGAGAGCCGGAGGGAGGCCCTGGGCCTTCGGCAGAAGCTGCTGAAGGGCGAAGCCAGCGTGGAGGCCACAAGGCAGGAGGTAACTGGGCAGATGGACAAGCTGCCTTGGGGGGCGAGATTCTAGGAGGTGGCTGGGCTCCTCTGTGCCCCCTCCTTCTTCGAGTCAGAAGCAGGTGAGCCCTGGAGTACTGGAGTCCTTCTGCAAGATCAGACCCATTCTTTTTTTCTTTTTCTTTTTTTTGGTACCAGGGATCGAACCCAGGTCGTTATGCTTGTGGGGCAGGCGGTGGAACCACTTGAACTAAATCCCTGGCCCTCAGTAGACCCATTCTTGTCCCCTAGTCCTTGGGATTCTTCCAATGTTAATAGTTATAACAGTATTAACAATGGAAATTTGGACCTGATGCATGCAGGTACAAAAAGGGGGTGGGGCTCTTCTGTAGGCATAACCTTGTTTGATTTTCCCAGCAGCCCCATGAGGTGGGTACCATACCCCATTAAACAGGGAACATCAGACACTGGGGCTCAAAGAGGTCAAGGGATCCATGCAGGGTCATACAGCCACCCAGGTCTGTCTGGCTCCAAAGCCTGCACTCTTGCCATTCTGCCTTTGCTGGCTGCTGCACTGTTTGAATCTACTGTGTGACCTTGACCAAGTTGCTTAATCTCTCTGTGCTTCAGAGCACTCACAGGAGAGGGACTGGGACAACAGGGGATGCAGGAAGGGTGCTGGCATGGGTCCTGGCATCTGGGTGGTGCTCAGAAGATGGGTTTCCAGCAAAAGTGATGTCGTGAGAGGTTGACTCATTCTAGGGGGTGGCTTTTGTGATCATGAACCATCAGTGAATCCTTTTTAGTACTTGCCTTCTTGGTGTGCAAACTTATTAATAAATTATAAGGAGAGGCAGTGTATCCAGTAGTTAGAAGACAGCTTCTGGGGCTAGAATGCCTAGCTCTGAATCCCAACTTTCAGCACACTAGCTGTGTGGCCTCAGACAAGGTACTTAACTTCTCCATGCCTCGATTTCATTATTGGTGAAATGAGGATGACTCAGAAAATAATAGCATTATATTCTCCCTTTTTTGGAAAGTCCTTAGTGCCTGACAGTGTAAGTCCTATCTATGTAAGTGCCTGCTGTTATCAGTCATAGACTGTGTACATCACAAGGCTTATATACAGAGGAAAGAGATGAAAAATTCTAATAATTTCCTCCCACACCCTGAGGATGCTCTGCATCACCTGCTTGGATGGAGCCCACTAAACGGCAATGTAGTCCCTAGCGGTGGTGCGGGTCAGGCTGGGCCTGGGAGGGGGGCGTCAGGTTGGAGGCGGCCTGTGACCCCCACCTCCTGGCTTCCGTCCGGCCCAGCTCCAGGGATGCCAGCGGAAGCTGCAGGAACAGGAGGCCGAGTTCCGGGCCCGAGAGCGCGGCCTGCAGGGCTCCCTGGAGGAGGCGCGAAGCGTGGAGAAGAAGCAGCTGGACCACGCCCGCGGCCTGGAGCGCAAGCTGGAGGCAGCTCGGGCAGAGGCCGCAGAGCTGGCGCTGCGGCTGAGCGCGGCCGAGGGCCGGACGCAGGGCCTGGAGGCAGAGCTGGCCCGCGTTGAGGCGCAGCGGCGCGCGGCCGAAACCCAGCTGGGCGGCCTGCGCTCCGCCCTGCGCCGGGGCCTGGGCCTGGGCCGCGCGCCCGGCTCCCCCACACACAACTCGCCGGCGGGAGGTGAGTGCTGTGGAAGGGGGCGGGTGTGAACCGAGGCCACGCCCACGCCACCTTCCATCCTTCCAAGAGCCCCCCTCCACTAGTTGAGACCACGCCCCGTATTGCCGCGCCAGTAGCGTTCCTTCTCCTAGAGCACACCCTCTGATGGGCTACGCCTTTCACTGTTGCCCACGATAGCTCCACCCCTCGCAGAGGCTCTGCCCCTTCCTCTGCGCCCTCCCTATGTTGCTGCTTTGGAAGAGAGATTTTTTTTTTTTGGTACCTGGGATCGAACTCGGGGACCTTGGGCTTGTACGGCAGGCGCCTGAGTCTTTAAACCTCGATCTTAACTGATCCGTGCCCCTCTCTGTCCATCCTCTTGAGCTTCCAACACCCCTCCACAGCAGGCCTGTGATAGCAGAATCTCCCCAGACTGGCACAGGCAGGTCCCACCCCTTCGAGGATCACGTTCGTTCGTTCGTTCACTAGTACTTAACTGTACAGCAAGTGCCAAATACAGTTTAAGCGCTGAGAATGGAACAGGAAATGACATGACAAGCATATCCGCTCTTATGGAGCTTATGGTGTAGGTGTAAGAATAGCAAAAAGTGAACATAATATACTAATGAAATATAGAGCCGCTTGTGGTGCTACATGGCTATAATCCCAGCCTTTTGGGAGGCTGAGGCAGGAGTATCAAAGTACAAGCCCAGCTTGGGCAACTGAGTAGCTCAGTGTGAAGGTCCTGGGTTCTACCCCTAATATGGCTAAAAAAATTAGTAAATAAATACAGAAATGTATTGAAGGGCGATCAGGACTGGAAATAGGTAAGAGAAAAATATGGCAAAGGACACTGTTTGTTGGTGAGCACCCTGGTTTTAAGACCCAGACTTCTACTCCTAGGTGTATAGCCAAAGGGGTTGAAAATAGGGACTTGAACAGATATCTGTACACCAAGGGTTATTGCCACATTATTCACAATGTCAAAAGGTGGTAACATCCCACCTTGGATAAAGATGGATAAACAAAATGCCGGCCAGTTGAATACTTTCCTGCCTTAGAAAGGAGTCACATTCTGACACACGATACACAGAAACTGTAATGGCATTGAACTCCTTGAACTAAGTCATGAAAAGGCAGAGAAAGAGATTGGGAGTAGAGCTCGGTGGTAGACCTTTTGTCTGGCGTGTTTGAGTCCCTGGGTTCCATCCCAGAACTACAAAAAAACAAAGGAAAGGACAAATACAGTATGAGCCTGCTTATATGAAATATCTAGAGTAGACACACTCATAGAAGCAGAAGGTAGATTAGAGGTCACCGGGAGCCAGGGGAAGGGAGCATTGGGAGTTACTGCTTTAAAATTAGAGTTTCTGCTGGAGGTGGTGGCACACACCTTTCATCCCAGAACTCTGGGAGGCTGAAGCAAGAGGAAAACAAGTTTGAGCCCAGCCTAGGCAATTGAGTGACTTAGCAAGACTCTGTCTCAAAATAAAAATAGGGCTGAGGGGCTGGGGATTTAACTCAGTGGTTCCGCCACCTGCCTCGCAAGCACAAGGTCCCGAGTTTGATCCCCGATACCAAAATAATAATAATAATAATAATAATTTAAAATAATTAAATAATTTTTAAAAAACAGGGCTGAGGATGTAGCTCAGTGCTTAAGGCCCTAGTTGGCTAGGATGGCTGTAGCAGTGCACAGCAGCAAGTCCTCAGTATCCATGAAGGATCATTTATGTGCTCCTTGGCCCTCTGAGGATACCGGTATCTGGATGGCCAAAAGCATTATGTAAAATAATGCAGCATTTATCTGCATACACCCTTCTGCATACTGTAAATCATCTCTAGGTACTTATCATGTCAGATCCAGTGTAAATGTGTATAAATGGCCGTTATTTCATATTGTTTGGAACTGATGACAAGGAACTGTTTAGGAACTGTACCCATTCAGTACAGATGTAATTTAAAATTGAGAATCTTACTAAGTCATTAAGTTGCCCAGGCTGGGCTCCAGCTTGTAATCCTCCTGCGTCAGCCTCCCAGAATGCTGAGATCAAAATCATATGCCATCATGCTCAGCCTTAAAAAATATTTTTAATTTGCAGTTGGCTGAATATTGGGATGTAGAAGTCCCTGGTACCCAGGGCCAGCTATCACTAACTCAGTGGGTTAATGACAGAAAGCTATGTCGGCCTGTCTAGACAGCTGGGCCAGATCCCTCCGAAGGCTCTAGGGCAGGAGCTGTTCCAGCCCCCTGGCTTGGAGAGCTGCTTGGCTTATGGCAGCATAACTTTACTCATAGCGTGGTGAGGGCCCTGTGTGCTTGTCTGGTCCAAATCTCTCCTTTTTATAAGGCCAGCAGTCACCCGGGATTAGGGGCCCACCCATTCCAGAATGAGCTCATTTTAAGTAATCACATCTGCAATGACCCTCTTTCCAAATCAGGTCAAATTTCGAGGGCCTGGAGGGTTTGGATTTCAACATAGGAACTTTCGGAGAGGCAGCAGCCATGGAGATTTGGGGACAGTTGGTGGTGATGGCGCCACAACAATGTGAATGCAATTCATTGCACTAAATTGTACCCTTAAAAGCGATTAAAATGAGCTGGGCTTGGGGGTGCACCAGCACTGAGGGAGGATGAAGCAGGAGGATTGCAAGAATCCTGTCTCAAAATTAAAAATAAAGGCCAGGGATTTAGCTCAGTGGTTTCGCCGCCTGCTGTGGAAGTGCAAGGACCCAAGTTTGATCCCCAGTACCAAAAAAAAAAAATTAAAAATAAAAAGGGCTGGGGAATGTAGCTCAGTGACAGAACACCCCTAAGTTTGATCCCCAGGGTAGGCAAAGAGACACATTTTAAGTTATGTATGTTTTTGTCACCAAAATAAATAAATAAATAGTAAATAAATGTAAAAGACAAAGGTAAGGGAGGAGGAGGCTGGAGGCTGGAGACAAGTGGGACATTCTTGAGGGGAAGTTCCCAGCCTGGAATCTGCAAGGTAACAGCAGAGTAGTGTGGCTAGCACGAGGTGAGGCTTGTGGGGACAGAGGCGTGCTCAAGTGGCCCTTGAGGCCACTATTTTTTTCCTGAGGGTTGAGATCTTCCCAGGGTGGAGGTCCTGCTTTTGGGAAACCCTTGGATGCTAACAAGTCTGCTGGGCAGCTGGATACCAGCTGCCAGCTGTCCACTATGGTCCTGCAGTCGCGATGCTGACCTCAAGTGGCAGTCTCTCCCCTCCCCCATCCCTGTGACACATCATCTCCCAAGCTAAGTTCCAGGTTTTGTTCCACTGGGGAACCACCCTGTCTAGATTTGAACTTGGGCTCTGAAATTTCCCAGCTTTGAGACAAGTCAGCCAACTGCTTGAAACCCATGAAAGGGTTAGATTGGTGCTTGCCTGTAGGGATTATTGGGAGGATGAGATGAGGCCTTTCGGGAAGGGCATTGCTTGAGACAGGTGAGCACATGGCCCAGAGGGATGCTAAGGTGACAAAGTGTCTGTCTGTGGCCTGGGCCGGGGGACAAGGAGTGGACAGAAGGGCCAAAGCCCAGCCTTCATGGTGCATGTGGTTTGAGTGAGGAACCAGACCTTGGACCCCCAGTAGGGTGAGATGTGTTCACCCCAACCCAGCCTGGGGTCAGAGAGGCCTCGGGGGATGTGGCCTGAAGGATGGGATGGGCACAGAGGAGCCCTGATGAAAAGGACACCACATGGAAAGGCCCTGGGGCTGGATCAGGGAACATTCTAGAACCTAGGGTGATGCAGAGTGGCTAGTTAATACAGGGCGAGGATGATGCCAAGGTGGGCAGCAGGGCTTGCTTCTGTATGGCAAAGAAGTTGGCTTGATTCTGAGAGTCCTGGGGTCTGGTGACCGGTTCAAGCCAGAAGGTCATGTAGTCTTTGTGCTATGGGAAGTTCAGACAGGCTGTTGGGTGTGGTGGGGCAGGATGAGTAGGTTGCCTTGGGACCTGGAGCTACATTTTGTGGCTCTTGTGTTCCTGAACATGTCTTCTCTTTTAGCAGATGGAGGAGGGCTCAGCAGCCCCAGCCCCTTGGAACGCAGTGCTGGGTCCCAGCCACCATCCCCAGGACCTGCCACGTCACCAGGTCCTCCAGACCTAGACCCAGAGGCAGTGCGAGGGGCCCTCCGGGACTTCCTGCAGGAGCTGCGGGGTGCCCAGCGAGAGCGGGTAAGGCTGGCTTTGAGGGGCTATGTGGGGAATCTGTGGCCAGGGACCCTGAGGGGCTGCAGGTTGTCAGAGCAGTGGTCTCCTCCTTCCCCAATGTTGGGGCTGCAGGATGAACTCCAGGCCCAGACCAGCGGCCTCAGTAGACAGCTGGCCGAGATGGAGGCTGAGAGGGACAGCGCGACTTCATGGGCCAGGCAGCTGCAGAAGGCAGTGGCTGAGAGCGAGGAAGGTGCGTTTGACCCTCAGGGTCCCTGCCCTGCTCTCTTGTGCCCTGAGAGCAGCTGAGGAGGAGGCTGGGGCATTGGCCTGGACAGCTCTTGCATCCCTGCCCTGACTCTCAGTCTGCTCCTCTGGGGACCCTGCCTGCTCAGCCCACCCGTGGCTACACCCGCATACCCTCAGGGGAACTGACAGGCAGCCCCTGTGGTGGGTGGGGCACAAGGGGGCATCTTGTGTCCATTGGGTCTCCAGCTGTGCTTGGCTGTGCCTGATGGGATGGGGTGGTGACCACAGCCCGGCGCAGTGTGGACGGGCGGCTGAGCGAGGCCCAGGCGGAGCTGGCGCTGCAGGAGGAGAGCCTGCGGCGCAGTGAACGGGAGCGCAGGGCCACACTGGACCAGGTGGCCACCCTGGAGAGGAGCTTGCAGGCCACCGAGAGTGAGCTCCAGGCCAGCCAGGTGGGCACGTCCCAAGGGCCAGCAGGGCAGGGGATGTGTGCCTGCATGGATATGTGAGCCCACTACTGTCCTGGAGGCCAGAGTCTCTGCAGCCACTGGGGTGACAGTCTGCTCCTGTTTCTACAAGAACATGTTCATGTTCCGTTATCTTGGTTCACGAAGCTATAGGCAAAACGGGTGGGCCAAAGCCAGCCGACGTTCATGCAGTTCCATTGTCTGATTCTTGTTGTCCTCATCTGTCCAAGGGGGACCAGGCACACATACTAGGGACACAGCTGGTGCCTGGGGCCTCTGTTTTGTGTCTACATAGCCATGCGAGTGGTTCTGGGGTTTTGTGAGTGTCCAGAGGACATCTATGTATACCTGTGTGTGTGTGCATGTGAGTGTCTGTCTGTCTGTCTGCGACAGGAAGCCTAGGGGTGGTGGTGACAGTCCAGGCTCCCGAAGCCTTGAGCCCCTGGCAGTGCGCCCCCCCCCACCCCCCCACCCCGGCTTCCCTGGCCCCTTGCTGCCTATAGCCCACCCCTGCTCTGGCCAGGGCCTGAGTTGGAGCTGGATTGTTGTGTCTGCGGCTTCAGCTCTGGCCTTGGGCCCAGCTACAGGGGCCCGGGAGGAGGCCAGGAACAAAGCTGGGCAGGAGCCAGAGTGGAGGCCCCTGGGCCAGACGGGGCAGGGCTGGGGCTCTGAGCAGGGTGGGAGAGGGGCCAGGCTCGGGGTGGTGTGAGGAGAGGGGAGGCAGTGTCCCCTCGTGACCCACTGTCTCCAGAGTAGTGATGTGGATTGAAGGATCCCACATCTGTCCTGCCTGTCCCCACTCCCCAAGCTCCTTCTGTCTGATCCTCTACATGGGAGGAAGGGGAGTCCTTTCCCTGAAGCCCTGGAATGGCGAGGCCTTTGCAGTGCTGTGAGCTCAGCTCTGGTTACGCATGCAGCTTCTGGGCACTGTGGACAGTGCTTCCGCAGAGCTGGGGAGGGCCCCGAAACCTGCATTTTCAGCCTCCTCCACAAATCTTATTGTACCTCCAGACCAATCCAAGCCCCCAGGTTGAGTGTGGGAAAGGTCACAGTCAGACCCAACAGTGGTCTGGGGCTCTCGCATCCACTCATCCTGTGGACACTTTGGGACAAGGACCCCAGAGGGTCGCAGGCTGGCCCTGGTCACACCGTCTTTGAGGCTGCCTCCCACTCTAAGGGAGGTAAGGGACACATGTGGGGTGCATGCAGCACCTGGGCCCTGAGCCTCACCCCCTGCAGGAGAAGATCAGCAAGATGAAGGCCAATGAGGCCAAGCTGGAGAGTGACAAGCGGCGCCTGAAGGAGGTGCTGGATGCCTCCGAGAGCCGCACCATCAAGCTGGAGCTGCAGCGGCGAGCGCTTGAGGGAGAGCTGCAGCGGAGTCGCCTGGGCCTCAGTGACCGAGAGGCCCATGCCCAGGCCCTGCAGGATCGGGTGGACTCCTTGCAGAGACAGGTGGGCCCCTCACCCCTCACAGCCATGCCAACTGCATCCCTTCCTTGTTCAGGCATTTTACAAGGACTATGCAGTCCTCCAACAACCCTGTGAGGCAAGTATTAACATCAGCCCAATATACCCATGGACAAATGGAGGCTCAGAGGTGATGTCTTTGCCTATCACATAGCTAATAAAGGAGCCAAAATTAGAATTCAGGGCTATTTGATGACAAAATTTGCACTGACAGGAGATGTGGGACAGATAGAGATGTGGATTTCACTCTTTTCTCTTTTTGCTGTGGCAGCCAGGAAGCTCAGCTCTAACTGGAACATTCAGTAATTAGCCCTGTTTGGATACTCACTAACATCCAAAACAGAAAATTTCAGGGTTGTAGGGCTTTACTTTCTCCTTCATAGCAAGGAGGAAAAGGGAATAAGGATAGGGAAGAAACCACAGGGTTTGGGACAACCATGTTGATTGGGCTCTGGACAAAGGTGGTTAAACAGGTGACAGGCTGAGCCAGGGCAAGTGCATGGGAACAGTGGGTCTCAATGATGAGGCCTGGAGAGATGGGAAGAGCTTGGGTTGGGCATGCCTAATGGGGGTCACAGTGGGACCAGAGCCCTTTGATTATCCCGTCTGTCCCCTGCCAGGTGGCTGACAGTGAGGTGAAGGCAGGGACCTTGAGGCTGACAGTGGAGCGGCTGAATGGGGCCCTGGCCAAGGTGGAAGAGAGCGAAGGGGTCTTGCGGGACAAAGTACAGAGCCTGACACAGGCCCTGGCCCAGAGCAACACCAGCCTTACCAGTACCCAGGACAAGAACCTACAGCTGCAGAAGGCGCTAACAGCCTGTGAGCATGACCGCCAGGTGCTCCAGGTACAGGACTCCCTGGTGTGACTGAGGGGAGGGCCTAGCATGAGAGTCAGCCAGTAAGAGTAGATCTGGAGGAGGAGCCAACCAATGGGCTGTCAGTTGGGAATTCTAAAGAGCCAGTCAATGAGAATAGGCTTCAAGTGGAGGGCTGGGTCCAATGGACAGCCAATCAGAGGAGGTGGCTGCTGCCGTGCCCCCCCCCCCCCCCCGCACTCAATAAGGAAGGAGCCTACCAGTGGCTTAGGGGGACCCAGGTGCAGAGTTAATGAGTTGGGGTGGGTGGCTCCCATCGTGTGCAGTGAATGTACAAGCTGTGGGCCAGGTGAAGTGACTGCCTGTTTTATGGGCCATGAACCTGCCCGGGCGTACAGAGTAGAGAGGAGCCTTTTGCCTTAGGGCTCGAAGGCTGGCCTGCTTCATCAGCCCCTGTCCTCCAGGAACGGCTGGACGCTGCCCGGCAGGCACTGTCAGAAGCTCGGAAGCAGAGCAGCTCCCTGGGTGAGCAGGTGCAGATGGTTCGGGGCGAGCTGGCCGACCTGGAGCTGCAGCGCTCAGAGGCAGAGGGCCAGTTGCAACAGCTGCAGGAGGTGAGGGTGGGCCTCAACCTTGTGTACCCAGGACAGTGAGGCCCCACCTTCTGCCCTACTCAATCTGATCCCAGATGCTGGCCTCCCTCCTGTGAGGAGGCATGGTTCATTCAGCCACATCCCTGTATACAAACAGAGAAACCAGGCCCAAAGAGCACTGCCTGGCCTCAGGTGACAGTTCTGTCATGGGACCTCACAGATAATGTGAGTGGGCACTAGGGGCCCTGGGCTTCAGACCGTCACACTGAGGCCCAGAGGGATGCAGGGCCTGTCTGGCTTTTGCTGCAGGTGCTACGGCAGCGGCAAGAGAGTGAGGCTGCAGCACTGCACACGGTGCAGAAGCTGCAGGATGAGCGGCGGCTGCTGCAGGAGCACCTGGGCAGCCTGCAGAGAGCCCTGGCCCAGCTGGAAGCCGAGAAGCGGGAGGTGGAACGCTCTGCCCTTCGGCTAGAGAAGGACCGCATGGCCCTCAGGAGGACACTGGACAAGGTGGGTTCCTCCGCCCTGGCCTCCCCTCCCCTCTGGGGCCTGGCTTGTTGAGCCACATCTGTCTGTCTCTATGGCCTGGGTTCTGGACTCTGAGCCTGCTCCTTGAGCCCTTTCCTGCTGTGCTTTCCATCCAGGTGGAGCGGGAGAAGCTTCGAAGCCATGAGGACACGGTGCGGCTGAGCGCAGAGAAGGGACGCCTGGACCGCTCGCTCACTGGGGCTGAGCAGGAGCTGGCCAAGGCCCAGAGGCAGATCCAGCAGCTGGAGGTCTGGCCCCACCCTCCCTGCCCCTGCCCCACCTGCCTGGTCCCCAGCTCCTAGCCAGCCTGAGTGTGAGCTGTCCCGGGGGAGCAAGCGGCTCAGCTAGGCCACAGAGGGAGGGGCTCTCCCCATGGCAGAGAGCAGTGACACTGAGGACCTGTGAGCCCATGTGTTCCTGTGTTACGGATATGTCCAGGTGTGAATGCCATGAATCTAATGCACATGCATTAGATGTGGCACGTGCCCCATGTATAGCTGTTTTCCCAAAAGCACAGGTGTGTGTCTTGAGCTTTTGCATATGTGCATGCATCATCTCTGTGAATGTGGGTATTCACACGCTTGCTTTTGTCCCTGCATGTGTGGCCAGTCTGCATTTGAGCACATCTCTGTGTACCTGAGTACACCTGCACCGGCTTTGTCTCAGGGCAGCACCTGACACCCAACACCTCGTCACAGTGCCGTGCATACCCTGGGCCAAAACCCTGAGCAGTGGCTTCTCCCTGCAGGCCCAGGTGGTGGCCCTGGAGCAGAACCACAGCCCAGCCCAGCTGGAGGCAGAGAAGCAGCAGCAGCAGCAGCTGGAGCTGCAAGAGGTGGGAAGCCTGTGCAGTACCCAGGTGCAGACTCAGCATACCCACTGCCAGCGGGTCCAGGGGCTGGAGGAGCAGGTAGGTGGCCTCCTACAGGGAGACAGGGATAGGGTGGAAGTGTAAGCTGCAGGAGACATGACCTCAGGAGTGTGAGCAGCCAAGGACTTCTGTGACTTGTGAATCAATGCTCATAGCTGCCATGGGTGGATCAGGGGCCCCAAGTGATGCTGCTGGGCCTCAGTCCCTCCCTGCCACAGTGCTGCTGTCTGGCTCCAGGCCCAGGCAGGCCCTTTGCCTGGGTGGTACAGATAGTGTCAGCAGCTCCAGCTGCCAGTTCTCCCAAAACCTGAGGTTCCAGAGGAAAGAGGGTGCATCCTCCAGGGACCACCAGTAGAAGCCCCAGGGCTGGTCCTCTGGACCAGCTTGTGACCTGCCCCTTTCCTAAGCAGGCCAAACCTGCTCTGATTGGCCCAGCCTGGTCACAGCCCCCCCCCCCACCAGAGCCAGGTTTACTCAAATGATGAGGGCCTAAAGGATGAGGGGGTCACTAAGGACCCTGACAGATATCAAAGTTAAAAGATGCCTGACTCTACAAAGAGAAGGGCATCATGGCTCTGATGACACCAGACGTACCCTACAGCAGGCAACATTGGGTCCTACCAGGTCCCCAGAAATCCCTGAGGGTCCCTCCTTTCTCTGAAATTACGCTGGGGACCTGGGCTACATTTACCTTCCCTTTTTCCCCAGGTGTCCACACTGAAGGGGCAGCTGCAGCTTGGAAGGAGCTCAGCGTCCTTCTCCCCACCCTCTGGCCCCCCCAAGAAATGAGCCTCTGCCGGGCTGGCATCCTCAGAGCAGCTGCAGAACGAGCTACCCAGGGCCTGGCTGTCGCTGCATGGCAGTGCTGAGGGGTGGACACCAGCTCTGGACCACACCCAGCAGTAACTTCCCAGTGTCCTCCGGTGACCCACCTCACTCCAGCCCCTTCTCCTGGGACCAGCCACTCTAGTTTGTACAAGAGCTTCCCCGAGTGGGTGAGCCAGAGCCAGGCATCAGGGAGAGCCCTAGTCTCCTGCCAGCCTAGAGCAGGAGCTCATGGGAAGAGGAGGGGAGCCAGGCCCTGACTCTGACTCTCAGCAATCTCTCCGCCTCAGTTCAGAGCATTTGTCAGGAAACTCCTCAGAGAGCTCAGAGTCCTTGTATTTTTGTACCTTTTTATAATGTTAACTGGTGACAACTTGTGTTTTTGGTAATAAGACATTTTCTAAAATTGCCTTGTTCAGAGGGTACCCTTTGCCACACTGCTAGGTGCCTTCTCTACCCAGGAGGAGATGGGAGGGATGCAGGTGGGGCTGGGGGGCCTCTGGGAAAGGCAGCTGGGGACAGCAGGAGGCAGAGGCCTGTGTTGGTAAGGGACTTACCAACCTCCAGGATGGTGTGGGTCCTGAGCCACCTATGCCATTTTACAGATGGGGCTGTTGAGGCTTGGAGCTGTGATCTGGCTGCACAAGTCCGCTCTTCCCAGCCAGACCCTTGCCCCTTCTCTCTGAGCCTCCTCGGGACAGGGCCCACTGGATGGTGTGGGGCCTCCCAGGCAGCGTGTGACTACAGGCTCCAAGTGAGTGAGGGGTCTTGCCTGGTTGGGGCTGGGTGAAGCTGCTTCCTCCCAGAGCTTGGTGTGCTTGGCTGCAACGGGAACCTGCCCTGTGGGGGGTGAGTGGGAGGCTCACTGGGTGCTGTCACTGTCTCCAGGGGACACTGTGGTTATTGTCCTCCCTCGGAGTCTCACACCAGTCCTGTCTGGGCACTATCACAATGAGAGTCCTTGGGTGATTAACCGAATGCTGCTGGGCAGTTTCCCATCTGTAATTTGGGCATGGTAATTCCACCCACCCCAGAGCCCCAAGGGCAGGGGCAGGGCTGAATGTCATGTGGCAGGGAGGTGGGGTGCTGGTTAGGGGAGGGGTGCGGTAGCCTGGTCTGCTTCTACCCACTCGATGACAGCCACTGTCCTCCAATAAGCAGCCCTAAGTCTCAGGTCTGCTGGCCTTGACCTGCCTTACACCATCCGTCCTGCCGTACGTACACCCGTTGGGGGACTTGGGCCCTCACCACGCAGTCCTGACTGACCATGAGAAAGCTGTGTCCGGAGCCTTCTATTTCCCATGCACATTCTCGTCTTGGGGCAGGGGCTGCAGCCCCTCTTTCTGAACAGGTCAGAGCTGAGGTGACTGGACAAGAGGCAGGGACTTCAGAAGTGAGGCTGCTGCTCACAAACAGCCCCACTCTGTCTTGGGACAGGAGGCATTTGAGGCACCAGGTTGGCCCCTCTGTGCTCTGGACCAAAAAAGGGACTCTGGATCTTTTGTAAAAAGTTGTTTTTAATTTTGTATAAAACAAAGGTGGTCCATGGCCAGGGAGCTGTAGGAAATCCAGGCAGACCAGCTGGGGTGGGGCATAGCCTACCTCAGGGGACTGTCCCTAGGGGGATGACAAGGCATGTCAGGGACCCAAGTCCCTCAGAGAGGCCTTGGGTGTCCCCCACTTGGAGCAGAGCCTGGCCAGTAGGAGCCCCTGTTGTGCCCTGGGGGTGCCCACTAGCTGGAGGAGGGGCTTGGCACCAGAGCCTGCAACCCCCAGGGCTCTTGTCTGCCAGCTTTAGAGAATTAGGGGGAGGGGACAGGGAGAAAGCACCAGTCAGGCAGGGCCCGAGACAGGGACTGCACAGGGCCCAGGGCTCAGGATAACAGCTTCACCCTAGCAGTCCCCGCAGCTCCTGGCACAGGAGGCCGCCATAGATTGGCACAGGCCACTGCTGGCCATCACGCCACATCTGGAGAACTTGTCCCGACACAGGTCAGCTGTTGGGGGGTAGGGGGAGCAGGGTCAGGGTGTGTGTGTGTTCTGAGGAGAAGTCCCAGGGAGGGAGCCTGGCCCAAGCATGTGATCTGTGTTGAGTGAACACAGGAGTGGGCACAGGCAGAGGGGCAGAGGAGGCCTTCCTACCTCGGAGGAGCTCCTCATGGGCACAGACTGTGCGGACACAGATCTCCTTGTTCACGATGTACACACGCCGGAGGCTAGGGCAGGGGTTGGCCGGGAAGGTCTGAGGATTGCCCACTGGGAAAGCCCAGACCCAGTCTACCACAGCAGTCTCATCCTCGGAGTAGAGCTCTGCTTCAGGATTCAGTCCCCAAACTCCCACCCGTCTGCCCCCCAGCTCACCTGTAGAAGCAGACCTCATTGAGACACTGTTTGCAAGGCTTGTGGATGGAGTAGAGGCGGGTGCACGGGTACTGCTCCTCTCGGCAATCTGGGGGAGGGTGGGGTGGGGGGCCAGATGTGTGGTTCAGAGCCAGAGAGGCAGCCTCCAAGCTCATCCACCTGAGATTGACACACAGTGTCTGGGTACCCTGCACCCTCTACCTGGCCCAGCTACCCACACATGCCAGGCACAACTACACCACATGCACACACCAACCCACAACCACACTTAGAAACATACATTCAAATACACATACTTTCACACATAAATTCACACCCTGCATGGCCACTGAAGTCCACAACTCAACAGCAGATACCCCTGTGCTCATGGGAACCTACACTGTAACACACTCAGCCAGCTCAGGAGGGTGAGCTCACAGATTCTCATACACAGTCTCCTCAGGCTGCTGGCTGGGCACTGCTCAGCCACCCTGGGCTCCCCTGGCCATGGGCGTCACCCAGTCTTCTAGCTGGCAGGAAGCCCCCAGCACACCCCCTGCCCCTGCCTAGGAGTGACCAGCCTAGGCTATGACCAGCCCAGTCTCTCACCAGGCCCACAGGGGCAGGGTGGGATGTCCAAGAGCTGCCCTTGAAGGTAGGGGTAGTGCCTGTTCCTCCACCCCCACACTCCCACCAGCAGCCCACATGATCTAACCTGGTGCCCTTTCCCCACACTGCCCTCCCATGCCAGGGCCCAGGAAGCTCTTACCAAGAGGCCCTGGCTCTGTGGGCTCCAGCTCTGTGTGTCCTGTCTCTGGAGTAGAGAGAGAGGCAGGCAGGAATTTCTGGGAGGGGTCTATGGTGAAGGGGTATCACTTCTCAGCCTGGGGCTGACATGAAGCTGGGGCAAAGAAAACAGGGCTTGGGCCTACCTGGGGAGGGTGCTGGGATGACTTCCTGCTGGACCTGCTGCTGGGACTGGAACTGCTCCTCCGGGGACCGAGAGCTCACCTCTGCAGGAGGGCCGATAAGGGTGTCTGGTCCCTCCTTCTCTTCCAGGTCCCTATGGGCTGCCCCACCCCAGTTGCTCCTCCTCTCCTGCCCCCAGCCCTTTACCTTGGTAATCATAGTAGTCTGGGGTGTCTGAAAAGGAAACCAGAAGTGGTGTGGGTCAGGCCACCCCTAGCCTGGGATGCCCATCATCTGGCCCCACCCAGCCCCTGGCTCAGCCATGCAATTCAGAGCCAAGCCTTGACATGGCAGGTTGGCAGGGCATGGGGACAGCTGTGGCAGGAATGGCCCTTACCTATCTGGTCGCCGTAGTGGGTGTACTGCACGTGGTCTGGGAATGGGGGCAGTGAATCCAGGTCATATTGGCCCTGAGCCAGCAGGCCTGCTTGAGGGAGGCAAAGCATGTGGGAGCCTGACAGGGAAGGGCAGTGCTTCTGGGCAAGGGAGATGGAGGTCACAGGCAGGCTATTAAAAAGATGGGCTCCAAGGCCGGGGATTTAGCTCAGTGGTTCCGCTGCCTGCCTCGCAAGTGGAAGGACCAAGTTCGATCTCTGGTACCAAAAAAACAAAACAAAAACCCATGGGCTCCTATAACCAGACTCTTAGACTCACAAGATCTGAAGGTCTGTATGTGCCCTGGTCTGAGTCCCTCCCTGAGTTTACCCACTACTCTCCCCTTGCTGGCCTCCTGGCTGCTCCTGGGACTCCACATGCTCCTGCCTGTCCTAGGGCCTTTGCACATGAATCTCTGGGCCTTCTCTAAGTTTCACCTGAAATTTCAGCCCTGCCAAGAGACTGTCCTGAGTCACCCACCCTCCTATTTCTTTCTATCACCACACTCGACATAATCTGAATTTTTAACATCTATTTGTTTAATATTTGCCTCTTTCCCCCAGTTTGGCAGGATGATGAAGGCAGGGATTTATATCTGCCTAGTTCGTCACTGTATCTCCAGGGCCCTAAAACAGGAAATTGATGTGTATCTGTTGAATGAATGAATGAATGAACATTAGATCTGAGGGCCTTGGTGATCCCCATGGATGACTATTTCACCAGTTAGGACCCCTTAAAGGTCACAATTACATAGGGTAGCAGAGCGGAGTGGGGCATGCCTATAATCCTAGCACTCTGGGAGGCTGAGACCAGAGGATGGCAAGTTTGAGCCCACCCTGGGCAATTCAGAAACACAGCCAGACCCTGTCTCAAAAAGTGAAAAAGGCTGGTCTTGTGGCTCAGTGCAAAGGCCTTGGGTTCAATCCCCAGTAATGGGGGGGGGGGATTGTATCGGTTGATAGGGCCCCATGTGGGTATAGAACCCAGGCCTCTGGACTCCTTGGTTCAGTGTCCTCTGTTCCTGCCCAGCAGCTACAGGAGGGCCAGTAGGAGGATAAGCATGGATTTCTGGTACCTGGTATGTGCCCACCCTCCAGAGCCTTGCTGCCTGCTGCTGCAGAAGGCTTGGGGAAGGGCCCAGGAGAGGCCTCCTGACCCTGGAGGGGCATGTCCAGTCTGTGGCCCATGGAGGCAGGAGGGTCTGGGAGCTTCGGAGCAGAGTTCTGGCCATGGGGCATGACAAAGGCTCACTGTGAGCCCCTCTCCTCAAACCCCACTCCCACCCCCCATAGGGGGCATCACCTCCCACCCCACTTACCAGGCAGGAACAGCAGGAAGAGGTAGGCAGCTCTCATGGCCATGGAGTAAGGAGGCTGGGGTGGAGGCAGAGGATAGCTGGAGGCAGAGGAACGTCAGGGCTGTGTCCTAGTCTACTACCCCAGGACTGCAGAGCCCACCTCTGTCCCCGAATTCAGCCTGGAATAGAAGCCAGGCATCTGGAGGAATGGGGACTGGGGTGCCACTTTGGAGGATGGGGACTACTTCAAAGGGGCAGCCATAATCCCTGCCTAGGTGTTCAGGACACTGAGGGATGGCATTTCTAACCTGGTTAGCCCAGGGCTGATCTTGACAAATGAACAGACCCCACCTTGCCTACTCAGGAAGGGGACATTTCTAAAGCCCCCTTCCCTCCAACTGTGACTTTTCTCAGACACCCTCTCCAGTGTCTGACACAGGACTGGAATCCTTGACCCTGGGCGCATCCTCGGGACTTAGCTCTGCTCAGCCCACATCACAACAGCCTATGCTGGGGTGGTGTCTGCCAGGCCTGCCACCTGTTCCCAATTAGCCCCTGGGCCCTGAGCATGTTGCTCAGCAGGAAACCACATGCACATAGGCCCAAGGGGCCCCCAAAGCGGCCAGGGCTGGGCAGGGCTCCCAGGCCCCAGAAGACGACCCCCCTGCCAGGCTCCAGGCCTCCCAAGACCTGGCTGTCTTCACCCCAGACTGAGGTCCATTTGTCTGCAGCGGCAGGAAGAGTGTGGGGAGGAGGCCAGGGAGGGTGAGCACTGCACTGGGGCAGTGATGTCACCCAGCCCAAGGGTGCTGCACGCCCTGCCATGGTGTGACAAGGGTTGTGCAATTCTTGGGGCCAGTGCACTTTTCTTTGGCTTCATCAGGTTCCTGGAGTTCAAGAACTCCAGCTTGCGTCCAGCCACTAGTTTTGGCTACACGTGGCCTTGTCAGAGACCCCAGGTCCCCATGTCTGGTCCCAGCTCAGCAGAGGGTGAGCTGGAGGCTGTCAGCCTACTTCGGGGAGGGCCCTGAGGTCAGAGGCCATGACCCCCTCCCTGCCCAGCACAGGAAAGTTCCAGACACCCCAACTTGGCTGAATGGGAATCTAGGAAAAGGGCAGACAGAGAAAGGGGCGAAACAGGGCATCTGTCCCCAGTTCCTCCAACTCCAAGGCTTCTCTGACCCCCTCCCATCTCAGGAATCTAACACCTCACTGAGATAGGTGGCATATGGGGGCCAGAGGGCGAAATGAGACTCCTTGATCTCCTCAAGGTAGGGGACCCCCCCCAACCTAGCTGGTGGCAAGCAGGCAACTGGAGCATTACCTCTCAGGGAGGGTCCCAGAGTGAGTGTACGAGGAGGTCTCAAGAGGCTGGGGGTGACTCTTAGGGCCCTGCTTGGAGTGTTCCTCCCTCAGGACCAGCACCCAGCCCAGGTTTATTGGGAGAAGGGGCTCACAGGCTAGGGTGGGCCATGCAGAGGAGAATAAGGGTTCCCTCCCCGGGGATCACATCTCCAAGCCCTTCTAGACTTTGGATTGGGGGACAACCGGGGAGGCCAGGACCTGCCCAGAAGGCCGCCCCACCCCTACTCTGGCCCCTTCCACGCCGTCCCTACACTCCTCCGCTCTCCTCTGTGTCCCGGGGACAAGGGACCCGCACAAGGGCTCAGGCCGAAGAGGCTCTGCCGCTCGAGGCCAGAATGGGATCCCTGGAGGAAACCAGATGTGCTGTCCGCGCACAGCTGGCAGCAATCAGCCGCGGGACTCGCTCGTGGCGGCGCGCGCTGGCTCGGTCTCTGGTCTCTCTTTGTCTCTGAGTCTCTGTCTCCGCCGCTCCCGGCGCCCCCACCCCACCCGCCGCATTCCAACTTCCTCGGAGAACAAAAGCCACCCGCCTGGTCCCCCATACCCCCAAACCCGGCTCCCCCAAGCTCGGGCTCCCCGCACTTCTCAACTCGTGTCTTCCCCAAAACTACCCCAAACTTTCCAGGCGCCCCCCTTAGCATCGACTCAGAGGGCCCGGGCTCGGGGGGGCCCCCGGTAGCCAGCCCAGGATGGGGGCCCTGGGTGCCCCCCAGCGCGATACCCCGATGCCCACCGTGTTTACCTGCCCGGTCCCGCGCTGCGCTGCGCCCAGAGTGCGCCCCCGGCCCCCTTCGCGCCGCGCCCCCCTCCCGGCCGCCGGCCGGGCGCGGCCTCCAGACCGCGGCCGCTGGGTCCTAACGCGAGCCCTTTGGGGTGGTCCCGGGGGTGTCCCGTGGGCTTCCTTCTCGCCACGCCCCAGGTGGGTGGGTGTTACCCCATTTCGCTGAGGGGGATCCAGCGCACCAACCAAGCAGATTCCCCTAAGGCCCCTCGGCTGCAAAGGGTGGCTCTCCCTCTAGGTCCCAGGACACCTTGGGGAGGTGGATTCCTCCTTCCCCTCCGGGGAAAGAAGCCCTTCGGAGTCTCCCCTCTTCCACCTGCCACCGCCCAGATCCGGACCTAGGCAGGCTTCACTAACCAGGGCTTTTTTCCCTCAGCTCAGCCCAAGCCCTGTGTCCCACGGGCTATCCTGCCGGGTCTGTGATGTCCCCGAAGCATATCAGACCCAAAGAGCACCCAAGTCCAAAATCATGTGCTCCCAGCCCGCCCCTTAGACTTGCCCTCTGAGCTGTCCCCGTGGGAGAATTGGCCACCATCCCTCTTGCCTTGCTCTCAGCCTCTGCTATCCATCCAGCACCCTGCTGCCTATCTCCCTATAAATACCGTCTGTGGGCCACCAGCACCTTCGCCTGGATGCTGCCTCTGCCCTCCCCTTTCATCTTGTCCTTAAAGCCTTGCACTGCTGTCCCATGGTATCTAGGACTGAGGCTGAACTTCCCTGTGGCCTCCAAAGACTCCAGCCTTCATTGTGCTCCCACTCTGCCTCCTCTTGGTCTTTCAACCCCTCCTGCCTCCCTTTCTACCTCTTCTGCTGCAGGGCCTTTGCTCAGGCTCTCTGCCTCCTGGAACACGATTGTGATCTCCTTCCCCAGGCCACAAAGCCAGCCTTCCTTCCCCAAAGGATCCTGTCCTCTCTCCCTATGACATGCTGTCAAGCTTTGCTGTCTTGTCACTTTCATTCCTTTCCACTATGAGCTGTCATCAGTCCCATGAAGGCAGGGACCAGGCCTGTTTTGGCTTATCTAAGGGTTTTGCTCATTAGGCACAATGCCAGTCTCAGAGCAGCATTCAGTGAGGACTGAGCGAATGAGCTGTCCACGCCATTCTCCCAGGAGAGACTGGCTGGGTGGTTGTGGTGGGGGTGGCAGGTCCCCTGATTTGGGGTAGGCTGCAGCCCTGTGTGGCCACAGAACCTCACGAAGGAGTGAGAGTTGGGGCTGCAGGCTGGGAGGTGAGGTGCTCCAGATACCCTGACCCCTCTAGACTCTGGCCGTCTGATGTCTTCTTATGCCTGTTCTCCACCTTGGGCCTGGTGTCCTACTAGGAACTGGGTATAAACTGTGCATCATCTGTTCCCCAGTGCTGGTTGAATGAATATCTGCCCCTGACCCTGGTGTTTACAGCAAAGTAGCAGGGACTTTTGTGACTCGGGGCAGGGGCCTTTGGGCCATCCTAGCCCTCCCTGGCTTCCCCCAGCTCTTTACTGTGGTAAGACCCAATCCCGCTTCGGTAGGAGAGAAAACCTCCCAGTGGAAATGCTGCCCTCTTGGTGGCATTGACAAAAGGGGGAAACTGAGGCCCCAGAGTGCCAACTCCAATGTCCTGGCCCTGTTCCTACCCATTCCCTTGCCCCATGGACCCAAGCAGAGTGGCGGCTGTTTGGGAGGGTGCAGTGGGTGTGGCTGACCTCCCAATGGGCCCTTGGCTGTGTGCCTTCCTGCCAGTCTCTCCTGCTAGGTTGGAAGCTGCCCACACCAAGACCTGTTTATCCACTTGCCGCTCAGGCCAGAGCCTGGCACATGCCTGCCCAAGGGATTTGTGAGGGATGGGCTAAGGATGCAGGAGTGGTTTGACCCAGGCCTCTGTACATCTGCCAGCCTCCCCTGAAACAGCATCTCTGCCACTGGAGTGTCACTGGCTGGTGACTTGGTATCCAGTGTGGAAGGCCTGTGGATGTGTGTGATATCAAGTTACCTTTCCCAAACCATGTCTCTTCTCACCAGCCTGACTCAACATTTCCCAAGCTCCTACTGTGGCAGGCAGAGGGACTGCAACAGGGGTTCCAGTAATGAGGCTGGCAGGGCCTCTGAAAGGCAGGAAGCAGCCTCTTTCCCTCCCTGCCCAGATGAGGCTGGCCAAGTTGCATCCCCAGAGCAGAGGAGCTTGGCGAGGGGCCCACGGGTGGGAGGAGGTCAGGCGCACCCAGCCTTCCCCAAGGATGGTGCACATGGTTCTGGCTGGGAGACCTGGGCTCGGAGCCTGGACTGTATCTGAGGGAGGCACGAAACATGAACGTGTCTCAGGATGTGAGATGACAGCCAGAGGCAGGCAGCAGAGAAGGGCACTGCCTCCCAGGGCTGGCACATAGTGGGCATCAGCCCAAAGCGAGTCCATTGCTCTTGCTCCCTGGAAGAGGGGTGGTGACGAGCACAGGAGGTGGATTTGGCGATCTGCTCCACCCCTGACCAACGGTGAGACGTCCAACCTGTTTCTTTGTCTGTGAGATAGGGACAGAGGGCCGGGGATTTAGCTCAGTGGGTCCGCCACCTGCCTTGCAAGCACAAGGACCCGAGTTCGATCCCCAGTACCAAAAAGAAAAAAAAAAAGATAGGGACAGTACCTGTGGCTGTGAGCATTAGGTGACAATGTGTGCACAATGAGATGTGCAAGGACATATCACTGCCAGATGAGGAAAGGAAGCCAGGGGAGGGGGTGTTGTCCAACGTGATCTGAACAATGGGGGCTTCCAGGAGCACATACGCACCGGGGGTGTCAGCTGGGCACTGGGGGTGGTGCGGTGTTCAGGTATAAGACAAGCATGGCTGAACCAGGAAAATATCTTGACTTTATTTGCTACGTTGACAAGCTCCGAGTGGAGTTGGTGGCTGCCTTTTCTACATGGCATGATCTAAAGTGGGGGACAGTAGTCAGCACTTCCTCAGGATGGGGTGCAGGAAGGCTGGACCAGGCAGTCTCAGGGCAGGAGCGTGACAAAAGCCAACCTCAGGGCTGCAGGAGGCGACAGCGGTGGTCTCTCTAGAGACGGTCCACTTGGTGGCTCAGAGGCAGGGAGGTCCAGTGTCCAGGGTGCCCACCAGCCAAGCCTGTGCTACCTCACAGCACCAGCAGTGGGCAGCGGCGGCCAGGGCTGCTCAGCGAGCTCCTGTTCCAGCTGCTTGAAGCGCTTCTTGGAGGCCCGTTTGGGCCGGAGCTGCTGCAGGCAGGCTGGAAGACACTGGTCCAACACACTCTGCAGAGGGAGTGGGGAGTGGAGGGGCAGCTGGGGCCGAGCCTGAGCCCCAGATCCCTCTGTCCCTCCTTTCCTCCCAGCCTTGGTCTGCACCCCACCTCTAGCATGAAGGCCCCCACAAAGTTGCAGGCAGCCAGGCCCAGTAGCAGCAGCTTGAAGCAGGTGTCTGCGATGTTCCTCAGCCCTAGCGGCCCCTGCAGGAGGCCGGGGACCAGGATGAGGCCCACCAGGACAGAGCCCAAGAGCACGAGGGCCACCAGGAAGGGCACTGGGGGCGGGGGAGTCAATCAGCAAGGGAGCCACGCCCAGGACACCCCCCCTTCAGAGCCTCATCCTCCCCCTTTAGCCCAGCACCCCCATCCCACCCCGCAGCAGCACCGTTGGTGTAGAGCGGCTGGCGGAAGGGTGCCCCCTTGGACACAGCAGCAGCCAGGATGAGGTACTGGAAGCTGGACAATGAGAAGACCACCGTGTTTTCATAGTTGGGTAGGTTGTCGGGCGCCGGGACAGTCTTATTCAGAGGCACGAACCTGGGGTTCAGGGGCAGGGTCAGGGAAGGGGTGTGTACAGAGGGGATAAGGGAAAGACTACGGGGAGGTCACTGAGCTCGACTCACCAGGGCTGGGCCACCACCAGGAAGTAACCTCCCAGCTGTACGCCGGCCACCAGGGCCATCTGCAGCAGCAAGGTGCTCAGCACAGGCACGCTGAGCAGGGCCCCTGGTGGCCGTGCTCGCCCCAGTGCCAGCGCTGGCTGTGTTCGGCTCATGAGCACGGCCACCGTAGTGGTGATGACCAGGTCAATGGCCAGGAACTGCAGGTCACCCAGGTTGGTGTTGATCTGCGCGGCAGAGGAGGGAGGACAGAGGAGAAGCTGAGACCTGGCCCTAGCCAAGCCCCAAGACTGCTCCTGGTCTGTCCTTGAGGAGCCTGACAGAAGAGGCATCCTTCTAATTGGCAGTCTGATGGGGGCAATACTCTCAGCCCTGGGGAACCTCTAGTCTCATGGGGGAGGCACATCTCATATCACCTAGGCCCCTAGTCTGATGTGGAAGCAGTATCCTGCCTTCAGGGAGTCCCCTCTGCCCCCTGGGTGGACCTCGGGGACCTAACTCCAGTGGGAGATGTTTCCCCACCTTCAGCAAATCCCTGGCCTGATAGGAAGTTCAGGCTGTGACCCGGAACCCCACGGCTACTGGAGACATGTGGTTCCTGCTCTCAGCAAGCTCTGAACTTTAAGATGCACGGAGGGACAGACCCAGGTTCAAAATGTGCAACGCCCCAGGGGTCACCTGCATTCAGTGGCAAGGAGCAGGGTGTGCTCATAGGACCAGGGAGGCACAGCGAGGCTCAGGGTCAGAGGGAGGGGCAGGGGAAGCAGGTATGGCAGGGGTCTTGGCTCCACCCCACCCCACCCTAGCCTGAGCTCTGCCTCGGTCTCCCCTGCATTCAGGGAGCTCCTAGAGTTAGGGAAAGCTGTTAGCACATGGCATCACAGCCAGGCTGTGCCTGGGGCTCTCATCTCATGAGCCTTATAGCCAAGGCCCAGCCCACAGCCCACAGCCCAGCTGCCAGACTTCGGGCCACACTGCTGTGTGCCTCCCGAGTGGCAGCTGTGCAGCCCTCACCGTGTAGAGGATCAGGACTGAGACGAACTGGGTCAGGCTGTACAGGGCCATGTACTTGAACATGCTGAATGATGTGTCCAGGGAGCAGCGGCCTTCCCTAGGGAGCAGGGTGGGCGTCAGGGGTCCAGGCTGGCTCCGTCCCAGGCCCTGCCATGCCCCACCCCAGACCCCTGCCCGCCTCACCTAATGACCATGGGCACACACTCAATACTGGGCATGCTCGAGGTGAAGGGAGAAACCACTGAGGCCTCGGCCTGGGACAGTGAGATGCCCACGTCGGCTGCCTTTAGGGCCCCGCAGTCATTGGCACCGTCCCCGCACATGCCCACGCAATACCTGGTGGGGAGGGGCAGATGTGGCCTGTGAAATGACTCAAACCCATCCCAGGCTTGCTGGTGAGGGCAGGCCCCCAGTGCCCACATGTGCCCAGGAAAGAGGTGCAATTATATCTGGTAGGACAGAGGGACAGAAGACCTAGGATAGGGTGGCTGGGAGGTTTTTTTATTTTGATACAAGGGATTGAACCCAGAGCCTTTGCATTCAGCTACATCCCTAGCATTTTTGTTATTTTTTATTTTGGGTCAGGATCTCGCTAAATTGATAAATTATAAACTGCCCAAACTGGGCTCAAGCTTTAGATTCTCCCATCTGTGCTTCCTGAGTGCTGGCATCTGACACCACACGTGGTCTTACATCTTGAGACAGGGTTTTGCTAAACTGACAAGTAGCCCAAACTGGGCTTGATATGAAACCCTCCTGCCTCAGCCTCCTAGAGTGCTGGGATCACAAGTGTGCATCACCACACTGGGCTCTGGGCAAGTGTCAAGGGTGATGGTCCCTACAGGGCACCCAGCACTCACTGAAGCCTCTGCAGCTCGCACACCAGCTCTGTCTTCTGTTCAGGAGCCATTCGGGCAAAGACGGTGGCCTGTACCAGGACCTAGGGGCACAGCGAGGGGCAGGGCTGAGGCTGGGGCAGAGCACAGGAGGTCAGGGGTGGGTGGCTGGGCTCAGGGCTGCCCTACCTTGGGCAGCAGCTTGGGGAAGTGCTTCATAAGGACACCAAAGGTGGACCCGCTGAGGGCCAGGTGGCTGGACTGGGGGTCTGGCTCCATGGTGTAGCTTGCAGCCTTGTCAGGATCCTGGGGGCCCAGGAAGCTTGGCTTAGCTTCCCTGCCCACCCTGCAGAACTGGGGCCCAGGTCAGGTGACTCAGGGCTGGCCTTACCTTTGCTCCGTTCACAGCGGTAGGGCATTCCGTGGGCAGGAACTCAAGGGAGGCAGGCCGACCCTGCTCAGGGTAGGTAGCATGTATGATGACCAGACGCTCCCGGGGGGCCACCATGCCGCAGCCCCGGGCCACAGTGACGGCCGTCTGCAGGTTGTCCCCTGGAGGTGAAGGGAAGGTCAGGGGCCCTTCCTTAGCCTGCCCCTTGCAGAGGGGAAAGCTGATGAGTCCCATCTGCCACCAGCAGCTGAGTGACCTAGGCAGGTGAGCCTCATGTCGGGACCTCGGTTTCCTCAGGGGCGAAACAAGGCACTGAAGGGTCTGGGCCGAAACGGCACAGATACTATACTGTATAGTGTGTGTGTGCGTGCACACGTGCATGTGAGGGCTGGGGCCACGAGGACACAGTGCTTTGAGGTCCCGCTCTTTCACACTGGCTAAGATCTTCTTGCTCCATGAGACTGTCATCCCTTGGAGGCTGACATTATTATCCCCATTTCTCAGAAGCAGAAACCAGAACCCAGCAATGTCACCCAGCCGGTCAGAAAGTAGCTAGGCTGAACCATGCCCAGCCTCTTAGGAAGTCACTCCACTCCGCTGAGCCTGTCTCCACATAGGTCAATTATGGGTAACAATTACATTTGTGAGTTATACCATTGTGGAGATTTGCGAGATGATGACCCAGGAGGGGCTGCTGAGGGTCCCCTTCCTTCTGCCCAGGACAGGGCAGATCCCACCCTCCTGACCCAGGCCCTGAAGGCCATGGCACCTGTCACCATGACAGTGCGGATGCACGTCCTCCGCAGAGCCTGGATCACCCGTGTTGTCTGTGGCTTCAACAGGTTCCTCATGACCAGCAGCCCTAGGAAGCTCAGGTCCTGCTCTGCAGTGTCCCTGGAGGGTGGGAAACTTGAGTCTGAGGCCACGCAGTGGTCACACTCCCAGGTAGCAGGCAGGGGCATCTTCCCTGGGCTCAGCCTGCAGAGCATCTCCCTCGCCCGTGCCTGGGCAGCCCCACCTTGACAGCTGCTGGACAGCCTCCATGCTGGGGGCGATGGACAGTGGCTTGCAGGCCAGAGCCACCACACGGTAGCCAGCAGCTGTGTAGCTCTGCAGTGTCTTCGAGAAGTCAGCAGGCACTGTGGGAGAGGCAATGTCACTGGCACAGGGTGGGGCAGGCAGAGGCTGGACCCCCCACCACACACACACTGCCCGGCCAGCAGGCTCACCTGTGTCGGGGCTGCAGAGGCTGGCCACCAGCTCTGGAGAGCCCTTGATGTAGGCCTCGGGCTGAGCGGCCCCGGGCCATGCCACCACCACACCCATGCGCTGTAGGCTGGAGGAGAAGGGGAAGCGGCCAAGGACTCCGAGGGGCACATGGGGCTCCTGCAGGGTGGGAGGAGCTGAGGGCTGGCTGTGGAGTCCACCCCTGTGCCTGCCCCCTGCAGGAACCCCATGGCTCACTGTTCCTTGTGTCTGGGGCTCCCAAGGTGGGGGTCTCATCACTGCCAAGACTGGGGTCCCGAGTGCTGCATCTGCAGCTGGCTCCTCTTCCAGGACCTGGGAGGCAGGCAGAGAAGGTTGGCACCTGGGGGCCTTGGGCCAGGAGGGAGGCAGCAGGAGACTCAAGTTACAACTAACAGGCAGCTTCCCTCACAGAAGACGGACAGGCCTCCTCACCCAGCCAGTAGACTCCACCATCTTGAGGTCCATGGGGTCACCCACTGGGGTGTCCTGGAGCCAGCTGAGGGCATGGCAGGTGGCCAGTGCTCGTAGCAGGGGGCCCATGGGCAGGCAGCGGGGCTCTGGGACCAGTGGAAGGAATGCCTGGCCCTTCAGGGGCACCACCCCCATCACATCCAAGCCATTCTCAGTGAGGGTGCCAGTCTGTGGAGGGACAAGGAGAGGTCCTGGGATGAGCTGTGCCCTCCCCAGGCTGGGTAGGTACCTGGGAGCCCAGGAACTAGAGCTGGAGCCAGGAGAGGCCCTTTCTTGACTCAGGACCTTTGCACATGCAGATCCTACTGCCATGGTCACCCCCACCCAGTTTCTCTGTCTGGGATTTCCTCTAGGAAGTCATTTTCCTTCATTCTGCAGCCTAGGGCAGGTGGTCGGGCCCCTATCCATGGGGGAGCTGGTCATGGTCAGCACACAATCTAGTTACTGAATGAATAAACGAGTGCTTGCCTTTCCTGGGGGTTCCACCTGTCCCACTACCCATCTGGCTCTTCGCCAGCTGGGGAGCTGGGTGACTCTAATCTCGTCCCTCCTTACTCCATGTCCCTTGACCTGTCCAGCCTGCAGCCTCTGCCAACCAGGGCACTGCCACCTGTCTTGCCCTGGCATCCCACTGCTCACTGTGGGCCAGATCACCAAGGTGCTGCTGCAGGACCTGCCCACAGGAGACCCAACTGTCCTCTCTCAGAGGTCCTGTCCCCTGGACACCACCCATAATAGTGCTGCTGCTCCTCCCTAAAACCTGTTGCCCCTGCATCTCTCCTGGAGGCTCGCTGTCTGGTTCATCTGTTAGTGCGGGGACACACAGGGACATGGCCCTGTGCCCACGGAGCCCACTGTATCCTGGGAAGCAGCCCATGTCAAGCAAAGGAAACTCCAACAATAACTGGCTGCGGGCACAGAGCTGATGGGTGTGACAGTGGCTGACGGCCTCCAGAGGGGACTGTAGGGAGGCCCTGGTAGATGGTGGGGATATCTGTGCTGGTTTAAAGCAGCCCAGGTGCATGGTGGCTCAACAGGTCTGGAACAAATGAAAGGGTGAGTCTGGACATTTGCTCTGCCAGACCCTGAGCTGGTGAAGGTGGGGTGCAGCCCCCAACAATGGTGCTGCCTGCACCCAGCCAGCCCGCCAGCAGCCCCCACCTTGTCGAAGCACACGAGCCGCAGCTTGCCCCCCAGGTTGATGCGCAGCGGGTGGATGCAGAAGATGCCCTGTGCCTGCAGGCGGCTCTGGGCGTAGAGCGTGCACACAGTCATGGCAGCCGGCAGGGCGGGCGGCACCACCACGGTCACCAGGTCCAGGGCCCGGATCACGATCTCATTCACAGGCACCTGGTAGGAGGCACTGTGAGCGCTGAGGCCGCCTGGGTACCACCCAGCTGGGTGGCGGCCCCCACCCAGCCCCTGCAGCTCACCCGGTTGTGATGGAGAATGAAGATGCTATAGATGGTGCCGAGCAGAGCTGGGGAGACAGTGAGGGGTGAGTGAGACTCTGGCCCTGGGCTGGGGGCCACTGGCAGAGTGGGATACAGGGGCCCACTCACCCAGGACAGATAGGGCGGCCACAAACTTCATGCTGTGCTTATAGAACTTGAAGTTGATGGGCCGGGGATGCAGGATGGAGCTCACCAGGCCCCCTTTAGCTGTGCAGAACCCTGGGAGGAGACAGAAACCAAGGCAGGGGAAGCCCTGTGAGGATGGGTCTCCCTATTCCACCCATAGCATGCAACGCTCAGTGTCAGCTGTCACCCAGTTTGGGGTCCCAGCACAGTAGCCCATGGCCCTTGCCCATCCTTTATAGGGACTTAAACAATAGCATTAGTGGAAAGAATCTAAAAATGAGGCCCTTTCCCTTACGATCCGGATTCAGAGTAGCCTCTCCTGCATGCCCTACCCCTTGCCCTGGGCATTTGTAGCCCCTGCTAGCCTCTGTGGACATTAAAATGCTTGGTCACTGCCTGGCCCAACTCTTCCTGTTAACATGAGGACACTGAGGTCCACACAGGGTAGGACTTGCCTGAGGTCTCCAGCAGGGCAGTGGCAGAGGTGGGTGTGGGGTTGAGGGCTCTTGGTCCTGTCCTGCCCTGTGACACCTCCCCTGGTGGTGCTGAGCCCAGTATTCTTCCCCACCTCCTCATATGCACCTGTCTGGGTCACCACCGCCAGGACATGGGGTCCCCCGTAGGCCCGGGCCTGCAGGACGAGGGTCCCGCAGAAGAGCGTGTGCCGCCGATGACTCTCTGGGCAGTACGGCCTAGGCCCTTCTGGGAGGGCTGTCTTCAGCACTGGGACGCTCTCCCCTGGGAGGGACATCGTGTAAGGCCCTTGGGGGCCCCTCAGGGCCCTTCCCCATCAGTGAAACCAGGAGTTATGCTTAGGACCACCCCATTGGCTCTGAGTCTCATTTAACTCTGTAACTAGGTCTCAATAAGAAACCACAGCCCCATTTTACAGAGGGGGAAATGAACGTCAGGGAGGGCAGAAGAAATAAAGACACAGTGAGATACTCCTGGGACTGTGGCAGCCAGTGACCAGGAACCAGCTCAGGGAACAGGTGTATTGAGGGGCAGGGTTTTGGGGGGACCTTTCTCCTCCTGCTAGAATTATTCCAGCACAAGCTTCTATTACTTTTATATTAAAACTGGCAAGGATATTTACACAGGGATGTGACATAACCTCTCTACTGCCCTAGACAGGCAGCCTGGCAGAGCAGCGATCCTGTACAAAAGGGGGTCATGATTCACCGGCCCTCCGGCCTCATGGCATCGTGAGGTGGGGCCATGTGGACAAGACCCAGGATGCGTGCTGCTCAGAAGGGCACAGCACAGCAACATGATCCCATGTGTAAAACTGGAAGTGTATTCACATTTGCACACACGTTATACACAAGCACAGAGAAAGGAGCTCTGGGTTAGGGCAATGAATGGGATGCCTGCCCACTTTGTGCACCACATCCTCCTAATGGTTTGGAGTCTTTAGGTCAGGAAGGCACATGCTGCCATAGACCATTCACACAGGCTGGGTGCTTCCTCTGCACCCTGCATGCTCTGGGTACCCTACACACCCTACCCAGGAATGACTGAGCCCCATTTTACAGGATGGGAAATCGAGTCACAGACAGTTAAACAATATAGTCCAAGGGTGTGGGGTTAACAAGAGCCGAAGCCAGGATGCCTGTTTGAAAGGAAAAGGGAAAGAAAACTCAAGCTAAAACTTCTGACGAAAGGTGGAGGGCTGGGGAAGGGAGGAGACAGGGGCCAGGGTGGGGCTCACCTGTGAGACAGCTCTCATTGACCATGCACTCGCCGGCCACCAGGGCAGCATCACAGGGCATCAGCCCACCTTCTGGGGGCAGCACCAGGCAGTCTCCCGGCACCAGCTTGCTGGAGTCGACCCACTCCTCCCCTGAGGGCAGGTGGAGTCAGTGGGGCCTCCTCCCTGGTCACCTCCCCAGCCCCCTCCAGCCCTGTCTCCTCACCTTCCCCAGGCCGGCACACACGCACTCGCACTGACAGCTTGACCATGTCCTTCAGGGTCTGGCTTTGCTGTGGTCAGGGGAACAAGAGAGGGTAGGAGGGTGGCAGCCCCGGGGGGATGCCCCGCCCATCCCTGCCGGCCTCACCCACTCACTTTTCTGGTCTTGAGCATGGACAGGCAGATGGAGATGGCAGAGATGAGGAAGATGCACAGGGCATACCAGTAGTAGTGGTCGGCCAGCCACAGTCCGATGCTAAAGGCCTGGAACCCATAGTACGGGTTCAGTACCTGTGGGGGCAGGAGGCAGCATGAGGACCAGCATCCCTAGGCAATCCTGCCATGGGCCACCAGAGTGGAGGGCACGGGGGCTGTCGGAGGATGGCAGCCAGGCTCTCTCCTGCTCTAGCCTACCTGCACCCAGGTGGATGCCCCTCAAGCAGCCTGCTTCTCCAAGCTAAGGAGGACATGGGCATTTGCTGCCCCCTCCAGACTCAGCACTTTACCTAAGCGTCATGCAATATAGATGACGGTTCCACCAGGTGGGTGCCACCTCAGCTCCATTTTACAGATGAGCAAACTGAGGCACTGGCCTAAAATCACCTAGTTCCTGAGGCAGCCTGACTCGCAGGCTTCTGCCTTTCATGGTATCTGCTGCATCATTAATGTTTTACTCTAGATGTGTCTGGGTCTCTGGCTTCCCTCTGTCCCTTATGACCTTGCCTTTGTCCTGTGAAGAGTGTGCACCTCGTCCCTACTCCCAGGGATACTGGGAGAAGGGGAGGGGACAATGCCTGGGAAGGACCCAGGCCCCAGCATGTAGCCTTGTGCAGGTATCGGGCTACATGTTTTGCCTCTACCCCCAGAGTGTGTCCACAACTGGCCCAAGGCTTCTGTGGACCCTCCACGTTCCTGCCCTGGTCTATTACTGGCCAACCTCACTGGGCTGAGTATGAGACAACTTTCCACTAACCACTACGGAGAAGGGGGCAGCTGTCTGATCTGTGAAGTGTCCCAGAGGAACTGGAACCCAAAGCCAAGGATAAACAGCAAATCCAAGCCAGAGCAAGGGCAAGATGCAAGAGCAGCCCTACCTCGTCCACTAGGAGCTGTGGGTAGGACTTGACTGGTATGCTGATCACGTTGGGGCCGAAAATTGTCTTCCTGTAAGGGAGTTGGTGGTGAGCTGTCAGATGGAAGGGGCCATGACAGCTGGACCCTCCCAGGGCTGTGGAGCTGGGGAAACCAAGGCCCAGGGCAGCGCTCACCTCATAGTTTGGTCTGGGAGGCTCAGGCCGGAGCGGGAGCTGTGGATGTCGTCACAGGTGTGGCCGTGGCCCAGCAGGCTGGCAGGGGGAGGCGGGGACACTCGGGTCATGGGTCTGAGTTCCGCCCCAGGTTCCAGAGCCCCCACCCCCTGCTGCCACTCTACACTCCTGGGAGAAAGCACCTCCTATCAGGAACCCAGGGCTCGGCTTTCTCCTTTGTTTCTCTCCAACCATCTCATCAAGGAAGGAAAACAATGAGATGACAGTAATATTAAGGGTGACACAGCAGCTCTTAGTGACAGGAGCATTACTGACACAGGCAAGCCATTTAACCTCTCTGGGCCTTGTTTTTCATCTTCAAAATAGGGACAGTGCCAGTGCCTGTGAAGGGAGGGGTGGGACTGCAGGTGAATGGAGATAATAGACCTGCTGTTACCCTCATTGGGCAGCAGAGGGCGATGGTGCCCTCCCCGCCAGGGGACTTGCCCTGTGAGGCACAGTGGCTTCCTGCGGGGAACCTTACAGGCCTGTGAGCACACCCAGCCAGCGAGCCCCAAGGGCAGAGAAGCTTGCGTCCCCAGGGTAACCTGGGGCTGATGGGAAAGTGTCCTCCCTGGGGGAGGTCACTCTGAAGTTGGTGCCCTGTGCTGGCCTGAAGAGACCCCCTGGGGACTGCATTCCCTCACCTGGCACTGGCCTGACACTCTCCCCTCCCTGCCGCACTTCCCAGTGCTGCCCTGGGTCACCTTCCCTACTGACTCTGCTGGGAGAGCAAGGGCTGACAGGGGCCAGAGCCAAGTGTGCCGGTCACAGCAGTGTGGCCACCTCGGGTCAGCTGTGATGTCCAGCTCTGTGTAAACTCTCACGTTTCACCTTCAAAATAACCCTGGAGGCGGGGATTATCCTCATCCTAGATTTCCAGCTCAAGGGCCCGGCCTGGAGAGGCTCCATGTCCTGCCTGAGGTTTCAGCAGACTGAGGGGGAAGGCTAGGCCGCTTGTGTCCCCTCTGCCCAAGCCAGACCCCTCTGGGAGGTGACATGGGTGGGATTGGCCCTGGCCCCTACCTGACTTGAAGGAAGGCTTGCTGGGTCTCGATCCAGACGTAGCGCCTGCCCTGGAAGAGGTAATACCGAACCACCTGCTTCTGGGGGGAGAGGAAGGCCAGTGGAAGGCGGCCCTGGTCCATGGGGAGGGTTTTAGGTTGTGGGAGGCATGGGAACCAACCCTCCCATGGCAGAGTGTGGAGCCAGGGCCCAGGGTGGGACAAGGACTTATTTAGGACCCTGCTGTCCACTCACTGCCTCCTCCCTCCTGTGGAGCCGGGCTGTGTCCTTCCACGGAGTCTCAGGCACTGCCCCCAGGGCCATCTTGCTACGCCCATCCTCTGCCTGCAGGGGCAGCTCCAGGCTGGGGAGGGAGCTGGGGGTTACCCTGCAGCTCCTGGAGCTGCCCCAGCCCCTCCCTGTCCCCACAGAGCCCCCGGACTGACAGGAAGGGGCACTGGGTCAGACTCCTGGACAGGCAAAGAGCTGCCTCACCTGCCCTCGACGACGGCCTCAGTCTGCACCTGGACGGTGAAGAGCTGCCACGAGCTATCCTGGGACATAGAGGCATGGCCTCAGTCCTGGAAGGGACCTCTCTTCCCAGCCCCCTCCCTCAGCCAGCCACTTCTGCCCACAGCTCAGATGGGAACACTGAGGTCCACATCACCCCATGCCCCCACCCTGGCCTCTGCTGCCCTTCTCCTGCCCCAAGCCGGGCCTCTCACCTCTTTGTCTCTTGTTTCGATGACGAGTGTTTCGGCGTGGGCCAGGCTGCAGGGCCTCGACCGCAGCCGCACCCCCCACGAGGGCTTCCAGCGGAAAAGCAGCAAGGGGATCCCAGCCAGCACCCAGACCACGGCGTGATAGCCTATGGCCCTCCAGGGACTGCCACAGTAGCCGCTGAGCCTCTGCAGACACAGGCGAGAGGCCAGTGGGCTGGGGTCAGGGCTAGGGCCAGGGTCCTGGGCCTCAAACACCCTCTGCCCATGCTGTCACATACCACGGATGAAGCTGAGGAGCTGAGGGGACCGATTGACGTCCCTATCATCAGGGTCCCATAGCTGGCGGCCGGGCTGCCCACGAGAGGGCTGCTGTCTGTGGACAGAAAGGAGAAACAGCGTTTTGGGGACCTTCCTATTCTCCCCCCGCCCATACTGCAAATTGAATCCAGTAACTTCGAGCTGAGCTACATCCCTTTTCATTTTTTGTTTTGAGACAAAGTCTTGCTAAGTCACCCAGGCTGAGCTTGAATTTTCGATCCTCCTGCCTCAGCCTCCCAGAGTGCTGGGATTACAGGTGTGAGCCAGCATGCACAGCTGGCTGTCTTCCTTCTGTAAGCGTAGTTTGTGATTGGGCTGATGAACACAGCAGCTCTGGTCTTCCCAGGCCTGCTGTCTGGTCACTCTGTTGGTCCTTACTCATGCATGGCACTTCCTCACGTGCTGGCCATCTCTGGGAGTGTAGCACCCTGAGTTCCCACAGTTCCATTCCACCTCCACCACAACCCTGCACTGAGGCCAGGGCTCTGGTCTGCTCATCCTCACTCTAACCTGGTGCTCAGCATAACCCTGGGGCGAGGGGACTCTAGGGACACTCCAAACTGATGACTACCTGGCACACAGGGCCATCTTTGCAGATGGTAAACTGAGGCTCAAAGAAGCATGTCAAGTGCCTGCTTCCAACAGTCTTCTCCTGGCTCACTACCTGCTGGAGGGCAGAGGTCCCAGCAGGGCAGCCCCTGAGTGTTCTGAGCAGTAGAGAGGGTAGGGCTCCCTGCTCCCACACTGGGCATCCCGGACCACCTGCAGGACCCTCAAGACACGCAGGTGCCCAGCACCTCCTGTGGCTCCTGGACAGTGCCCCATGGGGCTGGGGAAACAGGCTGCTGATTTCCTGGGCTCCCCCTCCACCCCCTAACCCAAGCCCTTCTGGTAGTTTCTAGCCAATGAATCCAGAGAGTCCCAAGCAACTGCCAGTCACATGGAGATCCTTCAACCACTCTGTCCCCAACAGGGGCTTCCTGCACCCAACCAATAATCATGCTAGAGGCTGGGCATGTCACTCAGTGGATCCCCCACAGTTCACACAAAGAAATCACAGGGTGATTTCCTCATCTCTGTGGGGCTCTGCTCCAGACCCTTTGCACATGGTTAACTGCCAGATAACTGTGATTATCATCCCATTTACAGAAGATGAGAGGCTCAGAGAGGTGAAGTAACTTGCCCAAGGTCACAGAGGAAGCATATGGCAGCTCCTGGATGCAAGCCCAGGCAGGGTGACTCCAGGCTGGGTTTTTATTATTGTTGTTCATCTTTGTGTCTGTCTCACATGAAAAGAAGTCTGGGTGGTGGTAACCTAGTCTGGTACAATAGCCCGGATGCCAACAGGGAGCCAGGCCCTTGATAATGACTCCATCCACAGGGCCTGTGCCCTTGGCTCATTGCCAGGACAGTCACGGCCCCTCCGGGCACAAAGCCACTGGACCGGGCGGCCCAATTTCAGAGGAAGCCTGTGAGAGAGGACATGGCAGGTTCTGGGTCAGCACTTCCGGACTGGCCAAGCTGTGTCCCTTTGGCGTCTCACCCTGTCACATGTGCTGAGTCCCAGGGCCCTGACAAGGGTCCCCACCCTTACCTGCCGGAGCACTGAGCCTACAGAGAAGCAGCAACAGGTGAAAGCAAAAGGAGATGAAAAGATATTTCCTCTTTCCCATGTGAAGTGGACCCTGCCAAACTGAAGCTCTCAGACTTAAACCCCAGCGAGCCCCGACCTGGGTTCTCATCTCTGCCACACCCCCTGGGCTGGAAACTATATGTTCCCACCAGGCTCTGTCTGTCCTTTCCCATCCCAGCCCCCAGATCTGCTCTTGGAATGATGGAAATGATAACTGCTATGATCAGTCGGACAGTGGGAGCAGCTGACTTCTACTAAGCCCTTCCCAGGGAGCGAAGCTGCTCGGAGCCTCAGGAATGAACTCAGGGACCCCACCAGCACCGCAGGGGACAAAGGCTGGGGCACAAAGGCCCCCCCAGTGAGTGCTGCAGCGGGAAGGTCGGCTCCCAGATTGGGGACTCACAGGGACTCTTTTGGAGAAGGGGCCCATGCCTTGTGCCCACTGAGGCCTCTTTCAACCAATGACTCACAAGCCAAATGAACAGAGCCCCACCTGCAGCCAGTCCCTCTCTCAGCCACCAGCTGACTCAGAAAACAAATGGCAGCCATCCCAGCTCCAGGAAGAGGCTGGTCTCTGGGGATGGACGAACAGAGAGACACACACATAGTCACTGAGGACAGGGCTGGCTGGACAAAAAACATCAGCTCCCCCACTTCCTGACCCGCAGACAGAGGAGACACAGCTGAGGCCTCTGCTTCCTGGTGCAGAGCCTGTGGTGGGAGCCTGGGTATGGCAGAGGGGTGGGCATCCAGGACAATTCCCTTCCGTCTGGCAATGCTGGGTTTATGGGTCCTTGGCCACCAGCAAGCCACAGGCTTTCCTTGCTTTTTTTTTTGCTACCGAGAATCGAACTGCACAGCAGGCAGCAAAACCACTGAGCTAAATCCTCAGCTCTTTCCTTGCTTTTTTTTGGTTTTGTTTTGTTCTTTTGAGACAAGGTCTCACCATGTATCACTATGTAGCCTAGGCTGGCCTCAAACTCAAGGCTATCCTTCTGCCTCAGCCTCCTAAGGGCTGGAATTACAGGAATACCCTACCATGCCTGGCTCTTGTCTCTTTTAAGAAAGCTCGCACAAGACTCTCCATGAGATTTTTGCCAGAGCCCTTCACTGTCCAAGATGGGTGCCCTAAGAAGAAGCAGGGTGGGGTCTTCTCACCCTCCAGGGCTGTGTTTGGGACATTTCCATGAAGGACAGGGAAAGAGGTCCTCAGGGTGCCCAGGGGCCTTCAGGCAGATGCCATTCCAAGGGCTTTCCATCCAATCACTCATACTCCTCCCTACAACCCCATGAATCAGGGATGACGCTTCTACCTATTGTACAGCCTGGGAAACTGAGGCACAGAGGTAAGCTGCCCCACAGCCACACGGCGTCATGTGTCCTCATCATGAACTGTCCTCCTGGTTCTCTTCCAAGCAAGCTGCGGTCATAAGGCAGGCACCCTCACCTCTCGGTGTGCAGTTCCCACCCCAGGAAGCTGATCCAAGATCCTGTGTGCACATGAGGGAAAGGTGTGCAGCCCAAACGGCTGGGTGTTTGAAGTTCCTGAGGCCCAGTTGGGACAGACGGGGGTGGGGGACGGCTCCCTGCCCAGGAGGCGTGGCTTCTGCTCAGACCCACTTCTGGGCCCTCCTCCCCTCCCCATCTCCTGGGAAGCCCACAGCTGAGCCCCGCCCCTGGCCCACACAACAGCTACTCCTGCTGGCTCGTGGGTGGGAGAAGCCAGCACCTGTCTGATCTCATCGGATCCCGTCACGAAACAAGCTAGGGGGTGAAGCTGGGTTCCCTCTGTTCACCAACGACAGCACTGAGCCAAGAATTGGAAAAGGGCCCGCCTTCCCTGGGTCTTCTCTGCCCACCCCCATGATGTTCTGTTCCCCTGGCACTGTGGAGTCACTAGTCCTGCTCACAGTGTTGGCTATGTACTGAATGAACAAATGAATTCGTTTCTTGCAGACACAGCGGGGCACAAAGCCAGAGTACCAGGCACCTCAGGTCCCTCCCCTGCCTCTGGGTCGGTCTGCTGTGAAGTGCACAGGTTCCAGGTTCTTCCTAAAGGGCCCTTGCCCTGAACCCCAAGACCTAAGCAGCACTCCTTGCCCATCTTTCCACAAGGACGCCCTCCTAGCCAACCTTGGGAAGAGGAGGGCAGGGGAACTTGAGAGAAGGAGGAAGTGGCATCTGGGGAAACCTCTTAGAGTCTTAGCAAGAGCCAAGCCAGAGCACTTGTCAAAACACCGGGGGGGGGGGGATTTAGCTCAGTGATTCTGGCACCTGCCTTGCAAGCGCAAGGGCCCGAGTCCGATCCCGGGTACCAAAAAACAAAACAAAACAAAAACACCTGGGGTGCCTGTTTATCTCTACTCCTGGCTCGGCTCCCCGGGGTGGCCACAGGGAGGTGAGTGAGATCTCACTAGCTCAGGCCAGCCCAGCACAGGCCCACACAGGCTGGGTGGCACGGAGATTGTGGGCAGTGCTGGAGCCCTTCAGCCCTCTGGGAAACTGAGAACACAGCTTTGAGGGCCCTCACCCATGCTCATAACTTGCAAGGAGACGTAGGGCATGGTGGCTCACACCTGTAATCCCAGTACTCAGGAAGTTGAGGCAGGAGGATCAGTGAGTTAGAAGGCAGCCTGGGCTACATAGTGAGTTTAAGGTCTGCCTAGAATACATAGCAAGACCTATGTCTCAAAAAGAAAGAAAAACAAACTTGCAAGGGGGAGAAGCTGGGAATGAGTGGGTCTGAAGGAACACATCCATAGTTCACCCTCACAGCCACCACACAAGACCCCAGGTTTGATCCTTACTACTGCAAAGATAAAAAAGGAGACTGAGAGAGGTTGAGTAATATGCACAAAAATCACACACCGCTATGAGTGGCCAAGGCCCAACAGGAAACTGGTGTGAGCTCACAGCCCTGGGACAGTGACAGCAGCAGAGGGCTGGAGTCAAAGCCATCTGGGGGCCTCTTGCTTCCTGGAGAAGCCTCTGCTTCCTGCCGGTGACCTGGCAGTGGTCCAGGGCAGCTGCTCCTACTTCACAGTGGCTCCCCAGTGGCCAGGAGTGTCTGTCTGTCCGTCCTCCGCCTTGCTGGGGTGGGTGTGCTTGCAAGTCTGCATGGTCTTGGCCTGGAGACTAGGGGCTGCTTTCCTCATTCTTTGCTTATTTCTATTTTTGCAGTGATGGGCATGGTCTGCTGCTGGCCTGCATCCCAGCCCTCTTCCCTGATCTTTCCTCTCCCTCCCTTGGGTGCACCCTGGGCCCCAGGCTGGGGCTTCTGGGGGAGAAGTGGAGGGAGGGGGATGCAAGGGTCTGCAGAGCCTCTAGGCAGGAGAGGGCTATAGGGCTCCTATGCAGCACGGGGGATTTGTACTGGATTCTGGAAGGGGAACCTGTGACACCCGGGATCCGGACCCTGGAGGGGGTGGCCCTAGGATCTGGTGCTTCCTCTGGAGCCTGAGGCAGAGACCAGGCCCGAGGCCAGTCTCATCCGGGCACTCCTGAGACCTGGCCAACTGACCCCATTCATTGGGTAGAGGCCCACTGCCCGGAGGCCCAGGATGGCGCACGGCTCGCGGCCCGGACATCCGTCATTCAGCTGGGGCAATTCGGCGGGGCGGGAGGGCACCCGGCTGCAGGGACCCTCGGGCCCCGGCGGCCTAGTCCGGGCGCAGGAAGGGGTTCCCTAAGGGAGAGGTGCCCGCCTCGGCTCGCGGCCCCGCGGTGGGGTATCGTCGTGCTCCTCCGGGACCCCGCAGGGACTCACCTGCGCTCATGGCGGCTCCGCGCGCTCATCGCCGGCCCGGCGTGCGCGAGGCCCCTGCAGGGCGCGGTCGGTGCGGCGGGGGCGCGAGAGGCTGGGGACACGGGGCGCGGGGCACTGGGCGGGCACCTGCTCGGCCTGCCCGGTCTGAGGCTGCAGCAATCGCTATGCGGCCCTGAGCCCCGCCCGCCACTGCGGCCACGTCCTCCGCCCGCCGCGCGGAGCTGCCGGGACTTGTAGTCCAGTCGGATCCACCCACGGCAGAAGGGGCTGGCGGGAAAACGGATGTGACTGCACCTAGGACCACCGCAGAACCCCGCGGCACCAACAGGGTTAGGGACTGTGTGTGCTAAGCTGGGCATGGTGCGCATGCCTGCAGTACCAGCACTCTGGGAGGCTGAGGCAGGAGGATTGTGAGTTCAAGTCCTACCTAGACCTTTTCCAAAAAAAAAAAAAAACAACGATGGGGGAGGGTTGAGGGTTGATGGGAGTGGGAGTGGAAGGGAAGGGGAAGTAAAAAATGATTAAGATTCGATATGTATATGTACCAATTCCCAAATTCTGTAATTATTATGTATCATAAGCATATACTTAAAAAAACCCCAACTATACATGCTGGTTCATGCCAGACTCCATTTCTTGCAGGGTGCGTGACTGTGGGTGAGTTACTTAACTTCTCTGGGCCTCTGTTCCTATCTGTAGGATGACAGTGACACTAACAATGCCTGCTTATTGTGGGATCACAGAAGAGCATGGATGTAAAGTCCTTGGGACAGTGCCTGGCACTGCTGGATAACCTGGAAGAAGGAAGACACACCTTCCCAGGCACTCACAGGGTGACACGTACCAAAAGACACTGGGACACAGGGACAGGCACACTGTGATGCACAGGAGCCCTCAAAAATGCCTGAGATGGTGGCAGTATAACTGTGGGACTGCATAACTCTGTAATCATAAAACTCCCCTAGCCCCAGCTGTGATTGAATGTGAGTAAATAGATAAAGATGCTTGTTAGCTCCAGCTCCGGGACACTAGATAAGATCTGTATCAGCCATAAGGTCCCAAAATAAATTACTCAACTCTTTGTTCGAAAACTGATGTTTATAGAACAATCTACAAACATCTGCTGACCATCAGTACGTGTCAGCTGACCACTAACCTTTGTTCCTCTTCTGTAAATTTCACCTGTTAACTTCCCCTGCAAACCCCTATGAAAGAGCCTCGGGCTCCGGGCTAGTTGCCTCTCTAAGCTACTTTACTTTGGGAGTGCCGTCTGGCCAGACTAAGGTCTGTTTTACTTTCCAACTTGTCCGGTGTGTTCCTTCTTCGCTGCAGTCAGCTCCTCGGAGCATTTGGTAAGGCCCTCGGTCTTACATTTTGGAGGCACCGCTGGGATCCCCGGGTGTGCTTCACTGCAGTCAGCTCCTCGGAGCGTTTGGTAAGGCCCT